ATATTTCACTCAATAATATCGTTGACAACTCATTGAGAAGTAAACCCACCAAAGAATAACGTTGGAAACCAGCAGATCATATCAGTTATTATCAATAGTGCCATTTTCTTGATCACCGCTTTGTCTTCGGGTCGATTTGGGGTATTTGGATCCTGGAATTCTTTTGATCTCCTTTTGATTGCATTTCCTTTTGAAACAAAGCTGGTCATTGATATTCCTTTATGAAATTGAACATTAAAAGTGAATATAAACTCCGTTTCAGTAAGAGACTTTAAAAATTCAAACTGTTCTTGAATTTTCAAACCTTTCAAACTATGTTTTCTTTTCATCTCACCTCTAATCTGAGCATCCAAAAGATGAAAATATAGGAGATGACCATTCCTGTGAAAGCCGTGATATTAAAGCCAAGACCAAACATGATATATAACTAGATATTGTTTTTACGTTGAAATCGAAATCCTTTCTTCTTTTCTTACTTTATCCCAAAGTGTTTCGACTCTCAATGGAAGACAAATACTTGAAGTTGAATAGCTGGATATTCCTGAAAAAGCACAAGACATTAAAGCCAAGTTTTATCAGCAAAATAGTTAACGACTACGCGACTTTACGCTCAAAAAACCTTTGTATTAATGTATTAGGTGTGTGAAAAAGTAATCCACGTTTTTTATTTTTATCTGATGACCAAACAAGACGCTGTCTTCTCGAAAGCCTCGTTCAACCTCTTCAGAAATAGGCCTTACATTAAATTGTGATGGGTCAACCGTAAGGAAACGCTTGAATGCCGTGAATTTTATCAAAAAGTTGGACAAATGGATACCGCATGAACGATAACGCGCAACCACATGTCTCTTTACAGACTCGACAAAAAATCCAGAGTGTTGGATAGGAGGTTTTACCATATCCACCTGTTGGATAGGAGGTTTTACCACATCCACCTTATAGTCCAGACCTTTCTCCATCTGATTATTATTTATTTTTGTCTCTGTCTAACTTTTTGGCCAATTCAATTCCGAAGAAGATGTCAAAACCGAGGTTGATCTTTTCTTCGCCTCTAAGGACCAAGATTTTTATTATCGTCGAATGTCTTTACTTGTAGAACGTTGGCAAAAGGTTGTTCTTTCGAATGGTCATTACTTCGTTGAATAAAAATTATTTTAGCGAAACTTATGGTCTTTTATATTTAAACGTTAAAAACGTGGATTACTTTTTCACACACCGAATATTAGAGTACACTTTTTGTAAACGGGCAGTTTGACTTGGAAAAAACGTGATTTTTGAAAAACTAACACCGAATTATAAAAATTCAGATATTTTTACCCCCTAATATACTTTTTTACACAAAAATTGCCATCTAAACAACCTTTTGATGAGGATGTTTAAAGGTCGTTACAGCAGTTTTTTTTGCTGTTGAGATTTGGGTGCACTTACACACCTAATATCAATGAACGTTCGAAAATTTGATTACCGAAAAGCGGAAGGATAGCCATGAAAGCGGCAAAAAAATATCCACCGATCATCATCGACATCCCAACACCGATTCCCAAGCGGCGGCCATAAATCGCTTTTCTAGAATATTAGAGTAATTATTAGAGTATTAGAGTATTAGAGGCTTAGTATCACAAAATCCGAATAGACTAGTGCCAGATTTATGATTTGAGTCAAGTCCAAAATTGTTGCCTACCTGGTATTGTAGGCCATTTCAAAAGCGATGAAAAACATCGAGATAATCGAGAGCTGTGAAGCGAAAACCGCCAAGAAACCGGCCACCGAACAGCCCCAACTGTAAGGATCAAACGATTGGTTGTAGACTTTGAAACGAATTCAGTAAAACGCAAACTAGCATTTTGTAAAGTTCAGGCTTTTAGGAGATGCCCAAATTGCCCAAATCAAATTGCCCATTATGCCCAAATCTTTGGGAATTCTTGGGAAAAAATTTGTTTGAATTTTTTTACGAATTCTTCATCGTAAACTGGGTATGAATTCCATGGGAAGGCATAAGGCCCTGTTCGAACAATCGAAGTTCGAGCAATCGAACCCATGTCGGTGTAGTTGTGGCAGAGCGTTCGCCTGTTAAGTGGCGTTTTCGAATCGGGTTCGAAAACGCGGGTTCAAAACCCGGCGCCGATCATGTTTTGCATTTCCAGCCCCAACCGATAAAAGAATCGGCGTGTCCAACCGGCGACGACGAAAGGAAAGTGTCTAACTCCATAACTTCCATATAGACAAGTAAAACTACAAGAACTTTTTCACTTTGTCAGCAAGAAAAACTAGAAAGTTAGAGTAGACATCTAGAATTAGAATCTGATGAAAAATGAATGGGAATAGAGGTGAAACTATGAGTCTTGAGCTTCTATGAGTCTATGAGCTTTTTTGAGTCTTCGAATCTGAACCTGAACTTTCTCAGGCCGCCAGGAGACCGGAAGTTTCTCAACCCAAACTCTGAACTCTAAACTAAACTCTAAACTCTAAAACTTTAAACTTGAGGCAAAATCCATGTAAACTATGCTTTTAAATTCCCCTACTCACCCAGTTTGCCAATCGACCGCATAACGATAGTACTCATCAGCCGTTCTTGTGTCCTCGATTGCCAAAAATGCCAAGTAGACACCTGTTTTTGATTGTATTTAATGAGATTTTATATAATACAATACAAAATCCATTCTAATTTCCATTTACCAGTGATCAAATCGCCAACACTGAGATTGAACATGAACAAGTAGTGGACTCTCATTCGCCGCTCGTACGCCATCGCCAAAACTATCTGAATGCAAAGGCTCAAGATGGGCTACAGTGACACTTTTCTCTTTAACCAGTCTTTTAATCGATGAAGTATGAAAATTGGTATCAATTTTGTTGCAAAAATTCACGTTTTTTTTATTAATATTTTCCTGACTCACCCAAACGAGGGCATTTCCCAAAATGGCTGCGATCCAAACCACCCAAATCGCTCGTCTCAATAGTGAATATCTAAAGTTTCATTTAAATTCGTTTGCTTTGAATTTTGTAATTACAATTTCTTGGCTTTAAATCTATAGCTTTCTCATTTTATTAAGTCAGTCTTAATCTCAGTGCTAACAATGCTAAGAATGCTAAGAATGCTAAGAATGCTTACAATGCTTACAATGCTAACAATTCTAACAATCCTAACAATCCTAGCAATCCTACCAATGCTAACAATCCTAACAATCCTAACAATCCTAACAATGATAACAATCCCAACAATGCTAACAATGCTAACGATTCTAACAATGCTAACAATGCTTACAATGCTAACAATGCCAACAATGCTAACAATGCTAACAATGCTAACAATGCTAACAATGCCAACAATGCTAACAATGCTAACAATTCTAACAATCCAACAGTCCTGCAGTCCTGCCAATGCTAACAGTCCTAACAATCCTAACAGTCCTAACAATGATAACAGTCCCAACAATGCTAACAATGCTGGCGGTTCTAACAGTGCTAACAGTGGCACATGGCACAGTTGCACAATGCTAACAATGCTAACAATTCTAACAATGCTAACAATGCCAACAATGCTAACAATGCTAACAATGCCAACAATGCTAACAATGCTAACAATGCTAACGATGCTAACAATGCTAACAATGCTAACGATGCTAACAATGCTAACAATCCTAACAATGCTAACAATGCTAACGATGCTAACAATGATAACAATGCTATCAATGATAACAATGCTAACAATGTTAACAATGCTAACAATGCTAACAATGCTTACAATGCTAACAATGCTAACTTGCTAACAATGCTAACTTGCTAACAATGCTAACAATGCTAACAATGCTAACTTCCTAACTTCCTAACTTTTAAAGTTATAAGTTTGGCCAAAAGAAACTTGCAATATAACTAATGCAAACTGAAATAAAGCCAAATTTGGATTTCATTTCAATTCTCAAAAGTTCCTTATTTCTTTCTTTTTTCTTTCTTTTCTTATTTCTTTTCTTATTTCTTACCCAACAATATTTTCGCATGGATTCAGCGCATCCGGCTCCGGAGTACACGTAATATTGTAGTAGAAATCTCGTACAATCTCCATCGATGTCTCCTCCAAACACTTCTCGAAGCCCAACTCTTCGGGATCGAATGCTGAAAAAAAAGTTTTGTTTTTTACGTTTTTCTTAGAATACACTTATACGATTAAGGGAAATGCCTAAATTTAGCGATTTCTTTTCTTTCGCCTTTTCTTTTGCCTGTCCTTTTGCCTTTTCTTTCGTCTTTTCTTTTGCCTTTTCTTTCGTCAATTTTGTCTACTCAAAGCCGCCCTCATTTAAGCGAAAAAGTGAAAAGAAAACGAAAAAAAAGCTCATTTGAATTCATTCGAAATAAAGAATAAAAAAAGACAATGACATTTTTGAATATTAGTTTATTAGTTTTTATGAAATTTTCAGAAGTTTTAAACTGTAACCGAAGTTGTCATCAAATTTCATTCATAATCGGCTACGACACCTGTGATTCACAGGTGTCGTAGCCGATTATGAATGAAATTTTTTGGTAAATCTTTCTAGTAGAGCAACCCTTTAATGTATGAGGGCAATATTATATCATCCTGTAGCGAATTCAATTCTGCGTCGATTGGTACCAAATTTGTGAGTTTAGGTTAAAAATTACCGGCGCTACAACGTTTCATTCAAAATCGGCGGGACCCCCGTAGCCGATTATGAATGAGTCGGTCTAGGAGCGTCCAACCATCAAGTATTTAGTATCATTCAACGCAGAATCATTGATAATTATGTTAAATTTTTAAAATTAGCAAGATTTGATGAAAAGAAAAAAAAATTAGAGCAAAAAACTGTTTGTTCAAGGGGAAACTTTGAGGCCCCATAATTTGTGTTCTTTTTATCCAATCTTTCTAATTTAAAAAATTTAACATAATTATTAATGATTCTGCGTTGAATGATACCAAATACTTGATGGTTGGACGCGTCCGGACCCGCTCATTCATAATCGGCTGAAATTCATAATCGGCTACGACAACAGGGTTTAATGTAACTGAATGTTTCATTTTCGAAGTTTAAACTTACTCAATAGCTTTGAGATTTTGATTCCTGGATAGGCTAGTTTAATAAAATCTTTACTCACGTGGCAAATCGCTATCTAGCAGCTCCTCGGTTTCTACCTCGTTTCCGAATGGATCCAGGAAATCGAACCACATCTAAAACACAGAGCTTTAGTTGATTTCTGAGATCCACTGCGTTTCAGCTCTTGCAGCTTACTCAAAAATAAACGCTGAGAAGTTTAGAGCAAATCAAATCGATCACTGAAGTCAATTTACCCGATTTTCAATGGAAATTCGACTGAAAAATGGAATTTCCATTGAAATTCAGCGACTCTCATTCGGAAAATCGGAATTTCATCCATTAAAACGCTTCAAAATAACTTGTTCTTAAAGAAGATAAGATAAAAAATGTTTTCTAGTTTCTAAAAAACATAATATCTTCCCAGAAACATTCAGAAAATCATTCAGAAAAACGAAAAAAAGTCAAAAAGTCAAAAAAAATCTGGGAAACCCATTTTCCATTCAAAATCTTGAAATTTCGATCTCAAAAACGATTCAGCTTTTGGAAATGATAAGCGCTATTGACATATTTGAAATCAGCATCATTAAATTAGTTTTCAAATGCTTTCAAAACTTTACTGAGTTGGGAAAAAGCCATTTTCCGAAGCTCCAAGCCTTGAAACACAGAGCTTTAGTTGATTTCTGAGAAACACTGCGTTTCAGCTACTGCTTTAGCTGTTAAAAGGCTTCAGCGACGTAGCGACTAGCATGTCTCAGCATTCTCAGCCTGTTCATTCAGGCTCTAGGGTGTTGGTTGCTTGCAACGCGTTTGGTGACTATCTGTATCGTGGTGCCAAAAGCGGAAGGCATTTTCGACGTTTTCTCTCTGAGAGATCGCAACTTGTTTTCATATCTGGTTGATCCTGCCAGTGATGATATGCTCATGTTAAAGACTAAGCCATGCATATCTTGGTTGCATGCTTACTCAAAAATAAACTTGTTATTGTTAAATAAACTATTGTTTGATCTATAGAAAAAATTCTTTAACTCAATTTCTTTATTGGTTTCTTTTTTTGGGTTTTTCAAATCTACGTCTTAAGATGGGAAAAGAATTAGAACCTTAGCTTGCCTCAAACTTCGCGTTTTTTGAGTGATGCGCTGCAAGATCTGAAACGAAATGTAGTTTCTAGCTGGACATGGGAGAATTTCAAGCCGAACCTAATTCCATCTTTGTTTTCTTGGCCGATTGCTCTGAAATTTAGCTCTGAAATACATTTTCAGCTTGTAGACAAAATTTCAGAGCAATCGACCAAGAAACAACCGGAGAAAACGAAGGTGGAATTAGGCTCGGCTTGGAGTTTTTCAATGTACAGTATTTACGGTAGGTTAATCTTCATTTATTCCAGCTTAAATCTATTCAAAAGCATATCAAACCTAGGCCAAATTAAATTCAATGAAGTCAAGATCAATTAGCAGATTAATCTACAGACCAATTTACAGATCGATTTGCATATTAACATTTTGCTGAGGCAAAGATGCAAAGAGGCAAAAGTACCTGGCAAGTATTCATTTCTTGCTTTTCTTGTGACTTGTTTTATTCTTTAAAATCTATTCTTCTCAATACGGGGTACCGTTGTGTGATAAAGATTTTTCTAAAATCTTTTTATTACATATCGTTTAAAATCGTTTAAAATAGCTGAATTTCAGGGCTATTTTTTGATACCTAAGCGCTCATTGTAGCATAAACCAGTGTCGAGAAAAACTCGTTCAAAGCTAGACTACGCAACACTCCGCACCGTCATTATGGCGGTGGGGTACTATTACAGTATTTACGGTAGGTTTATATCATTTATTCTAACTCAAATCTATTCAAAAACCATACCAAATCTTGGGTAAAACATGTTAAAATTGCTGCTAAATTGAAGTAAGATGTTAAAGTTCAATTTGCATATTAACATTCGGCAAAATCCCAGCAACCCACCTTTTCCCTAAGCAAATCACGTTCTGTTGAAGCTTTTGGAGAACGTGTCGATGTCCCGAGCTTTATCTTTGCTCCAACAACGCTTCTACATTTATTTAGATCTCAAAAAATTGATAACAATACCGTTTTTGTAGCTTTTTCTTTTCTTTATCCATGCACATTCGTCGCTTGATTTCACCGGCTTGCTGAGAGTTTCCCTCGAAGTCGAGATGCTAAAAGTGAAACAAATATTTTCAACGTTTCAATTCAAACCTTAAATAGACAACAGTGATGTGGATAAGTGAAGAAAGCTTTCTGAAGTTGAGAAAACGAGAAAACGGAGGGCAACTTTTTGAGATTCGGCACATTGCGGAGGGCAAGCGTTTTGATGTTTTTGAGGCCATTTATTGGGAGAGTTTCGATTGAGGTATGCGAGAGGTCTCTGAAAGAAAGAATTCATGAAAGCACTCGTTCATGCAAATCATTTACTCACTTATTAGGTTGAGGAAAAAGTAATGTCGGTTTTGAATTCCCGTTGTTGGCAATTTGCCAGTTCTTTGCTTATGCGATTTTTTTTTCAAATTGATATCACCTAGACACTTCTATACTTTCATATTATATTGGGTTGTCCAGTTATGAATGCTCGTTTTTTACTATTTTCTAAATTTCTCAAGACACCGAAATCAAGAAAAAGATATATATGAGTATTATTCTGAAAGCTGAAGATCTCCTCTACATTTTGATATAAAAAGTTTTGGAATTTGTTCAGCTTTTGGGCAAATTGACAAATTTCTATTGACCCAATAGAAACGCAAACGTGGCGGGATTTGTAAATGGTTTGTAATTAATTAATTAGTTAGGATTTGGAAATGGTTAGAGTAGATGCTTGTAAAGTACATATATAGTAGATGGCTGTAAAATGCTAATCTCTTTTATTATTACAGTACGACATGACTGAATAGCTTTGTTTTTAGTAAAGCTAAAGCCTTAACCAAAACCCTTTCCATTCAGACATACTGGTACTGTAATAATGATCTGTATTAATTAATTTTTTTGAAAAAATTAAAATACAGATCAAAAAAAAGCAGTCGACACTTATTGGCTCAAATTTTGGCTCGAAAACTCCCCATTTTCTTTTGAGGATGGGATCAGAGACTTGCGACAAAGATGGGAACAAGTCATCAATAATAATTGAGAATATCTCAATGATTGATGTGCGTTTGTTTGTTTTTAGCAATAAACAATTTTGTGACAAAAACCGACATTACTTTTTCCTCAACCTAATAGCAAAAACTTAATCAACTTACAACTTATCTAGCTGAACAATATCGCGAAAAGCGTCACTCGATAGGCTGTTCAACTTGGGGTTATTAGAAACATTTCTGAAATTTGAAATTTGAAATTTGAAATTTGAACTTGATCGAGTGAAAAGTGCGGGAAATCTCACAGTGAAAGGATTGTACTGTTGTAGAAAGCGCTGCTGTCAATATGAAAAATATCATTGTGATCCAATCTAAAGCACTTATTGAACAAATTTTGCTGAAAGTAAAAACTTGAAAGATCGAGCCTTGAGCTCTTTGACGCGTTCGTTGCCGATGTATTGAATGTGATTGTACGAGAGATCGATTTCTACCTGTAACATTCGATTCTTTATCGTAGAAAAGCTAAAAATGTCTATAGTTTATTAGCTACATTATACAAAGCTACAGTAATCATTTGCTTTACTGTAGCTTTGCTTTACAACTACAGTAATCTTACAATCCTACAATACAAGGCGCGGCATCAATAGTATTACGCTTAATGCTTTCTTGGTACTTTCCCATTATACCACTTCAGCATACAAACCATCACAATCACATTATAGCACTCCTATTTAAGGTGGCAGGTAGTGATACAGTTAGAGTGGTATAACATATAACGAATGGTATGCAAGAATGGAGCTTAAAAAGCACTATAAAAGTAGTGCTTTTTAAGCTCCATTCTTGCAAATGCGAGCTTGTTTTGCGAGCTAGCTTGCCTTGCCTTGCGAGCTTGCCTTTCCTTGCGAGCTTTGCCTTGCGAGCTTGCCTTGCCTTGCGAGCTTGCCTTGCCTTGCGAGCTTGCCTTGCCTTGCCTTGCGAGCTTGCTCGCTTGGCTAACAAAGATGGGCACATTCTTAAGAAATTTCATTTTTTAACAACCGATAATGTTTAAAGTCTTAGATGAAACGAATGAAGTTTTAAATTTTTACAGAAACGCATAAATTTAGTGAAAAAATGTCCGTAGCTTTGAAATATGTAAACGAAAAAACTGTGAACTCTAATGTTTTGAGAAAATCCTTTTGTAGAACGCAAGACTATATATGCCGCACTCTGTAATCCTTTGCTTCTTATCCCACAATAAATCCTACAGTAATCCCACAATAAATCTGGTTAGACAGTATCTTTTCGACACATCTTTTAGGCTTTTATGCAACTTTCCGGGCATCATAGTTATTTTGCTTCTGCTTTTTTACATTCAATGCTTGAAAAACCCGAAACCTCCATTCGATTTCGGGACGTCATCTCAATGGCGGGCATAATTTGCAAACCAGTTCGAGTGACGATTCTAAAATCTTCATTTACGACAAAGCAAATAAACCCACAGTGATTGCATTCGGAAATTCTCTCGAATCAGTTTCCCTCGAATTTCTTTCAAAAGCGGACAATCACTGATTGCTCTAAAAAATCGAAAAACTATATGAAAACACAGAAAATCAAACATTTTCCTCAAATTCACCAAACCAAAAAGCGAAGCGTTGAAAATCTCGAGTTTCAACAAACCGGAAACATCTCTGAAATACAAAGCAGATCATTTAAGACTTCTATATCATTTAAGACTTCATTTTAAAGCTCACAGCTCTTCCAAGTATCGATATTTTTCAAAAGAACTTATATCAAGAGTTGTAATTGAAGCGTTGTAAATGTATCTGAAAATTTTTGATCAAACTTTTTGTTTCGCTAAAAACTACAAGATATTCAATCGTGTGCTGAGATTTTTGGGTATCTCGAAAAGCTCTTTCCCTTGACAACAACATCGTGTCGTTCTTGTTGTCGATGTACAATCGCATCCGCTTCTGAAATCATCTTCTGAATCATCGTATTGACTTAAACGGTACATATGACACTAGTAGACATCAATTTGCATATATTCTTGGGCTTTGAAAGTACTCTAAACGTACATGTGACTTTTGTGAGCACAAGGAAGAAATTAGCATACGGTAAATACTTTACTAGACTTTACTAATGCCACCTCCTCGTACAATCGCGTAGTCTAACTTCTTTCTTCTTCTTTCTTAGCATTCTTTCTTAGCATTCTTTCTTAGCAGCCTAGATTTTCCTAAGCAAACTTTTGATACCAAAAAAATACTAGATTTCAAGAGCTATCATTTGACTCGCATACTGTAACATTTGACTCGCATAGCGCATACTGTAACAAAAAGCAGCGCGGAGAACGGGACATTCAAAGTTAGGCTACGCGAATGTACGCCCGGCATTAGCATAGCGTTCTATTAAAGTAAAAAACCCGAAAAACCCGCCTAAAACCGGGTTTTTCAGGCCTGGAGCCTTGTCGCCCTTGGTGCAGTCGGGAGCGTGCTTCTCTACGACCCACACGATCCGGGTTCGAGCCCCGTAGTCGCACTCCATTTTAACTTTTTTAATTTTTGTTTTAAATGGCATAACTACAATATATTCTAAGATTTTCTAAAGAAATTTTAGCTTTATTGGTCAAATAATGGTCGAGAAAATGCCCGTAGAAACAGACAATAGGGTTATTTGGGTCCTTTGCGCAACTCGCCATGTTGCACCTTTGCGCAACTTTCTTCTACGTCGACCAATCTTTATGCTTTTGGTTTCATTTTGTTGCACTTATGCTCTTTTATTGATAGTAGATTTACGGTAATCGTTTGTGAAATGGATGAGAAGTATTGCATTGATTTACATAAATGTAGACCCATACCAGAGTCCCAAGAAACACTATAATGTACTCGTAACTTTGTTGGACCCAAGAACATATGGAAACATTTGTGCCTTCTGCATGCAAATTTTCAGATCTACCGTCACATGTACCGCTCACTAGAGAACGATCAGATTTCACAAGCACCAATCCAAACCATTGCATTCTTTTGGAAAAAAGACTTTTCACAATACCCTACGAAAGATCAGGAAAATTGGGGTAGGCTAGTTTTCGCAATTTTTTTTTTGCGCAATAGGGTTATTTGGGTCATTTGCCCAACTCGCCATAACTTACTTCTAAGTGGATCAATCTTTATGATTTTGGTTTCATTTTGTTGCGCTTATTGAGATCTACAAAATGAAACCAAAATCATAAAGATTGGCCCACTTAGAAAAAAGTTATGGCGAGTCGGACAAACGATTCAGTTGCGCAAATGACCCTGTTGCGCAAAAAAAGTTGCGGAAACTAGCCTACCCCCTATAACGATATCGAAGGGACCAAAAATTTCTATAAAACGATTCTAAAACACGCGCCACATTTTCTGCGTAGCTGCGTTCTTTTAAAGTAACTAACTTTTCCGAAAAACAATAGAGTTTCCGATCAAAACCACTTGCTCCATCAACGGCAAAAAGGAAAATAAGTAGGAAAGCGAGTGACAAAATCCATTCAATAAATATGCGTGAAATTTTGACGATTTTCTGTTGAACAATTCAACGAACTAAATCAGAATCGATAGCTAAAACAAAAATGAAACAATAGCTAAAACAGCTAGCTAAACTAAAACTAAAACAATAGCTAAAACAAAAATGAAACAACAAGTTAAACAACAACAATTTTACGCTAGATTAATAAAAAAAACATTTTCCTATTTTGTTAGCGTCTCAAAAAGGTTTATTAGAGAAATTATGTGGGTAAAAAATTTGTCAAATCTAGAAAAACCTTCACTTTTTTCAAGTGATTCCTAAATTTTCCACAAAAATTTATTACTCCATTAGTTTGGGGCAGAGTTTAGATAAGAGAAGAGGCGAAAGAGAGAAGAGGGGCCTCCCAAAAATAGAAATCATTTTTCGAGAATAATCGCAAAAACAAAAAGAAAAAACTGAGGGTTTTTTGATGGAAAGGGTCATCATTTTTAAGTAATTAAAGTTTATGGATCGATTAAAGCTGAACGAAAATGGAAAAGAATGAGCAATCAATCAATAAACATCTGATAAAATGAACGAGGAAAAGGGGAGGGTTTAAAAAAGAGAAATCTGATTGTGAAAGTTTTTCTGAAGAAGCGAGGTGCGATAATCCGCTGAACTAGAGAATCACTCAAAATTTGTCTGATTACAGGCGGGAGAGTGAAAGCCATTACGGAAAGCCGAAATTGAAACAGAGAAATTTCGTGGAATCGAATCTATTAGGTTGTTCGGATATAAACGAGCGTTTGCACTGCTTAACTCGCGAGGAATCTATTTCCCGTATCTGATGCGCATCCGCATCTCATCGTCTTTCGAATGGCGTGGAGTAGAATTTGAACATAGAAACGGTTCTCCTGGTCCTAGCCATTGCCGTTTTCAAATAGTATTATCGAAATAGATCCACTTCTCATCTTCAGTAACGATAGAATCAAAAAAGCCATGATCTTTAGCGTGGCGGATGAGAATTCCGGCAATAGCGACCCATGAAGCCTTGTTTGCACTGCTTAACTCGTGAGGAAGCCATTTCCCGCATCAGATCGTCTTTCCAATGACATGGAGATGCTCATCAATGGTAGAATTTGAACATAGAAACTGTTGAGCAAGTTCACGTGTCGTTTGACATGGATCTGATTTGATTGCAGCCCTCAAAATATCGTTGTCTACCGTTTGAGGTCGACGAGAGTGTTCGTGATCTTCGAGACTTTCATCACCATTCCGAAAGTGTTGAAACCAGGCTCGGCATCGGCTTTTGAACTTTCGGCTTTCGAAAATCATTCCCAAATGCTTTGACCAAATCTCGATGGGATTCCGCGATTCCTATTTGGTTCCTATTTGGTTCCTTTGCCCAATTTGAAGTCGTAAAGTAGGCAGACGCGAACTTGAAGTCGGTCATCTAAAGTCATCTAAATTTTTGAAGTCGGTCATCTAAAGCAAGAAAAAAGTTCTTAAGCATAAGAAATTATCCGTTTAAAAAGATTCCAAATATGCACAGGATAACGTACTTTTAAATACAGAAAGACATCTTTTAAAAGCTTCCCTCAGCTTCCCTCATAACAATAAGTTTAGCAACGCTTGTTTATATCCGAACAACCTAATACTATTCAACTTCCAATTAATTGATGAGTTTGAAAAAAATGTGATAAGATCTTTGGCGTTTTTCGATTTCTCGTGATTTACACCATAATTGTCGCAACAAGATATACCGTAAAAGCTTTAAAAGAAGACCCCCCAATAGGAGCGTCGCGTAGTCTAAGTTTACTCTCAAACAAATGCTCATATCTTGACATCCAGTATGTTTGTTTCTGCGCGTTTAGATATCAAATTCAAGTAGAGAGAATGGGTGATTTTTTGAGATATAACGCATATTTTTAGCATTTTGGTACCCTCCATCCACGAGCCAACACGCAGGCCGATCGCTGTCCGATGAATTCAGCGAGGTAGCTCGATAGGAAATGACGTGCCGATGCTTCTTGTTCTTGTAGACCGCGGTTTTTTGATTCATCTCCAATTCTTTCACGCAATAGTTGATCGAGGTCCACTGTTGAGTCCATCCATATATGAATCGTAGGATTGTGAGAAACGGAATTTTGGCGCCCTCCATCCACGAGCCAACACGCAGGACGACGTTTTGTCAAATCTCCATCGGGGATTCTGTTTCAGCGATATCTTCATAACGTGATGGTTGGCGCATGTGAGTGGTAAGCAAGATGTGGCGTTGTTGAAAGAACGAGATTGCATCGGTCTCGGTAAGCGGTAAGCAAAACATGAATCCACCGCCGCTCAGGAAATAGCAAAAGAATGAATTTTCTGTGGTTTTCCTTGTTCATTTTCATGGAAGGATGCAAATTTGGTGGATGTATAACGGAAATGATCGGGGGTTTATTTTTGCCGATGTATAACGGAAAAGAACCGAAGCCCCCTATAGGAGCGTCGCGTAGCCTAATTTTACTTTCAAACAAATGCTCGTAGCTTGACACCAGTAGGTTTGTTTCTGCATGTTTAGATATCAAATTAAAGTAGAGAGAATGGGTGATTTTTTGAGATATAATGCATATTTTTAGCATTCTATTAAAGAAATCCTTCGCCTTACACTTTTGCAGTAAGAATGAGCTCACACTTGCACGAGCTGTTTGTGTTTGAGCCAGTTCATGCGGAACCCATTTTCCCGCCCGATTTTTCTTTCCAATTTGGTGCAAATGATTTTCAATTGCAGTATGACAAAGATCCCAATTCCTAACAAAATTTCGTCGATTTTCTCATCGTTCACCTTCATCCCCAACTTTTCCATCAATTCCCATAATTCCTCTTTCGAAATGTAAACATTTGTTTCTTTATAGCAAACATTTCGAAAGCTTCGAAAGCTTCCGTTAACTTGTTATTATTCTCACATTTATTTGCCTTGTTATCAACTTATTGAATTGTCCTTTGTGGCACCAAAAATTCGTAGGTAAATAAGCAAAAGAGCAAAAGTAAAAATAAAAGAGAAAGCCTTATCAAATCAATTTTCATTTTAATAAATGTTGTTTTCATTTCGTTTAACACTTTGAAGATAATCATTAAAGCTTTCATAAGACTATTTTATTTTGAATACAATAAATTTAAGCCTAAACCAGCCGTTACCAGGGAAACGATTGAAGCTCGTTCAACACGTTTGGTTTTTAAAATACTAAAATGTAAATTTCCTTAATGAGAATCTCTTTTAGCAACTCTTCTTTCTTTATTTATTATGCCTTTTCTATATCAAGGATCTTACAGGATGACCAGAAATCAATTTCAATCGCGGCTCCTTATTTTTGTCGACCAGCCATGTTTAAGAGCTCATAAAAAATTATCTATCAATGCTATGGTCATCAAATCTTGAACATATACAGAAAATTATATGGATTTTCATTTAAAAAATAAATTAATCGTTTTGATCTACAAATAATAGAAATATGAGCCTAGAACGGAGTATTAGGACGAGTTATTTCTGGCCACCCTGCTCCTCCTTGGTATCCTCAGTACTTTTAGCTTATCCTCTCAATTAACATTTGCCTCAAAGCATCAAAAATTTGCATGCACCAAAAGGGGTTTTGGGGATCTTCTGCGAGAAGCGGATGCCCGTCATTTTAATCTTGATATCGTTTAATTTATGAAAATCTGAGAAAGTGAGGAGATTACTTGCTCATCTTATAAATCAAGACAACTTTTTTAGAAATTACAAATTCAAAAGAGATATGACGCATGGTGCATGCGGAGGAGGAGGAGGAGGAGGAGGAGGAGGAGGACATTGCGGTGGTGGAGGAGGTGGTTATTGTGGGAACAGCCCAAGTGCTATAATGATGTCCTATGCAGTCCCGTCGGCTTTCGCTTCCAGTAGTCACAATGATGTGGGGGTGGGATTTCAATAAGCTGTTAGCAAGCAGAAATATCAGAATCATAGAATCAGTAATCAGATCGAGATGTAGCTGATTGAAGTAAGATGTGATCGATCTTTCGTCCTTTATTTGCGGTTTTTCTTAATCGGCAAACACAAAATATTGAGTTGGTGGGTAGATTCGGGACGTTTTTTGAAAAGAAAATTTTCTTCAATGAACAACTTCAAATCATGCGAGATATTTGCCATTATTTTGTATGATTTATGTCCATTTCACTGGCAGAAGTCGAATGCCTCTTCTCGCAGAAAGTCTTCGGTTTTGACGCAAACCGATCCGTGAGCCATTTTTTTGAGCTCTTCTTCGGAATCGAAGTGTTTGTTGGCCAAATCATTGCTCATCGCCCGGAATATTTAGTAATCAGAAAGTGCAATATCAGGGCTGTATTCCGGATGGACCATTATCTCCCATCCAACTGAGTTTAGTTTGAAACGAGTCACCTTCGAAACACGCTCTAGCATTATCATGTTGAAGAATGATTTTTCTCTTTGGGGTCTTTTCTCTGGCAAAAATTTGGCTGAATTGTCAAAATTGCTCCGATTATTTTATTCAGTTGAGTGTTGTCTTGCTATCCAAATCCATGAACATTCTCAACATTAGTTGAACACTAGAGGCCCTTTTGCTTTTTGGAGGGATAAACTTCGATGATCACGCTCAGGTCATAAAGACATTCAACACATACTTCACCTCCTTGTGTTCTTGTAGAAATTCGACAACATAACCAGTCGCAGATCTCCAGGTGGTAGATTTTCAATAGTTAGAACAAAGTAAAGTAGAATTCCAAAAACGAAATATGTCGAAAGTGAAAGTCTATTGTCTTCGCAAGAGTGAATGTTCATTTATCTATTTTCCACAAACTGTTGACATCGCTGGGATTTAATTTGAAAAACGTGCTAAGTGCTACCCACCAATCCAATAGCTGATTGAAGTAATAATCAGGAAAGTTTAAAGTCTCAACATCAGTTTGCTTTGGGTTTCACTTTTTTCAGGTATCAATGTTTTAGGGTCGGCGAACAAAGCTGGGAACATTTTTCTCTTGGTGCTGTTGCATTGCAATCATCTTGAGCCTTGTTGGACTCGGTGTTGGTGAGTTAACTAGGTAATGAAGTTAATAAACAAGAGCTCCTGATCTACTATAGCTCGTCAAATTGTGGATTCTATCTCATTGATTAGCAATTACATTTTGAGATTTTGCGACTAATGGTAATTACGAATTACCATTCGTAGCAAAATGTCATTAGTCAATTTGTGTCTGTCATTAGATTTAGGTTGCAAATTTGTTAAAATTTGATTAGAGGAAGAGAAAAAAGAAGGGCAGGACAGAGTGTATAGTAGTTTTTTTTGTTAAAGGTGATGATTGAAATGAGGAATGCAAGGTCGACATTCAAAGATTATTTATCAATCTTCTAAAAGATAAACTTTGTCTAAAGAACCCCAAACTTCTTCAGCTTGGACCCACATTTGGGGAAATCCACAAAGCTGATTTTAACAACTTGTTTACAGGAATCTCATTGATCGTTTCAAAAACATCGAGCCCAAAATCGCCGGGAAATGAAACCGACTGTGGATGCGATTGATATTGATTTAACTATATTTAAAAAATGTTTAGTGACAATTTTGCCTTTTAGTTTTGATAATAAACTTCATGAAGACTTTGGTCTAATGAATCTCGTTCGAAATATTCTTGGTCGAAATGTTTGATATGTTGGCACTGCGGATGTTGGTTTAATGGCATAAAGTGCTCGAGCTGATTTATCTCTCTCAGTAACTTTTGGTGTGGAACGTCTTTGCTTCGTCAAAGTTTCATTTTCTGAATCGGATCCAGAATCCGATTCAAATTGCTCAAAGGTAGGCTCACCAGCACCGGGAAGTCGAGAAATATACCGATTTCGCATCACAAGTCGCACGCGGCCCGGCTGAACGAGAGGAATTTCAATTGGTTTTGGTTGATGAGTAGTCGAGGGTAAAGATAGATCGTGAATTGCAGTCGATGGATGCATTTTTGATGTTCGATGCAACAGATACTTCAATAAACTTCAAATAAAAAATTTGGTAAATGATGCGATGGCAAAGGAGTAGATTGTTGATAATGTGCAAAATATTAGGGGTTTGCAAAAGAAACTGCGCATGACTTTCCGGAACAATATTTTCTCTATTTGAAAGTGCTCTAACCCAGTTTAAATTTTATTCTATTGTGTTGATAACGCTTATTTATTTTACTGATTTTCACATTTGTTTGACCATTGTATTATAAATAATTTTAGTTGTCGAAGATGACGGATCAAAAATTCGTTTTGCGGGCTTGCCTTCTCTATGACATTAAAATGAAGAAATCAGCATTGGAGTCGCACCGGAATCTTTGTGAAGCATTTGGAGAAAACGTTTTTAGTGAAAGAAGTTGTCAGGAATGGTTCCGGCGTTTTCGTGAAGGAGATGAGGGCTTGGAAGACGAGCCCCATGGACATCGTCCTGTTGTCCTCGATAATGCGGAGTTGCTCGAGGTTGTCGAGTCGGATCCAACTCAAACTTTGTCCGAATTAGCCGAATGCTTTAAATGCGATAAGAGCACAATTTCCCGACACCTTTTGCTTATTGGAAAAAGGAAACGTTGTGGCCAATGGGTCCCACATGAATTGTCGCCTGAAAACAAAGCCAATCGAGTTTTATTGTCTCGGATTTTATTGAAAAAGGCTACAGGCAGTGCTTTTTTTTGAAAACATGTTGATGATGGACGAAAAGTGGACATATTTCAATAATGCAACACGCAAAAGACAATAGTTGAGCAAAGGAGAAAGGCCGTTTCCGACATCACATCCAGAACTTCACGGAAAGAAAGTTATGCTGTCGGTCTTTTGGAATATGAAAGTAATCGTTTACTTTGAATTACGAAAATCTTCAAAAACTATAACTTCACAAATCTACGCCGAACAGCTGAAGAAAATTGATGAAATTCTACGAGAAAGAGGTGTTAATCCAAGGACAATCCATTTACTCGCTCACAATTTCCGGGTACACACATCAAACTTGGCTCGAAACACCATAGAAGAATTAGGCTGGAAACTTGTGCCTCATCCGCCCTATTCGCCTGATATCGCTCCCTCAAATTACCACTTGTTCCGATCTATGCAACACTCCCTTGCAAATCAACAGTTTAACAATTACCAAGAAGTCGAAATTTGGGTGCAAGACTATTTCGCGTCACAAGATCCGGAATCTTTCGAATCAGGCATCCGAAGTCTACGTAAAAAATGGAAAAATATAGTTGATAATTTTGGCGAGTACCTTTTGGAATAAAGTCTTTTATTATTAATTTTCGAGGTGTTTGAACGTTGCGTATAATACGCAGTTTCTTTTGCAAACCCCTAATATGATTGAAAACAAAGAGAGTTTTGGTTTTTGTTTCCCAAGCACAGTTTTTTTGCAAAAAAAAAGAACTCTATTGAAATGATTTTAGTATGATGCTGTAAAAGAGTTGGATATTGGTTTGATTCTGTCAAAAAAAATGATCTCACGATCCGTTGGGTGTACTCAAAATCGAGATATTGATCTCGGAAAATGCAATTCTAAAGCGTGGATGCGGCAAAGAAATCTAAATTTTCTTCTTTAATTACATTTAATGCAGGGATTTCTTGGAAATACATTAAAAGTTTTTGCTTTGTAAACTTTACTTCCAAAATTTTACTTTTGTTTTTTAATTTCATTTTACAAACAACACAAACCCTAACAAACAGCGCTAAGTTTTTTTTAATGTTATTAAAAGCTAACTCTAATTTAGCGTTCTGCTAAAGAATGAAAACAAGTAAAAAATAGTGCTAACGGGTTTTTTTGAAAATGAACTCGAGGAAATGGAAGAAGAAAGCTTAACAGACAGAAGCTCAATAGAATACTAAAGCTTTAACCTTTATCCTTGTTGTTTTTGTTATCATTTTTCTTTATTTGATCACAGTTGCTTTCTAAAGCGTGGATGCGGCAAAGAAATCGAAATTTTCTTCTTTAATTGCATTTAACGCAGGGATTTCTTGGAAATACGTTAAAAGTTTTTGCTTTGTAAACTTTACTTTCAAAATTTTGCTTATTTTTTCCCCACAGGCCCTGGCTTTCGAGAAAAACGCTTCACCATTCACAAGTTTCACCATTTTCGGCAAACTCTCACCTCATTTAGAAGAGAGTGCCACGGCAAAAGGAAGCAGTGACTACATACATGACTGAGTGAGCAGTGTAGGGAATAGTGCGTTAGTCTATCAAACTAGTGCAGTCTTTGCTCCCGGGTTCGATTCCTTTTGCTTTTTTTGTAAAACTTCCGCAAAACATTTTTTGGTGTCCCTAAAGTGTTTGCTTTCATCTTTTTTAAGTCCATAAAAGCTCATTTCCGTAAAAGTATAATCTGTATGATCTTTCATGGGCACTCTTTCGTCACAAAACCATGTACACATTTATTTCTCAGAATTTCAATACACTTCACTTGTTCGACTATCCTCATCGTTTACTTCGCTTGTTTCCTCGTTATTCTAAAAGTTTTAAAGTTTCAAAATTCAAATTCAAATGGTTGACCGTTTCCCCTGGTGTTGGCACTTCATTTCCATCTTCATTTCCATCTTCAGCCTCATCAGAAACAATCTTTTCACCCTAGAAACGATTGGTTGATTGGATTCGGAAAGGAAATTATTTCAGATCATTGATTCTACTGAAAAAACTACTTCAAATCATTGATTTTAATTGTCAACGAATGAATTTTAGACGATACAAAAGGCTGAAATAGTTATTACCGTAAATACTGTAATAGTACCCCACCTCTCTCGTACAGTCGCGTAGTCCCAAAAGTTTTTTAGTATTTTTAGTATTTCATTTTTTTTCAAAGCGCCCGTACTTTCAAAAAATGTGTCTTTGGTATGAAAAAATAGCCCTGAAATTCAGGGTTATTTTTTGATTCCTCAGCGCGCATTGTAGCATAAACCAGTGTCGTGAAAAACTCGTTCAAAGCTAGACTACGCAACACTCCGCACCGTTATTATGGAGGTGCGGTACTATTACAGTATTTACGGTATGAACATAATAAGTAGACACCCTTAGGAGCTGAAACATAAAAATTTGTTTCTCTAAGTCAATCCTGCTTTTTACAAGACACAAAAGTAGAGGCGTAGGTAATATTAGGTTGTTTGAAAAGTTCGCAAATTTTTCCAACAAATGTCTCTAAAAAGATAATATAAATAATATAAATGACTTACCGTAAATGCTGTAATAGTACCCCACCCCCCTCGTACAGTCGCGTAGTCTCAAAAGTTTTTGAGTATTTTTAGTATTCATTTTTAAGCGCCCTCTTCAAAAATGCCTTTGGTATCAAAAAATAGCTGAAATTCAGGGCTATTTTTTGATACCTAAGCGCGCATTGTAGCATAAACCAGTGTCGAGAAAAACTCGTTCAAAGCTAGACTACGCAACACTCCGCACCGTCATTATGGGGGTGCGGTACTATCACAGTATTTAAGGTATTTATATACATCAATATCTCGAGCGACCAAAAGTCCGAACACCATCGTCTCCTCGCAGCCAATTTTGACCATTATCGAGCGAACTGTGCGCAAGAAACTCTGAAAATAGTGAATCTTTTTTAGGAGAATGCTAATAATCTACAATTTTAAGGGGGATAAACTAGAAACTAGATAAACTAGATAAATAGATTACACACACTACATATGGAGAACTGAATCCATATCACTGAGCTCTAAAAAAGTATCACTGAGCTCTCTAAAGTTTTCCACTTCACTCACCTCACCACATGCTCTCAATTCGGGAAGTGCTCGCAACAAAATTGGGGATTTGTGTTGCTAAAGTAAGAAAATTCATATTCAAAAACTTTAAAATAAGAATAAAAGTTAAAAGAAGTCATTAAAAAAACCTTTGCATAGATGCTAATTTGTTGCAAATGTCGGCTGCCAACTTGCATCGCTTTAAGCGTTCGGTGGGCTTTCTCGGACACCTTCAATTTCTCGAATGCTTCGAAAAATGAGCTAAAAAGACGGTAGAATGATTTTCGCAATCGTTTTAAAAACCTATTCTTGATGAAACTGAGCACAAATTTGCGTCCCTCACGTGCAAACGCGATCAACATAGCGGTGCTTCGAAGAGATTTGTGCTGAAGAAAAAAACAAATATTCTAAGTAAAATTTGAAATTATTATAAGTAATAAAAAGTAATAAAGTAATCATTTTAGGTAATCTTTTTTTAAGTAATATTCTAAGTAATCTTTAAGTATCTTTAAGTATTTTAAGTAATCTTTAAGTATCTTCATTTCAAGTAATCTTTATTTTAAGTAATCATTTTAGGTAATCTTCATTTTAGGTAATCTTTATTTTAAGCAATCTTTATTTTAAGTAATCTTCATTTTAAGTAATCTTCATTCTAAGTAATCTTCATTTTAAGTAATCTTTATTTTAAGCAATCTTTATTTTAAGTAATCTTCATTTCAAGTAATCTTTATTTTAAGTAATCTTCATTTCAAGTGATTCACTCAAATTTCAACTTTCAACTATGGCTATATACCGTAAATATTCTAATATTAGATTGTCCGGAAATAAATGAGCGTTTTGTATTGTTTATTATTGGATTATTTGGGTACATTTTTCTGAATAAAGTATGCTCTGTACATTGTAATATTATAAAACATTAGAAAGCTGAGTTCGTGCTCTCTCTAATAGAAGCCCCGGTAATTTTTCGTTATATTACATCTGCAATAATAACTTCTGATCATTTAATAAACAAAAATCGTTCAATTTAATCAAAATCAAAAATAAATAATCAAAAAAATAAACATCAAAGTAAAATGAATGAGGAATTCATGCCGTAGCAATTTATTACAACATCCATTCGTAGAAGTCGTCCTTTCCTACTTCTTGTCGATGAATTCAGCGAGGTAACTCGATAGGACATGACGTGCCGATGCTTCTTATTCTTGTAGACCGCGGTTTTTTGATTCATCTCCAATTCTTTCACGCAATAGTTGATCGAGGTCCACTGTCCATCCATAGATGAATCGTAGGATTGTGAGAAACGGAATTTTGGCACCCTCCATCCACGAGCCAACACGCAGGACGACGTTTTGTCAAATCTCCATCGGGGATTCTGTTTCAGCGATATTTTCATAACGTGATGGTTGCCGCATGTGAGTAGTAAGCAAGATGCGGCGTTGTTGAAAGAACGAGATTGCATCGGTCTCGGTAAGCGGTAAGCAAAACATGAATCCACCGCCGCTCAGGAAATAGCAAAAGAATGAATTTTCTGTGGTTTTCCTTGTTCATTTTCATGGAAGGATGCAAATTTGGTGGATGTATAACGGAAATGATCGGGTGTTTATTTTTGCCGATGTATAACGGAAAAGAACCGAAGCCCCCTATAGGAGTGTCGCGTCTAAGTTTACTCTCAAACAAATGCTCATATCTTGTCACCAGTAGGTTTGTTTCTGCACGTTTAGATATCAAATTAAAGTAGAGAGAATGGGTGATTTTATGAGATATAACGCATATTTTTAGCATTAACAAGGGCTTAGGAAAAATGATTGAAGAATGATGGAAAATCAGCTTTTTTGCTACTTTAGAGTAAAGGCGAAATTTTCTATTTAGTGAGATTTCAAAGAAATCTCGGTTTGATAAAGAAAAAGTTTTCAATAGTATTGATCCGTTTTCAAGAATTTCTGTGTACTTTCACTTACTTCAAGCATTGCAGCCAATGCGGCAAAGATCCCAGCGGCTTGTGCCCATTTTTCGATGCACTCTGTCGGGGTGGAAATTCGAGAAGAAAGCTGAAATCAAAGGGAAACATATAGCAAATTTTCAGCTCAATTGTTTCATAGAGAACGCTAAATATGGCGTTTGATCACTGGTGGCACAGATTGACAAAGATGACAAATTTTATTTACCATATTAGACTTGGCCCAACTCTCGTTTACGCATTCATTCAAACTCGAGAGTGCCGCTCGATAAACCCCGGTGAAAGTTGTTCTAAAAGGAAAATTGGTAGCTTTTTTTTTGTAATGAATACGCTTCTTTGGTCTGGTCTCCTTCCCTATTAAAATCTTATTCAAAAAATAGAACGTGTTCAGAGGCACTTCACCAGAATTGCTCTTTATAAAATTAATTTTGACAAATTCTCCTCCTTTAGTTATTCTGATAGTTGGCAACTCTTGAAATGTTACACCAACGCCGCCTTATCATCGATTTAGTGGAATGCTTTAAAATTGTTAAAGGCATTCATCCCGACCCCCTTTTTTCTGGTCTCTTTGAATTCGGCTCTCTACGGGGCGCCTCCGGGGCCCCTACGGGCGAAGGGGGCCTTTTCTCATACGCCAACCTTCCGTTTCCTCTAAAAGCCCCAACAGTTTCTTTTTTAATCGAGTTATTAAATTCTGGAACATTTTACCCCGTCATGTTCGTGATATTTCCACTTTGGCTAGATTTAAAGCCGCAATTTCGGCAATTGATTTGACTGCTCTGTGATTCTTTCTTGAGGTATCTATTTATCTTTTGGGTGTGGGTTGAGTGGTGTCCCGGGTAATTATTGTGATTTTGTTTTGTCGCTATTCAACTGAATAAAGCATATATATATAATCTATTAATCCAGGAAAAGAAATTTGAGTTTTTTTTGTTGAAAAAATGTTAAAATATTACTTGTTAATACATCCAAATGGAGTGTTATTGTATTGTTCTTTGATTAAAGGATCGTCGATCGAATTTGTGACTTGCCGATTCGTGTGGCGGCTGGAAATGAATTGAAATTCGCATTATTGTAGTTTAAAGTTTGAGAATTTCTGTAAAAAAATGCAATATCGATCTTTTGAAACTCGAAAAACCTCAACACTTGAGCGATTTTGACCAAAGTCAGCCATTCTAAAGCCACCAATCGATGCGCTTTTTCTCGAATCGAAATGTATTTTCTAAAAATCTTTGCGTAATAAGGAATTTTTTTTTTTTGAACAAACTGGAATAGAATAAAGACGGATGCGTTTAATTGAACCGCTTTCAATGGTTTATAATCGATATCGACCCATTCGCGACGAAGGAATGAAAGGAGGTGAAGGCCTGAATGGCTTAAATTTTGAGAGATCTTTGAGAGATTGCAGGAAACACTTCTATTAATGAACACTTCTAAACACTTCTACACTTCTATATTACAACCTCTCAACAAACAAACCAAGAACTTCTCTTTGCCCATCCGTGCTTTCATCCGAAATGTTGTTGGCTAACTCGCTCAAAATCACAGCCACTTCCAAAGAAGGACAAACCTAAAAGAAGGGTTTTTTCGCTAAATTTTGAATGAAGCTAAGTTAAAAACAAGTTTTCTATTAGATTTTCTATTTCTAGATGTTGAGGAAAGTACAGGAGATAGTGCTGATGATATATTGGATGCAAAGAAACAAGCACTACGGAAAATGGTGATTGGAAAGAAATGGTGGGCTGGGAAAAGAATCCAAAAGGCTTAAACCTGGAAACCAAGCTTACAATTAGTGAATTTCTGGCCGAAACAGGAAACTAGGGTCTACAATATATTGGGTTGGTGAATTGAAAACTGCAGGCTATTGTCATATGTCAGAGTTTGAGCACTTTCTTCAAAAGAAACCCATTTTGGTGTCAATGGAAAAGTTGTAGAGAATCAAAAATCAAGCTTATATCCAAATTTTGAGAACGATTCAAAAACTGGTTTTCAAGAAATGCAAAATTTATGAATTTTCACAAAACTTGCATTTTAAGCGAAACTACTAAGTGTATCTTTTTGGAAATTTGGATATAAGCCTCATTTTTGATTCTCTACAACTTTTCTATTGACACCAAAATGGGTTTCTTTTGAAGAAAGCGCTCAAACTGGGACACTGGGACAGCTCCAGTCATTTTTGAGTCTCACACTTGTCTCACACACAAACCAAAATCCTACTACGAAAGAGGAATCCGAAAATCCGCAAATTGCCTGTAAAATGGGCAGAAGTCGTCAATAATAATGGAAACTATTTGGAATGAGTTGATGGTTTTATTTTCAATAAATTTTAGCTCAAAGTTCCGCAGTTTTCAATTCACCAACCCAATATGAGACACCCCCGAAAAGTAAGCGTTTCATAGGTCCTCCAAGTCTCAGCTCCTGTATTGAAAATGAAGCCAAATGACTATTTTTTTTTTGAGTTTCTCGATATTAAAAACCCAATGAATCAAATCTTTTTAGCAGTCAGAAACTAATCCGCGCATGTTAGTACTCAAATATCCAGTTCTGACTTGTAACAACTATGGGACATCTCGGAAAAGGCAACAGTTTTTCAAGTAACAACAATATAAGAACATTGAATAATATGTCTGAGCACCATTTTTTTGAGTAAGCTCAAAAAGCTTTGAAAGTTTTTCGATCCAAAACCAAAATCCTCAAATTGCCTTTAAAATGGGCAGAAGTCGTCAATAATAATGGAAACGATTTGGAATGAGTTGATGGTTTTATTTTGAATAAATTTTAGCTCAAAGTTCCGGCAGTTTTCAATTCACTAACCCAATATTTTGCAGAAAAATTATTAGACTTTCTAATGAAATAAACTAATTGGTGCATTTGTTCGTTTTAAATAAAAGTACGAAAAGGAAAGAAAAGACTTTAGTAACAATAGGATAAACAGAAAACTATGAAATGAAATGAAATGAAATGAAATGAAATGATCAAACTCACCTCACACAACTCAATGACGAGTTTGCAAGTGATCGAGTTACCGAGATTTTGAGATGAGTTTAGCTGAAAACTTGGTGAAACGATCTTTTGAATATTACAAACTCTTATATTCAAATATTCAATTGTTGCGTTTTCGATGATTCGAAGAAGTTCTTCTCGTTTTTCCCCATTTCTAACATTTCGTTGGGCTTTTTTGCTGAAATTTATGTAAAATTTATATAAAATTTTTTTTGAGCTTCTTTGCTTCTTTCTTTGCTTTTCTAGAACTTTATCCAACCATTCCAACAAAGTATTCAGAATTTGAAGAGAAACGAGCAGAAGTTTGACTCTTTTGAGTGTTGTGCGCCTCTTTCAACCATTCCCGTTTCATCGCACTCCTAAACAAAAGAAAAGAATCATTTCCACAAAGCTAGATTTATCGTCTACTTCTTTTAGAATATTTCTTATGTCGGCGATTGTTTTGATTATTGACGGAATTGATTTCATCATGAATTTCCAAATTTTAGACGGTTCACCGTGATAGAATGGATCGATTTTTGTGGAAGAATTCTAAATTTTGATGATTTTTATGAGCGAATGAAAGGTTACATTGAATGGACTGTTTCTTCTTTCCTTCTTTGGCAATGCAATCCTCACAATATCGATCAATAGAAGTAAAACACTTTCACGAGTTTCGCTTGAAAGACTATCAATCTGGAAGTTTGGTTTCTTTTTAAAAGTTTTTAGAATTCTTTAACTCGTTAAAAATGAATGCTTTAAGTCAACAAACAAACAAACAAACTAACTAACTAACAAACTAACAAACAAACAAACAAACAAACAAACAAACTAACTAACTAACTAACTAACAAAACCCGTTTAACCTTTTTGTGCTATTCAGCTATTGCTAGAACAAAATTATCTCAATTGATAAGTTTAAAGAATTTAAGGAATTCAAGGAAAACCATCATGGAAAGTTGAAAATTTTGCCTTTTTTCCATTGTTCTGTTAAAGATTTACTTAAAAGTTATGAAGTTTATGATTTGTTTTTACTTAGAGAACTAAAGGATCTGATTCCGGAAACCAGTTCTGTTATAGGCTCCATTTTACAGCAACTCTATTTCTAAACTTGCTTCTAAACTTGCCTCCAGCAACTTCACTAGAAGAGCAAGTTTCAGCGATGGAAATAGCGTGTGCATTTTGTTGAGTGAAAGAATCTAAAATTTGAGCATAAGGCTTTGTGCTTTGTGCATTGTGCTTTGTACATTGTGCTTTGTACACTGTGCTTTGTACATTGTGCTTTGTGCATTGTGCTTTGTACATTGTGCTTTGTACTTTGTGCTTTGTACTGCTTTGTACATTGTGCTTTGTACTTTGTAAAGTCTGTAAATGTCTAGCTTTAAATGAAATATGCTATCGAAAAAATGTTCATTGCAATGTTTCCTCACCGTTGTATGAATTCCTGGCATTGCGTTTGGCTTTTCAGTTTCATTTTCTTCATTTTCTTCTTCATTCTCAACATTTTCTTCCTCAAGATCGAAAGCTGATGGGATCTAAAAAGTTGACTTTAAAAAAAGAGAGTTTTGTGAGATCTGGGATTAGGGTCAAGAGATTCAAGATTGATTTGAGATAAGCCATAATTATCGGTTCTAGATTGCCGATTCGTGTGGCGGCGTTCTAGATTTTATCACTTGACGAGACACACACCTTGCCATTCACTCATTTTGGCGCCATTCACTCACTCTACTCACTCGATATGGTGAAATTATATTTCCTTTTTCTTTTATGCAATTCAATTTACTGTGCCATTCACTATGAGATTAAATTCTCGTTTGACGAGAAATTGGTAAGAGATTTTGTTCGAGTTGTTCGAATTTTTGAATTTCAAAACAATAGGCAACTTGGCGTAAACAATTGGCCGTTCATGACACGATGCCAGCTACTTATGTGAGATTTCTTGCATTCAAAAAGCTCATCAAGGATTTCAATCCGATACAAGAGGAGATGCTACAGGTGGAGCTGGATTGGAAATACGGCTTGGAATATTTCGATTGAGAGATTTCTCTTGAAATTGAAAGATTTCTTTAAAGCTAGATTTCTAAAGTGAAAGGGTTTTGTGGTTAGACAAGGCAAAGGTTGTTAAATTGTTAGCCAAAACATTGTCGTACGGCTATCGGAACTTTTATACACGCTCCGCCCCTTTTCCCATTAACAATCCAACTTTAAGCTTAAATTTCTTGGTGTTGAGCTGTCCAATTTCTAAATTATTGGTATCATTGGATGCGCCAAGCCTTCCTCTGTCGATTGATACAAAAACTATTTAAATTGAACAGCCCAACACTAAGAAATTTCAGCCCAAAGTTAGATTGCTAATGGTAAAAGGGGCGGGGCGCGTATAAAAGGTCCATCGCCCCACCCCTTTTCCCATTAGCAATCTAGCTTTAAGCTCAAATTTCTTGGTGTTGGGTTGTTCAATTTAAATAGTTTTTGTGTCAATCGATAGTGAAAGACTTGGTGAATCTAAGGGTACCAATAATTTAGAAATTGGACAGCTCAACGCCAAGAAATTTAGGCTTAAAGTTGGATTGCTAATGGGAAAAGGGGCGGGGTGTATCAAATGTCTCACAATCTTGTCGTACTGAATCTTTTCAGGCGTCTCTTGAAGCTGAAACTGCAAACGATCAAGGAATTAAAGAAATGATTATCAAGATGAGCACAGAAGCCAATAAAGAAGTGATTTTTCCAAATAGCTTTTTCTCAAAGAGAATTCAGATTGAGAAGCGACTTCTCATTCACAAGCCATTCCTTGCCGCCATTAACAAAGTGGTATATAAACCATGAAACGATTTGATTTAGATCCTCTTATTCTTTCCCAACGAACCTCTTGATCTTCAATGTTTCTCTTCCTTTTTCCTCCTTTCTTTCCCGATTGCTTTACTCGTTTTTTTGCTTTTTCTCTGTCACCTAATTTTTCGTTTTTTTCTCTAATAAGTTTTCATGTACTTACCTGAGTTTTCTTTTGTTCAAAGCTTGCTTTTGGTACTTCCCATTCCGTGATATCTATTGTGAATTTGATTATTTTTAATAAGAAACGAAATACTTGAAATGTAAGCAGACAACAACGATTGACAGGCGATCAGCAAACGATATTTCTTATGCAATATTGCTGATTTTTCATTGCAAGATGATCCAAAATTGTTGAGAATCTTAAAAATTTCAAGTGAATACTTGTTATCAAGGAAATACTGTAGTGAGCGCATGTATTGTGTAAAATAGAACATCGGCCGCGGTCTTGACTTCCGGAATTGACATTTCCTCAACATCACAGTGTTGCTTGATTGCAAAATTTGCATCTAAATGATGAGAAATCGTTTGAAAAAGTTAATTCTATTTGAATTCTAGCAAATCCGTGCTTTATGAAACATTTGTTTAGAGTTTTTCTTGAGAAATGGAAAATAGCGCACGTTTGTTAGAACTGTACGCGGTGAATACGATTTTTAACAAGATACGATCCACCAATCGTACTAATGACGAATATCTTTGAGGTTAACTCAAGTTTTTAAGGAATTTCTGGTTTATTTCAGCAGAAAATTCAGCTCTTACGTAGTTTTAAGGCTCTTTGTGTATTTTGAACGGCTCGTCGCCCTTTGAACGCCGATAACTTTATCCAGAGATAATATTATCGTTAACTTTTTATATCATTGTACAGAGAATATCTCAGGCTTTCAAATGATACCAAAGCTTGATTGGATAATCGAGTCCAAGAAAATTAAAGCCAACTCTGCAGGCCTATCCAACTCAGGTGTTGTGTCGCCTGGGAATAAAAAAAATCCAGTCAAGCTCTATTTGGTATCATTTGAATGATTTTTGGCTCACGGAAGAAGGTCTTTCGGTTCTTGCGTGGTTTCCGGGTATTTTGAAGAATCGCCAGCCTTTGAAGGCCTATAACTTTATCCAGAGATAATATTATCGTTAACTTTTTATATCATTGTACAGAGGACATTTCAGGCGCTTTCAAATAATACCAAATAGAGCTTGATTAAGTCATCCAGTCCAAAAATATCAGAGCCAACCCTGAGCAAATGAGGCCTATCCAACTCGGGTATTGTGTCGCCTTGTTTGCATGGGAATGAAAAAAACCAATCAAGCTCTATTTGGTATCATTTAAAAGCCTGAAATCTCCTCTGTACAATAATATAAAAAGTTAGCAATAATATTGTCTCTGGATAAAGTTATCGGCCTTCAAAGTGTGACGAGCCGTTCAAAATACCCGGAAGTCACGTAAGAGCCAAAAATTTTCAGTAACTTTGTACTAGTTTTCCAGAGGAGATTCAGGGCTATCGAATGACTATAATAGTTTAGTTTATCTTTGAATTTACACTAGTAACGACTACGCGACTGTACGCTCACTGTACGACTGAATGTGTTACCAAAAAGCAAACCAAAAATCAAATCCAATATCTTGGCGTCGATCATTTTTGAGCAATTTTCGTTCTTTTTTAAGCATCTCTCTTCGGCGTGCAAAAACTAAATTTATTGTTGAGTATTGGATTCAATTTGATCTCTCAAGTTAACCTCTTGCAACATTTCCAACATTGGAACGAAAATCGGCCATTCCTCTCGTTTAACAACAATCCAGATTTTGGATTTCAATCGATACTCTTCTCCTTCGAGTTCACTAAAGGAATTATCGTATTCTCTCTAATAGTAGTGCACTCTTTAATAGTAGTGCACTCTCTAATAGTATTGCGGTCTGAGAGGGGGTTGAAAAAATAGTAGTGCGCCCTCGAAAATTTGAATTTCTCGTGCTTCGTTTTCATCTAAACCTTTTTGACTTTATGTTTATGTAACATTCTAAAGGTATTCAAGCAAGCAAAAGTGAGCTTTTTTTTATTCATTTACCTTAAAGTCTCGAGTATAAGTTGATCCGAGTATAAGTAAGTTCTGCCTTAATTTACATTCGCTTTAATTGCTTTGAATTTCTTTTTGTTGGGTTTTTATACATTTTTATTGTTATATAAACTTTTATTATTGTTCTTGGAGCGCGGGATACTACAGGGTGACAGCCTATCACCATTGCTATTTGTTATGTGCATGGATACATCCAGACAATAGTGTTGAAGAAGACGCTGGAAAGCATCTCTTTCGACCGTCGACGTGGACTTTGGCCGGATGAAGAGGCCAGGGAGGGATCCATAAGACTGAGCACCGGAGAGGAGCAGGGTGGACGCGCCGAGCCACGCCCGGAGCAACAAATAACAGCATAAAATTGCTATAACCCTCAATAAATTTACTTCTATTATTGTTCTTAAAAAGCAAAAAAGTTATGCTGCAGCGGGGTTCGAACCCTCGACACACCGCACCGGAGACAGCCGTCAATTTGCATGCGAAAACCAAACAGAACTTATACTCGCGACTTTAGGGTATTAGCTATTCTTCACATGAAAAAGTTAGCAAAAAAATCTAAAATTGTTGTGCAAAGTGCAAAAACATCTTTTTGTTGTTCGTCAAGACACAAATTGTCAACTCGCCGGCCCACAACTGTATGTCAAAAGGAGCCAAAGGAGTACGTGAAAGAATTGCAAGAATTGAAAGAATTTTTGGAACAAAGATCTGTCTTACTTTGGTAAATGATAAAACTCTTTAATAGTAGTGCACTCTCTAATAGTATTGCGGTCCAGGAGGGGGTTCAAAAAATAGTAATGCGCACTACTATTAGAGAGAATACGGTACCCTTTTTTTTCACTTTGTTGGCTTTGTTAGATTCGATCTAATCGGCTGACATTCGATATAATTTTAGATACCAGGAAATCAAGTAAAAATGGAGATCAAGTAGGCAACAAAAGTGTCCGACAGTCTTACACTCAACTCACCTTTGTCCATTGTAGTTATTGCCGCGATCTTTGAAGAAATCCTTTTGAAACTCCTCGATTAATCTCATTGTCCATTCAAGCTGATATAAATTTGAAATCAATTTCAAAACTAGCACTTACTAATTGTTTTGGAACGGAAATTTTTCGATTCTCTTTTAGAATCTTTGCCATAGAAAGGAACCATGTAGCGCGAAGATGTGGATCTTTTTGAGAAATTTCATCGATCGCTTTCAAAAGTTGCTTCATTGCCGTTTCTCGGTCCGAATTTCTGAATTTAAAATGATCAAAGCTTTAGATTTTCTTTTTGATTCCAAAATATTGGGTTGGTCAATTGAAAACTACAGGGCTTTGAACTAAAATTTATTGAACATAAAACCATGAATTCATTCCAAATAATTTCCATTATTATTGACGACTTCTGCCCATTTTACAGGCAATTTGCGGATTCCTCTTTCGTAGTAGGATTTTGGTTTTGAATCGAAAAACTTTCAAAGCCAATTTTTGACTGCTTCTTCCAAATCGAAGTGTTCTCCCGCAAGCTCATTACTCATGATCCAGAATAAATAGTAATCAAAAGGGGCGAGGTCCGGACTGTATGGGGATGCGACAAAAGTTCCCAAAACAAGGCCATTTATTTTAGAGCGAGTCAGTTTTGCAACATGAGGGCGCGCGTTGTCGTGGATGAGAAAGATCTTTGACTTGGAGGACATATTCTTCTTCAGGGATTCATTCACCTTTCCCAACTGTTCACTGTATTTGATTGCATTAAGGGTCGTCTTGCTATCCAGCAACTCCCAGTACACCGGGTGCACTACTATTGGGTTGGTGAATTGAAAACTGCCGGACTTTGAACTAAAATTTATTGAACATAAGACCATCAATTGATTCCAAATAATTTCCATTATTATTCACGACTTCTGCCCATTTTACAGGCAATTTGCGGATTTGCGGACTCCTCTTTCGTAGTAGGATTTTGGTTTGTGTGTGAGACAAGTGTGAGACTCAAAAATGGAGGAATGGAGATGTCAGCTGCCAGCACAGTTTGAGCACTTTCTTCAAAAGAAACCCATTTTGGTGCCAATAGAAAAGTTGTAGAGAATCAAAAATCAGGCTTATAGCCAAATTTCCAAAAAGATACACTTAGTAGTTTCGCTTAAAATGCAAGTTTTGCGAAAATTCGTAAATTTGGCATTTCTTGAAAACCAGTTTTTGAATCGTTCTGAAAATTTGGATATAAGCTTGATTTTTGATTCTCTACAACTTTTCCATTGACACCAAAATGGGTTTCTTTTGAAGAAAGTGCTCAAACTGTCACATATGACAATAGCCCGCAGTTTTCAATTCATCAACCATTGATTCAATTGAATTTTCAATTCACCAATAAACAAAGCATAAGCATAAGCTTTGTAAATAATGACCATAACACTTTCATAACACTTACTCGGAGGAAAATGTTGCTTCAAACTGGGCGATTAAACCCAAAAGAGCCCAGAGTTGTAAACGACTGTCGGTAGACTTTGAGAAATGATCAATTGAATCGCAAACTTCTTGCTAAAATTAGATTTTCTTTTTTTTTTGATTCTTAAACTTTTCACCTTCAACTTTTGTTGTGCGCCTTTCGTGTAGATGAAGACAAACAAGCGATAAAGACGAATACAGCTATCAATTGTCAAAAATGACAACTTATTCAAGCACTCCTAAAAACTCATCAATTTTCTTGTTCAAAGCAGTCTTAGAAGCAGTTTTTAAACTTAACTTTAAGTTTACCTTAACTTTAACTAAAATTTAATTTAATTATCTAATACTCACTCGCAATTCGTCAGTATGAGATGCGAGTACTTGGAAAGATGTCTTCATCAATGCTTCGAGAGCCGATAAACAGGTTGAAGCTTCTGCTGAAGTGCCCTCTAGATGAGAAAGGAGACGCTTGAATACTATCTAGAAATTGAATACTATTTGTAACACTTACACAAAACATTAGGTAAATAGAGAATGGCTGAAAAGTTCTAGTAAAGGGTGGGAAAAAATTCTGGGCGCACCCCTTTTGGTAATATAGTTGTCAAAGGCCTAATTGAATTGAAAACCCCGAGAATCCTAAGAACTCCGAAAATCGACCTAAACTTTGATGCCAGATATCTCGCGTTACAGAGCTTCTTTAGACAAATTAAAAGCAGATTCAGAATCAGCATAGCCGATTCTATAAAGACCCATGGGTCTTTATAGAATCTTTCCTATAAAGACGTATTAAAAGGTCACCTTGATCTAGTGTCTTTCCCTAGTTCCTACTTTTAAATTCAAAACTTTTCAGCAATCAAATTTCAAGTACTTTACAAATACACAATCTTTGTTTTTTTTATGTAACTTGTGCAATTTTGTTTTTGTGATTTGTTTGTGACTTACCTTTGAGTGTTTTGCATTGAGTGATTGTATCAATCCGGTGTAAATCAATCCACCAATCCCCCTTCACTGAATCGTCGTTTGTCCAAAAGAAACGACTAGCCAAACGCAGAATTCCATCTTGATTTTTAGCAATAAACTAGATTTATTTTTTTCAAATTTTTCTTTTTTTAAACAAACTTTTTTATAATTGAAAGCATTGAGGAGAGTTGCTTTAAAAGTGGAGCTTTTCTCGGGATTAATAGCCTAAAGCAAAGCAAAGAAGTAGGCTTTAAAAATGACTTAAAAATCCCTTCTCTCTTTCTTTCTTTCTTTCTTTCTTTCTTTCTTTCTTCTTCCCCTTGTCTTTCCTTCTTTCTCTTAGACAAGTTAAGATACCAAATAGCTTAGTGGTTAGAGTAAACGCCTGGAAAGCAAGGGAGTCAATCGAGAGTCTAGGATTCAATCCCTCAATCAATCCCTCAAATTAAATCTACTTTTTCTGGCCTACTTGTTGCTTCAACGATTGTTCAATGGCCGGTGGACAGGTTTCTTCTGGCAAAAGAGAGAAAAGCGAGAAGAATCTCGAAAAGATTGAAAGCCTAAACAAGTGACTGTCATCATCACGTCCCATTAAACTCACAGCCGAATTGACAATCTCGTTTTCTGCACTGATTTCATCAATTATCGAAATTTCTTCATGATTTTCATGATTTTGTTTGCTTGTTGATGCCTGAAACTTTTTTTAAACCTTAAAAAAGCTTTTTCTGCCTATCTTCCAGCGAAAAAGGAAGGAATTCTGCGTTTACGATAGCTTACAATAAATTTACGACAGCTTACGCTTGTTAGATTACGGTAAGAGTCTGCTTTTAATCTCTTAGAAAAAGAGTGATGTTTTAAAAATGAGATCAGTTGGAGTTATCCACCTCTTATATTTCTTTTCATCTATATCAAACTACTATTTTTAGTGCTTACCTTGTAAAAGTTGAGCACTTGTTTCCACCCATTTGTCCCAGTCAATCGCATAAACTTTGGGAATCTCATAAAAAGCTCGCAAATCGTCTCATCTAGAGAAGTCCGCCTGAATTCGAAATCCAGAATTTGATGCTTTGAATCCTTTCTCTTAGACTTCTTACATAGAATCCTCTTTTGATGTTTTCAAAGGATTCCACTCGAAGATTCTCCTTTAAACGATTCAATGTCCGGAGTAAACCATTCTTGTTAAGCTCGGAAGATTTCAGTGCTAATTCAACAATCTAAATCCTTTTATTGAAGTAAATGCGTAGTCGATACCAAAAGAACAGATGAAGCGTCGAAGCTTTCAATGGCATTGATAAGCGAAGAGGATATCTGAAAGCTGATTAGACGAGCTTTAGAATTACTTTTACCTCTTCAGCAACGGTAGAATCGGAACGAAGCAATAGGAGACTAGAGAGAGCAGAATGACGAGATGAACGACTAGATATTGAAGTCCTGGAAATGTTTGTAGGTCATGGATAAGAATGTCAAAGAATTCTTTTGATTAAAAGTACAAGTTGGCATTCCAATGATATTCTAACGATATCCAGGGTGCATCAGAGTTACCGAGCCGAGCCAAGGAGCTGAGCCAAGGAGCTGAGCCAAGGAGCTGAGCCAAGGAGCTGAGCCAAGGAGCTGAGCCAAGGAGCTGAGCCAAGGAGCTGAGCCAAGGAGCTGAGCCAAGGAGCTGAGCCAAGGAGCTGAGCCAAGGAGCTATTACCGTTTTTAGAAGGTGTGTCAGAACTATCGCAACTCACTTCCAAGAGTCTAGCTCAACCAAAATCAAACCAATCTCTCTGCTTCTTTCAGAGATAAATTTTGACTAGATCTCCTGCAGCAGTGCTAAATATTTAGTCAATCGGAGTAAACACAAGTTTTATATTAGCTTTGAAAGTGGAGAGTCGCGCTTCCGTTGGCTAGCAATGGTTTTTGGTATTTAAACCACTATTCTTACTGCAAATCATTCTGAATCTGGTTTTTTCTTGCAAAGAAAATGTCAATGAAAAGCTTATTATCAAAGTAAATCGTTCAAGTTTGAAGAATCATAAGAAAAGAGGATAAAATCTGTTAGATTCTGAGATCTACCTACAAATCTAGAAGCTGCTTGGGAAATCAGAAACAGGAAATGAAATTCCCATTCTTTTTGAAGCAGCTAGTTGCCAATCTTGAGGATTTAACGTATTTTGTTTAAAACTAGTAAAAGTTTCATTTAATTTAGTCAAAAATAACTTTTCTAAAAGCCTCAAAAACGTGCCAACGGGAGCGCTTTCGAATACAGAAACTTCAAGTTTCAAAGCTAATATAAAACTTGTGTTTACTCTGATCGACTAAATATTTAGCACTGTTGCAGGAGATCTAGTCAAAATTTATCTCTGAAAAAATCAGAGAGATTGGTTTGATTTTGGCTGAGCTAGACTCTTGGAAGTGAGTTGCTTGGCTCAGCCCCTTGGCTCAGCTCCTTGGCTCAGCCCCTTGGCCCAGCTCCTTGGCTCAGCTTTTTTTTTCTACAAACCTTTCAATAAGCAGAGCTTGAAGATGCAAAGCGATTTCTTCCTGTGAAATCGGATCAGCAATCACCTATAGATTTCGATTTCTGATAGTTAAAATGAGTGAAAGATACCTCTGGAAGTGCTGCCAGAAATCCATCACGAACACTCATTCTCCATGCTGTGAGATCTTGTTCAACGATTGCCTAAAAGCTTTTAAACTTAAATGCGATTTTGCTAACCTTGGAAATCCTCTTCGAATCAACGACAAAATCAAGGTATCGCAATTGAGCCACACACGCTAACCCAAGTCGTTCATTTGTAGAGTCACTGCTAAAACTTGGAAATTTTTGCATGAAAAGCATGAAAATCTTGTCACTTTTCAGACAATCGATCAATCGCTTTGAGAAGAAGAGTGAAAACTTTTGTCTGAATTGATGAGGTTAAAAGTAAAGCCCGGATGATTGTATCTTGAAGTCCAAAGGCTCTGCAAAAGTTAAATTGGTGAATAAATTTGAAAATCTACGTGTGAATTGGCGATAATAAAGTAGGAAAACATTCTCGATCTTCGAAAGCTTCTTCCAGTGTTTTCAAAATACGAAGACGTTTCTAAAAAGCTTTCAGAAATTATGTACACTATTGGCTGGTTGGTTGTAGTATCTTGTCAAAAAAAGTAAAGTGAACAAGTGCAGTGACTTATCTATTCTTATTAACTATCTCAATCTCCTGACATTTTGCTGACATTTTGCTCAAAGCACAAAAGGATTTCAAAAACAAATCTATACATTCCAATAAGACGGGGCAATTGGTCAATAAAGTCAATAAAGTCCAAGATTTTTCTCGAAGCTTCCCGATTTCATCTCTTTTTCTGAATGGAATCCAGCTCGCTGGCTCTCAATTCGTTAGATTATTCGGTCTTGTTATTCGTTGAGCTTAAAGCCTGCTCAAAACCGCATAAAAATATTAAAACTTTGAAGAAAAGCCTTCTAAAAGCCTTGAATGAACTCGATGATGCTTGCTTGGCCCTTTCCTAAACACAGCGTGCTCAGCTAAAAATAGCTCACTTTGAATTTAATTCTTAATCTCTTCACCATTGATTTCAAATAAAGCTTTTAAAGCAAAGGCTTTTAAAGTTTCCTATCTAAATTTTAATTGTCTACTTATAAAGCTTTTTATTTGTTAAAAGTTCTGTCAACGGGGTTTATATTGGGTTGGTGAATTGAAAACTGCCGGCTATTGTCATATGTGACAGTTTGAACACTTTCTTCGAAAGAAATCCATTTTGGTGTCAATGGAAAAGTTGTAGAGAATCAAAAATCAAGCTTATATCCAAATATTCAGAACGATTCAAAAACTGGTTTTCAAGAAATGCCAAATTTAAGAATTTTCACAAAACTTGCACTTTAAGCGAAACTACTAAGTGTATCTTTTTGGAAATTTGGCTATAAGCCTAATTTTTGATTCTCTACAACATTTCTATTAACACAAAAATGGGTTTCTTTTGAAGAAAGTGCTCAAACTGGGACATCTCCAGTCCTCCATTTTTGAGTCTCACACTTGTCTCACACACAAACCAAAATCCTACTACGAAAGAGGAGTCCGCAAATCCGCAAATTGCCTGTAAAATGGGCAGAAGTCGTCATTAATAATGGAAACTATTTGGAATGAGTTGATGGTTTTATTTTGAATAAATTTTAGTTTAAAGTCTCGCAGTTTTCAATTCAAATATCAAATATTTTAAAGCAAATATCAATAAATTTTCCATTTTTAAGCTTATTTTATGAATATGGAACATTTAAAAGGATATTTTATGCATTTTAAAACTTAAATAAAATGATCCCAAAAGAGTTCTATCTCTTTTAATATTAACGAATTTCTAAATAGAGCCTTTCGGTCGTGCACGATTTGCTGGATTTTTGAAATGATTTGCTATAAAATTTTTTTCAGACTATTTATGGTCTTTTTTTTAAATAAGCTAAACACCAAATAAATTTCTAAATAATATAGGGTTTTCTAGTTTTCTAGCATCAAAAATATTATCTTAATATCCATTTAAATCTACATAAAATTTGAAATTAAGAATACAAATAGGGCAATCAATTTTCTAGCTCAAAATTTTTTTGCAGAAGTAATCTATCGCTTGAAAATCGCTTCTAGATAGTTTAAAAGTAATATTTTTTATGATATTCTTCATTGAGCTAAAAGAAAATTCAGTTTTTAAGCTTTAGCCATTTTTAGGAAAGTGGCAGAACTTAAAGCCCTACTTGATCATTCGAGAAAACCCCATCAAACGTTTTGATCAACTCCGCGTGTGTTCCATTGTCGGCTAAAAGGGTTGTGGCTAGTAAAAGCTCGAACTTTATTAGATTCTATTCATTCTATTCTTTAAAGCTTTAAAAGCCATACACAGAAAAAAGTAGAATCCATCATCGTACTCATAAAGTTCGCAGCGACAACTGAGAAGGAATTCCTCGAATGAATTGCGTGGACCGAGTCTCTGAAAAGCTCAATACACTTTGTACTTCAATAAATTTGTTTGTTTCAATTTGTTTCAATTTTAATGCAAAGCATGTCCATCTTCCAAACCTGTCCTTCTTCCTCAAAATTGTGCGCATTTCTCTCGTCGGCAATTCGTTGTGAAAACGATAGCAACGCGATTCGAATCGATTCCTCATCTTGTTCGTCTTTCAACCGCGAATCTCGATTCCGAGCGCCAAGTGGAACAACTGCAATCAATTCAATCAATAACCAAAATACATTCAAACAATCTTTATCTTTCTCAAGATTTCTCTGGCTTCACTTTCCTTGAAACACTTACCATTGATTGGCTTCTTTAACTTCTTCGTACTTCTCTCTTCAAATGGATCATCAAGGAAATCATCATCCAGATTTATTGCTTGCGAATCAAGTTCTAAGTAAGTTTTTAATTTTTAATCAAAGCAGAGCTTTAGATTTATTCTTAGTTTATAATCTTTTGTTAATCTTTTCATAATCTTTTGTTAATCTTTCTTTAATTTAAGAATGATTTATTTAAAAGTAAATGTACTCAAACTTTACCAATCGCTGGCTTTTCTAAGGATTTCTCTGGCTTCACTTACCATTCATTGGCTTCTTTAACTTCTTCGTACTTCTCTCTTCAAATGGATCATCAAGAAAATCATCATCCAGATTTATTGCTTGCGAATCAAGTTCTAAATAAGTTTTTAATTCCTAATCAAAGAAAAGCTTTAGATTTATTCTTAGTTTATAATCTTTTGTTAATCTTTTGTTAATCTTTTCATAATCTTTTGTTAATCTTTCTTTAATTTAAGAATGATTTATTTAAAAGTAAATGTACTCAAACTTTACCAATCGCTGGCTTTTTTCGTCTCTTCTTTCCAAGAATATTTTCCTCGTTTTCATCAAAAAGATCATCGTTTTCGATTTGAGAAGTCATCTAAATGAATGAATGAAATCTAAATGAATAAAATTAAGAGTATTTTGAGAAGGCGCCAATAGGGAAAGGTGTCAAATAAAAGGAACAGAGAAAGAAGAAAAAAGAAAGAACTCAATCAAAAAAGGATGGGTCAAGAAAACGTGTCTGAACCGGTGAAAAGAATTCGATTAAACAAAAGGAGCTGCTGGGTAAAAATCTGGACAAAAATGCTGGGCATTCGGGCAACATTTGTGAATGAGAATAGTGTAATTGCTGTCGATACAACTGATGAATAGACGATTAACAGCGTTTAACTTGGTGTAATTGCTGTGTAATTGCTAATTGCTAATTGCCGTCTTGTGTTGCTGAAAGCAAAAGGTTGTTACTGATGTTCTGATACTGTTGTTACTGGTGTTACTGATGTTCTGATACTGATGTTACTGATGTTCTGATACTGATGTTACTGACGTTACTGTTGTTACTGATGTTACTGATGTTACTGATACTGATGTTACTGACGTTACTGATGTTACTGATGTTACTGAACTGTTACTGATGTTACTGATGTTCTGATACTGTTGTTACTGATGTTACTGATGCTCAAAAAGAATAAGATCTTTTTCATTTGTTGCTTCATAATTATTGGCTTTGCCTTAACACCAGCGTTCAAATAAAGACACTTTTCAATTGAAATCTCAAAAGATTTGACAATTTCAATTGAAATCTCAAAATATCTGACAATTTCAATTGAAATCTCAAAAGATTTGACAATTTCAATTACTTTTTCGAATTTAAAACCTTCAATGAGATATTTCGTAAAGAAATTTCTGTCCTTTTCTCGCTTTTTCTCGAATGTTCTTTGAGTGGCCGAGCGTGGGTATAAAGAGATCGAAAAATAGAAGAGAGCTCATGATGCAATGCAGAAAATACTCGTAAACACACCAATTTCTTGCATTTCTTGTTCATTTGTGGCTAATTTTTAAGCGAAATTGATAATTGTTCAAATCTCAGGCTTCATCTGTAAATTATAGATAAATTTCAATTGAATTTTCATTGAATGCTGATAGTCAGTGTTTCGTATTGATAATTCTTTTCTTTTTAAGCCTAGAGCTTAGATTTACGTCTCCATTCTTTCTATAAACTGTTAGAGTTCTTCCTTTCTTCCTTGCTTCCTTGCTTCCTTCCTTTCTTCCTTTCTTTCTTTCTTCTTCCTTTCTTTCTTCTTCCTTCTTGTCTTTCCTTCTTTGGCGAGTTAAGATACCAGATAGCTAAGTGGTTAGACCAATTTCCAGGAAAGCAAAAGGTCGAAGTCCATTAAAGTAGTTCAATCCCGTTTCCTCGCTACTTTTTCTTGCCAATTCCTTCACTTCTTTATTAACTCATAAAATTCTTGCTTCTTTTTAGATCTTACACTTGAAAATGCTTCAACGCCTTTCCCACAGAGCTCACTCGTTGTCTCCAGTCATCAAAAGAGGCTTCTTTCATCATTGTAAGTGCAAAATGAATAGAATTTTCGAATTTTCAAACCTATTTTACTATAAAAGCTGAGGTTTTCGATTTTAAAGCTCGATTTTTAGCATGGGAACCGGCACTGCCCGTACGCTCGCTCAGACGACACGCCGATTTGATGGAAAGGGAATTTGAAAGAGCTTTCGTCAATCGTAAGTTACAAGAACTTTAGCAACACTCCCCAAGAATCGAAGTTTATTTCAAAACCTAGATCTAGATCAAAAGATCAAAATCTTTTGGTTCAAAAAAGGTTCAGCTTTTGGTTCAGCTTTCTTCGCAACTTTTCGCCCATATCGCCTCGAGAATCCACTCGAAACGGAGCAATATCGCCTCACGAATCCAATCGTTGAAGAGAATGGAAATCAATTCCTGAAGTTGGCTTTTGATGTGAGAAGATTTAAACCAGAAGAGGTAAATGCATTAATGGAAAATGGAGAAATTTAAATGTCAATGTCTAGGTCTCGATCTCGACGAATTCAAAAGATCGCACAATCACGATCGAGGCTAAACACGAAGATGAAACCTCGCAAATCTCGTTCACGAAAAAGTTCATGATTCCGGAAGGTGTCACGGTGAATGGTCAGTAGTATAGCATTTGAATTTTTTTAAGAAACTTTAAGTCAAAGGCTTTTACATAGGCTTTTGTAACATCTACATCACAATGTAACATCTACATTCGAATTCGTAAAGGGCAAGAAGCGAGTGACGATTTACAGCTAAATTTCGTCTTTTTGTACCATCTCAATGACTGACGAGTTGCTCTCTGTGCGCGTGCACAATCGCTCTCCATCTGGCACACGTCCCCGATAGATAGGTGTTCCCCCTTGAAATCCCGAACTCGGAAGGCCCGTTGAGCGACTGAACTCTGACACTTTCTGGGTGTCACAATGGTCAAATCTCTGAGACCATTTCGCACCCTGAATATGAATCTTTCTACGAATTCTGTAAATAGATGTGGCCTCCATAACCTCCATATGACTAGGCATAAATTTCAGCGAGAAAAACTACAAACTTGGAGGGGACTTTTAGAATTACTAGAATTTTCTGTAAAGTCAATGAGCACAGAACCCAAACTGTGAATTTTTCGACTCTTCGAACATGAACCCGAACTTTCCCCAAGGCCGCTTCAGGGGGTCCTAGATTTTCCGAAACCCAAACTCAGGACTCTAAACGCTTGAACTTTGCAACATGCCAGTACTGTAGCAAGTAGTTAGGCCAAAAACTCTGAAAGAACAATGGAAATAAACAGCATGACGCTCTAATACAGGAAATACAGGGTGCGTCATAATTATTGCAACAAGATACTCAAGGCATTGCACACCAAGAAGTTTCACTGGAAGAAGATTTTTAAACAGAAATAGCTTTATTTATCAGTAACAAATAAGGAAACAAGAGATCATTCGATATGACCGCCTTTTGCCTTGATAACAGCCTTGATAACAGCCCTTAATCGGTTCGGATATGCCTCCACTGCGGCCCGAATGTCATCTTGAGGAGTCGCCTTCCATCCTTTGGTCAAAGACTTCTTCAAAGAATCCAAACTTGTGTGTTTTCGAGAGCAGACATTAGCCTCTAAGATTGCCCAAATGGAAAAGTCCATCACATTGAGATCCGGTGAGTTTGGAGGCCATTCATCCTTGGTGATCACTGAGGGAAAGTTGGCCACACACCAGTCCTGAACCGTCTTCTTCGTGTGAGCGGGAGGCAATTAGGCAAGAATAAAGAAGATAGAACGCAACACAACAAAAAAGGGAGGCCAAAAAAATAAGAAAGCTGTTTGGAAAACGGTCTTTGAACTCTTGTTGCAATAATTATGACGCACCCTGTACAGTGCATAGCCCAATTACTGTTAATTTTAATTACTGTTGATACAGTTAACAATAACAATTACTGTTAATACAGTTAACACAGTAATTGGGCTATCTAGCCTTGTGAATTCAAAATTTCTTTTCAGAAATGACATGTCGTTACGATGAAGATGGCGTGTTGAATCTAAAAGCTCCATACGTTGCGCCGAAAGTCGAAACAAAAACCATTGAGAAACCGGAACCAAAAGAGATTCCAATTAAACATGAATAGAGAAATAAAGTGTACATTTGTTTAAAAGAACATTTGATTTTGTTTTTTTTAATAAAGCTTTTTGACATTGACAACGATTACACAATTTATTCAAAACTCATTATTGTAAAAATTGAATCAAAAGTGTCAAATCTCGTTTTTAAAAAAGTGCTACTTACATTGGAAATTTGTGATAAATTGAAGCAATAACTGAGCAATACAGAAATACAGAAATACAGAAAAATGAAAAGTTGCACATGTACAAAAATTTCATAGAAAACTATTTCATCAATAATAAATAAACAGGCAAATTTTAGAGACCCGAATGATCGAGATAACAAAAAAAAGAACAGAATAAACAGAACAGAAATTTCTCTAATAGTAGTGTACACCGGCGAGCCGAGTTGGTGACTATTTTACGGTTTCCAAGCTTTCGCAGAAGCTCAACACTCAAATCCCCCACAAGACCTCATCGTCAGCTACATTTTCCGACCCCACATCGATAGGTAAGCGCCTACATGGATAGATAAGCGCTTTTCGAGATTTCGAGGAATTTAGACGACGATCAGGGTGCACTACTATTAGAGAAAAAAAACGGTATTTTATCAGTAGGAAATGAGAAAGAAAGGCTTAGGAAAAGGCTTAGGCCAAGATTTCTCCTTATGCATGACTCTAGAATTCATTCGGTGCGCCTGGAGGGTTCGGTGCGCCATTTAAAAGTGTGTTTTTCATGTACCGGCTTTTTCCGGCGGGTGGTGGCTTTTTCGTTTCCTTCAGACCAACCCTCGCCCATCTCTCTCTTTTTCCGCCCCCTGGTTTGTAAGCGGTTCTCGGTTTCGGTTTGGCGCGCTCAGGGGCACTACTATTGAGAATGCGTTCGTGGTTCGTCGCTTTGCGACTTTTGCTTAACACTTTTGCCATGTGCTTTTTTTTCTTTCTTCTTCCTTTTCCCTTTTCTTCTTCCGCTGGCGCATAGCTCATTGGTAGAGCATCTGATCGGTAAGAAGGCCGGTGGTCTGTCGGTTAGGTCAAGGGTTCAATTCCCTTCGCTACCTTAAGGCATTAATTTTTTCACTTTATCACGATAGTTTTGCTTACTTTAAGTACTTTTTCCTGACAAAAAATCGTCGTGAATGTGTTAACGACTTATAAAATCCCAGTTTTGTCGCAGTACTCTTGAATATTCTTAAATTGTTACAAGAATAAATATAAAGTTCTTCAAATAAGTTGGAAATGCTCATTCTTAAATGCTTTTATTGCTTTAAGAATACTGTAATGAGGCTTAGGCTTAGGCTCAGGCTCAGGCTCAGGCTTAGGCTCAGGCTTAGGCTTAGGCTTAGGCTTAAGTGATTGCTCAACCTTACTGCAAACTAGTTTGTTTAAAAGATATTTTAATAATAAAGAAGTAAAGGAAATGGAAGGAAAAGGTAGATTTCGGGAAAAGGGATTGAACCCTCGACCTGGACCTCGCCCGCTTGCTTAGTTGCTTTGCGGGCAGTCGCTCTGACCACTGAGCTATGCGGTACCCCGACTCAGCAGTCGAAAAAAGAGTAAGAAAGGAAGTAAACCGAAAATTAGCTACTTACGGGTAGCCAAAAATCTCATTGATAAAATGTGGGGCTATCGAATTGAGAGAAACGATTCGAGCTCGATCGCTGAGAATGATTCGATTGGACGGATGCACGACCGGTTGAAATCTGAAAATTTAGCGCTAATTTTAGTTTCAAGTTTTAGTCAATATCGATCAAATCAATATCAATATTTTTAGTCAATATCGATCAAATCTTTGATTTAAACCAACCATCGAAGCATTCCCTCCACCAAATTGATTCACTCGATCTCGAACCAATCCCCGTCGATTCTGTGCGATGAAGGCGACCGATGGGCGCGAGTCGAAGCCATCTCCCATATCCAATTCCTTGACATTATAATTAGTTCCGTAAACTTTCACTTTATACCGATGTCGACGAAGCGGAAACAATAACATTTCTATAGTGCTCGCTGTGTCCAAACTCGTCAGCACTTCGTTGTCTCGAGATGCTTTTCTAGAAATAAAAGGAATTAAGATTGAAGAAGAACCAAAATGAAGAACCAAAAATTTCATTTTTCTAACGATATTCTTCAAATGCAGATTCATCCTTTGCAGGAATATATTGGATTGGTGAATTGAAAACTGCGGGACTTTGAAGGGAACTGAGGGAACTAAAATTTATTGAACATAAATCCATGAATTCATTCCAAATAGTTTCCATTGTTATTCACGACTTCTGCCCATTTTACAGGCAATTTGCGGATTTTCGGATTCCTCTTTCGTAGTAGGATTTTGGTTTGTGTGTGAGACAAGTGTGAGGCTCAAAAATCGAGGACTGGAGATGTCCCAGTTTGAGCATTTGAGCACTTTCTTCAAAAGAAACCCATTTTGGTGCCAATGGAAAAGTTGTAGAGAATCAAAAATTAGGCTTATAGCCAAATTTCCAAAAAGATACACTTAGTAGTTTCGCTTAAAATGCAAGTTTTGTGAAAATTCGTAAATTAAGCATTTCTTGAAAACGAGTTTTTGAATCGTTCTGAAAATTTGGATATAAGCTTGATTTTTGATTCTCTACAACTTTTCCATTGACACCAAAATGGGTTTCTTTTGAAGAAAGTGCTCAAACTGTCACATATGACAATAGCCCGCAGTTTTCAATTCACCAACCCAATAGCTTTCTGAACAGAAGTTTTGGCGAATAGCCACAAGTTGAGGAAAATTGTATTCAAATTGGGTCTCCATTTTACGTCTCAATACAGTAGCCCCCTCGTACTCAAATGAATATCTTTGCATAGAGTTTAAGGGATGAAATTCTCTGTTTCCAGTCTGCTTTTCAATTGTTCTAGTTAAATCCGAACAATTGTGCTAAATTTTGTTTTCCTTATTTTGTTCTACTGGCTGGCTGGCTATAGTTGACGATACAAGAAATAGCTGGCTAAGTGTAAAAGTTGCCTAATTGTCTCAAGTTCTAACTGGCAAGTTGAGCAAGAGTAAATTGGCATAAAAGCGCGTTTTTTTACACATTCAAAATACAGTTGAGAGAGCAATGAGAGCTTTAAACAATAGCTGGCTATACTTTAAACAATAGCTGGCTACACTTTAAACAATGGCTGGCTACTTTAAACAATAGCTGGCTATACAAAGCCTATGCTAAGAAATAGCTGGCTATAGCTGGCTCTGCTAAGCCTAGTTGAGAAAAACCTCTTACAGGGGTGGTAAAGAAGCAAACAAAATGGAAATTGACCTAATCCGTCTTTTCTGAAACTCACCGGTGTCCCAAAATGTCGTCGATCGAGTACACTCGCTGAAACGCCTTTTCTCGTGAATGGAGAAGTGGTTTGAGTGGGCTCGGCTCTAGCCACATCAACGGGAAGCTCCGATGTTGTGGGTGAACGAAGAGAGCTTGAGCCTGGCGAGTGAGGGACTCGAGTGGCCGATTGGCGAGATAAGCCGGGAATTTTTGGAACTGAAACATTGTTTTTATGGTTTATTTTTAAAAGTTCGCTGTTTTACAATGAAATGAAAGAATTTCGTTTCATTTTGTTTTGAATTTCGTTTTGAAACTGAAACACAAAAGAAATTTCACCTCTAAAAGAATCGAAGCTTAATTGGTGGATGATCGTCGATCGAGCTTTTGCGAGAGATTCGGGCGTTGACTCGAATGGCTCCTCTCGTTCGGCCATCGGGAGCGGATATGGAGAGCGGGGACGTGTGGAGCGGGTGCATTCGATCTCTGGCTCAACGACGACATTGATCTGTCCACCAGATCGTTCATGCACGATTGCAGGGATCTAAATTCATATTGTTTTTTGATTAAAAGTTGTTTAAATACCGCCATATGTCGTGCCACGACAGAGACAACGCTCACCGCGTTTGGGTGGTTACCGGTAGATAATCCCTGAGAAAAGTAAAGTTTGACAAATTTAAAACCATCTTTAGCTTCAGCTTTCACCTTAAAATAAACCCATTAAGGCAATTCTTTGCTTGACTCAAAAAATTCAACTAATGAAATACTTTTTTGAGTAACACTTGAGCACTTACTATTGGTTATCGGGCACTTACTATTGGTTATATTTGAGGCAATGGCAGGGGCGCCGCACCCCTGCCATTAGCAATCTAACTTTGAACTCAAATATCTTTGTGTTGGGCTATCTAATTTATAAACTATTGGTATCATTGGATGCGCCAAGTCTTCCTCTGTCGATTGGTACAAAAATTATTTAAATTGAACAACCCAACACCAAGAAATTTGAGCTTAAAGCTAGATTGCCAATGGCAAAAGGGGTGGGGTGATCAAATCTCCCACAATCAAGAAGTTGAGATATATGATTTTTCAAAAAAATACAGTACGCCTTCTAGTATTAGCAAATGGCAAAAGGGACGAGGCGACGGACCTTTTATACACGCCCCGCCCCTTTTCCCATTAGCAATCTAGCTTTAAGCTCAAATTTCTTGGTGTTGGGTCGTTCAATTTAAATAGTTTTTGTACCAATCGACAGAGGAAGACTTGGCGCATCCAATGATACCAAGGATATTTAAATTGGACAGCTCAACACTAAGAAATTTGAGCTTAAAGTTGAATTGCCAATGGCAAAGGGGGGAAATCCTTACTAGAGCATGTTCCTCTCAAACAAATAACTATTTGAATAAATTTACTCAAATAATTTTTCTATTTGAATAATGCGTCAAATAAACGTCAAATAAGGCGTTCTAAAAAGCGCCTCTAAAATTTTGATGCGAAATTGCGCGGGGTGGCTACTTTGCGCCACTGCGACATTTGCGCGACTAGGTCTTTTGCGCAACTCGCCATAAATCTCTTCTAAGTCGGCCAATCTTTATGATTTTGGTGTCATTTTGTAGATCTCAACAAGTGTAACAAAGTGACACCAAAATCATAGAGATTAGACGACTTAGAAGAGATTTATGGCGAGTTGCGCAAACGATCCAGTTGTGCAGATGACTATGCAAAAAATTTGGCGCAAAGTAGCCATCCCCAAAATTGCGAGCTATTCAGTTTTCGTTTTGTACAAAGCTTTCCCAAATAAGATATTCAGTCAAACGACTGAATAGTTTTCGTGGCAGCCGTCTATAAAGCGCTTCTCGAGATTTTTTTGCCATTTTTTTAATTGTTTACGGTACTTTTTTTTACTGATAGTGCACTTAAGAATGTTTTATTTGAAAGGAAAACACTCTAGACATTACTATTAGCCCATTTCTCACCTTAACGATGACCGGACTTTGCATGGGCGTCACTTGCATTATCCGATTTGGGCTCACCTGAAAGAGGCACGAGTTTTCGGAAAAAAAATTCTCAGTGTTTTGCTTAGACTATAGATTATGGCAATCTCGTTTTTTAAAATCCCACTTGTGAATCACTTAGATCCTTCTCATTTCCTGCACGAACTCCCATCGGAGATTTCGAGAGGTGAAGCGATGAAGTGGTGACAGTGAGTGCGGAAATGCTTTGCGGCTCGCCCCTTTTCACTTCTTTCTTTTCGAAGGTGTCTAAAGATTAAAGCTACGATCAAATCTTAATAACAAAAAAAACTCATTAACAAACACTTTTCCGTATCCCGAAGAATAAGATTAGTAAAATTGAAACCTCGATAACAAACAAAGCTTTCCACACCTTTACTAAGTACCCTAAAGCCTCGAGTATAAGTTCTTCTGCCTTAATTTACATTCGCTTTAATTGCTTTGAATTTCTTTTTGTTGGGTTTTTATACATTTTTATTATCATATAAACTTTTATTATTCTTCTTATAATAAAAGATACTACAGGGTGACAGCCTATCACCATTGCTATTTGTTATGTGCATGGATACATCCAAACGATAGTGTTGAAGAAAACGCTGGAAAGCATCTCTTTCGACCGTCGACGTGGACTTTGGCCGGATGAAGAGGCCAGGGAGGGTTCCATAAGACTGAGCACCGGAGAGGAGCAGGGCGGACGCGATGATCGAGAGAGAGACGAGCCACGCCCGGAGCAACAAATAACAGCATAAAATTGCTATAACCCTCAATAAATTTACTTCTATTATTGTTCTTAAAAAGCAAAAAAGTTATGCTGCAGCGGGGTTCGAACCCTCGACACACCGCACCGGAGACAGCCGTCAATTTGCATGCGAAAACCAAACAGAACTTATACTCGCGACTTTAGGGTAGCTGAATTCGAAAATGTGCCCCAAAATCCATTTATTCAGTCTTTAGCTGAGTACCTTTTAGCAATGAACGTATAAAAGGATTTGTTTTCTGTCATTATTCACCCATTTTTTGTTCATTTGCACTTCTTTTTGAATTGTAAAGGGAAAGTTTCCGTCTTTCGATTCCGGTTTTATTTCTTCTTTGCGCAATTTGTCTAATTAAATATTTTGTTTTCTATTTTTTTTTTTTTTTTTATTAAAAAAAAATTTTTTTTTTTTTTATTTTTTTTTTTTTTTTTTATTTTTTTTTTTTTTTTTTTTTTTTTTTTTTTTTTTTTTTTTAAATTATAAAAAAAAAAAATAAAAAAACTATTTAAAAAAAAAAAAAAAAAAAATTAAAAAAAATTTTTTTTTTAATTTTTTATTTTTTTTTTAAAATTATATATCTTTTTTTTTTTCTTTTTTTTTTTTTAAATAAATTTTTTTTTTTTTTTTTTTTTATTTTTTAAAAAAAAAAATTTTTTTTTATTTTTTTTTTTTACCCTATTTAAATAAAAAAAAAAATATAAATTTTTTTTTTTTTTTAAAAATTTTTTTTTTTTTTTTTAAAATAATTTTTTTTTTTTTTATAATAAAAAAAATTTTTTTTTTTTTTTTTTTTTTTTTTTTTAAAAAAAAAAAAAAAAAAAAAAAAAAAAATTTTAAAAAATAATATATTGATATCAGTTAAAAATTATGCGAAGAAATGAATGTTATTTGTGTAAAATGAAAACATTGATAGTACCAAAGACTTTAGTACTTTAGTTTTATGTTTTTAGAGATTTCTTATGAGGCAAAATCTCAACAGCAATAAAGCCTCAATAAAAATAACAAAAAGGTTTTTCGAAATCCCATGGAATTTTTGTTATCGAGATTTTATTGTATATCAAACGATAAGTGAAATAAAGCTCACTTGCGGCTCTTGGTAGAGTGGGCGATGTTGATGCGTGAACAGTAGCTGTGGTTGTCTCGACAATCGTCATCGTTTCCCGACGCCGTAAACGCTTTGTCTTGCGGGGTCGTGGGTCGAATTCCATCTAAACAAAACAATTTTCTGTTTTTTCTTGTTCATTATTAACACAGCTGCGTCACCGGTGACCAAACACTGAATTTAGTTTTGCTCATATTACTTTCAAAATTGAAATTGCTCAAAAACTAATAATGGATCCGGATTTCTCATCCCAGAAAGCCCTAAGATATAAATTTTCAGCTCAAAAGCTGATAAAAAGATTAATTGTCGCGAATTTGTAATATTGGGTTGGTGAATTAAAAACTGCGGGACTTTGAACTAAAATTTATTGCACATAAAACCATGAATTCATTCGAAATAATTTCCATTATTATTGACGACTTCTGCCCATTTTACAGGCAATTTGCGGATTCCTCTTTCGTAGTAGGATTTTGGTTTTGAATCGAAAAACTTTTGAAGCCAATTTTTGACTACTTCTTCCGAATCGAAGTGTTCTCCCGCAAGTCGTCAATAATAATGGAAACCATGGGGCACCTAAGCCCCAAGTTTCGATTTAAATCCAAGGGTATGAAGGTACCTTAGCACTGTAGCATGATCGACCCCTAACTCTTTTCCCAATTCAAATTGTCATTTAGCAAAAACGGAATATATTAGGTTGGCGAATTGAAAACTACAGGACTTTGAACTAAAATTTATTGAACATAAAACCATGAATTCATTCCAAATAATTTCCATTATTATTGACGACTTCTGCCCATTTTACAGGCAATTTGCGGATTTGCGGATTCCTCTTTCGTAGTAGGATTTTGATTTGTGTGTAAGACTCAAAAATGGAGAACTGGAGATGTCAGCTGCCAGTTTGAGCACTTTCTTCAAAAGAAACCCATCTTGGTGTCAATAGAAAAGTTGTAGAGAATCAAAAATTAGGCTTATATCCAAATTTCCAAAAGGATGCACTTAGTAGTTTTGCTTAAAATGCAAGTTTTGTGAAAATTCGTAAATTTGGCATTCCTTGGAAACCAGTTTTTGAATCGTTCTGAAAATTTGGATATAAGCTTGATTTTTGATTCTCTACAACTTTTCCATTGACACCAAAATGGGTTTCTTTTGAAGAAAGTGCTCAAACTATCACATATGACATTAGCCCGCAGTTTTCAATTCACCAACCCAATATATTGTAGACCCTAGTTTCCTGTTTCTGCCAGAAATTCACTAATAATAAGCTTGATTCCAGGTTTAAGCCTTTGGGATTCTTTTCCCAGCCCACCATTTCCCTCCACTCACCATTTTCCGTAGTGCTTGTTTCTTTGCATCCAATATATCATCAGCACTATCTCCTGTACTTTCCTCAACATCTTCCACCGAATGACTCCTCCTTTTCATCACATTTTCCTTCTCTTCGGCGGTGATCGCTTGAGTGACACGTCGACGCGGTAAACCATTTGCCACCGTGTTCGGGTGATGACGTCTAGAGTTGAGATTTTTGCAATTTATTTTAAAATATATTTAAAAGTATTTCATGCCTTGTAACCATAAAATATTATACAGACTAAAAAGCAATGTATCGACCAAAAGCTGAATTCAATCATTAGGCTAGTGCCCAAGTCTTTTTCCAGTCAGTACAATTCTTTTTCTATTACAATTCTTTTTCCAAACTTCTTTTAAAAATAATTTCTATTTGAAGTATTAAAAAGTTTGATTTTTTATCTGCAAAATATCAAAATTGAGAATTCTTTTGAGAAATTCTAGAAAATAGTTGTTTTTGTGGATTTTCAAAGGTGCAAAGGCGAGCACTCAAAGTCAAAGTCGCAAAGTGCTCCGATGTCAAAGTCGCAAAGTGATCCGATGTCAAAGTCTCGAAGTGCTCCGATGTCAAAGTCGCGAAGTGCTCCGATGTCAAAGTCGTGAAGTGATCCGATGTCAAAGTCGCGAAGTGCTCCGAGGTCGAAGCCAATTTGTCGTAACCACCCTTTCTTCAATACAAACCTATTTTGGTGCTAAAGTAAAAAAAAGATAGAGCTTATTTGATTTAAGGTTACTCTATTGGGATCGTCGTTTACGATGTCGATGGCTGGCTGAGGTTGAATCGCTGATGGTAGAACGGTGAATTTTGATGTTTGATGTTCATCCAGAAAGATGGTCACGTTAAAAATCTCAGCAAGCACATAAGAAAAACGTTAAAAACTGAGAAATAAGTCTAAAATGGTCAAAAGTCTAAAATGGTCAAGAGCTGATTCTTTTCAATGGAAAGAAAAATTTGGAAATAAATGTAAAGACGCTAAGCTAATAGTAGAAACCAAATAAAATAAAATAAGGATTCAGAAAGCCAATCAGAAAGCCAATTATACAATGGATGACGGCTAATGGAGTGATTTCGATTGATTGACCAAGTCGATCACCTGAGCTCAACCCCATTGAGAACCTCTGGGGCAGCTTGGTTCGAACCAGCTTGGTTCTTTAAGTTTACAAAAGTCGACAGTTTTTATCTGTTGATCTTAAAGTCACTATTCAGCTCGCTTGGAACAATTTGGAAACCTCCAAATCAATGTTTTGGAAACCTCCAAATCAATCCAAACGTCTTGCAAAACCTCGTTTCTTCAATGTCAATGTTTCTCGTTCAAATCCGCCTTTTTCAGTTCATCAATCGATTCGGCAGAATCGGCAGAACGATTCTTGATAATGTTTCCTTTGGCTTCATGTTCATGGCCTTGTTCATGGCCTTGTTCATGGCCTTGTTCATGGCCTTGTTCATGGCCTTGTTCATGGCCTTGTTCATGGCCTTGTTCATGGCCTTGTTCATGGTCTTAATGCCCATCCCAGCTAGTTTTTCTCTTTGTTTTTTTCTTTGCCTTTTTAATAAAATGTTTCCTTTTACTTAACGTATTGATATAAAACGATCGTTTTTAATATTTTATATTTTTTTGTCTAAATATACAAAAATGTTAAGTAATTTGTTGAATCTAGGGTTATTTGATGTGCTCTTTTCAATAAAAAAAAAAGAATTCGAGCAGTAGCATGCTGCTAACTTAAGATATTGCGATTTTCTTGGGTGAACGTATTGATGTGACTGTGACAACTTACCTCAAAACATTTCCTTTCACCGGTGTTGTGTGCCTTCTTCGCCTTTCTTTCTTTTTCGTGGGATTTATTTCAGAAGTCGGCTCCAACATGCTGATTGCAAGATCTTTGTATGGTGCAACTTGAGCGATGGCTTTCGTTTGACTTCTTGTAATTCGCGGTTGTTCTGCCGCATCGAAAGCATCAAAATCGAGAAGGCGAGGCGGACCGTGTGGAGTCTAAAATTACATAATTGACATCATTCAATCTTATATTTATATGTATACTTTTTCTTTTGAATGTGTTGAGGTTCTCATCAAACGCTGAGAACGAGGCGTTTCTGCTTCTCCGGTTGCCGACAAGGTAGCTAAATTTTTTTGAAATCAGTTTAAAACTCGACTCAGCGAAAACACCGAATTTTGTTGTGTTCAGCTCACTTTATTAGTTTCTATTCTAGTATTTAGTTTATTTATTGGGTTGGTGAATTGAAAACTACGGGACTTTGAACTAAAATTTATTCAAAATAAAACCATAAATTCATTCCAAATAATTTCCATTATTATTGACGACTTCTGCCCATTTTACAGGCAATTTGCGGATTTTCGGATTCCTCTTTCGTGGTAGGATTTTGGTTTGTGTGTGAGACAAGTGTGAGACTCAAAAATCGAGGACTGGAGATGTCCCAGTTTGAGCATTTGAGCACTTTCTTCAAAAGAAACCCATTTTGGTGTTAATGAAAAAGTTGTAGAGAATCAAAAATTAGGCTTATAGCCAAATTTCCAAAAAGATACACTTAGTAGTTTCGCTTAAAATGCAAGTTTTGTGAAAATTCGTAAATTTGGCATTTCTTAAAAACCAGTTTTTGAATCGTTCTGAAAATTTGGATATAAGCTTGATTTTTGATTCTCTACAACTTTTTCATTAACACCAAAATGGGTTTCTTTTGAAGAAAGTGCTCAAATTGTCAAATATGACAATAGCCCGAAGTTTTCAATTCACCAACCCAATAGTTTCTAGATTTTTCTTCTTAGAAATCTATTTTTCTTTACCTTTCTTTTGTGAACTCGATCCACCGGGCCCTGGTGTTGGCTGACGAGCGTACGTTTTGCGACGACTTTGTACATCCTGAAAAGATACCATTTGTTACGAAATAATTCTAGAATTCACCTGTAGATTCACCTCAACCTTGTCACGTTGTGGACTATCTCGGATCTATAAAAATTTTGTCAAAAATCGAATCCTTTCCAACTCACTCGGCTTCTCGATTGGTGGCCAGCTATCCCAGGGAATTTGTTCGCCCGTGGAGTCGAACTGTCAGCAGATAGATCTCTGAAAGGATTTCTGAGATTTCTAGATGTCGGATCGATTGCTACCTCTTCCGAGGCACTAGATGCTGTTGAAAGTGTGAAACTCGTTCGGTGCTTTTTCTCCGTCCACGAAACAGATTGTAGATTCCTTGCAAAGCCAAAGAGTTCGAGCGTCGACCTCGTTGCTGAAATCAAATCGGTATTTTGAAAAGAAAGAAAGAAAGAAACAAACAAACAAACAAACAAAAGCAATCTTCAAATCAGCCTAAACATACATCGTTTTGGACTTTGGCAATTGCTGGATCGTGTTGCGAAATGGGCAAAGATGGGCGCTTGTCGAGAGCTGGCTGCAACTGCGATAGAGGGGTTCTGAAAAGTTGCAATTTGAAGCTAAAGTTCAAAGTTCTTTGAGTTCAATTGAAAGCTTGTAGCATTGCTTTGCCTATTCAATTGCCTAATTCTTATCTTTAATCGAAAACCAACCGATGAAGCGGTGCCGCCGACGAGCTGCGTGCTTGACTCGAGACATAGCACTCACGGTGCAATCCTGTAAGCTTTTAAAATGACATCAACTCATCAGTCAATTGAAAATTTCAGTTCTAATTGATGACAGATCTTAACGAATTTCGATTTAGCGACAAAAGTCAACAAAAAATTCAGTCAACGATCTTGATTAGACCCGGGAATTTTCAGTGATCAATTCTTCCCCAAAAAACTTTTCTAGATTCATTTCTAGATCCATTTCTAGCATTTTTTGTATTTCCTGAGTCTGAATTTCATTTCATATTTCCTATTTCATATGCTAAAAACGAGTTTCTTCAACTAAAAATTGAGTTGCGAGCCTTCTTTTGAGTGATTTTCCTGATTTTCCAGGTTTTCCTCACAAATGGCAAGTAAATCATAATCTTATCTCACAAACAACCTTTTTGATTTTGATAATTGACGTCAAATTTCATTTTCTATCGATTAAAATCAAAGACGAAAAGATTCGAGTGAAATTGGCAAGATATGGCTTATTTCTGTTGAGCACCTATTGACATTCAAACCGAAAATCCTCAGATCTAGTCCAGATCATTGTTTCAAGGATCCTTTGTGCTGGTAGTAAACGCTTTTAACATCAACCATTGCTCTAGAGCCTCACCTATCCAAGTAGCTCTCTCAATCAATATGGCGACTGCAGCGGCGGCTCGTTGTGATGTCTGTTTCGCCTCATCCATCGATCCCATCCCATTCGGCACTCGCAATGGACCAGCGCTTTTCTTCACGGCTCCCGGGCTCATATCGAAGAGAGTTGGCCCGAAACATGTGGCCAGATTTTGAATTGTCATCCCATTTTTCTCATTGTGTAAAGAAACCTAAAGCTTTTCTGATTAAAAGAATTTGAAGAAACGATACTCGATATAATTCACGCATTAAAAAGCCGAGCGTGCCAATGTGAGCCTCGGGCATCGTCTCTCGGTTCATGATATTCTGCGGACGGAAAAGTTCTTGCACGTCGTCACCATTTACCTAAAATAATGCCGTCATCATTTAGCTGAAAATGGCCCTATAGCCGACTGGCTAAGAAGCTTGTATCTTAGTCGAGAGGTCAGGAACCGTATTAGATCAAAATAGGAACCGTATTGGAACCGTATTTTCTCTCCCGCTAACGTTCTTTTTTGGTTGGTTCCTCTTTCTATATTCATCAGTCCTTTTCTTCTCTACATTTAGAGCTTCTTTGTGTATTTTTTTCTACCACATTCGTGTGAATTAATGTATTTGTAAAAAAAATTGTTTTGCTTTTTTATTCACCTCTTTTCCAGCATCTTTTTGTTTCACTAAATCGATCAATTTATCGATCATCTCGTGATTGTAAAGAAGAGGAATCTAAAATCAAATTTTCAAGCCAATTAGATGTCCTTTAAAGAGCCAATCCTTTAGAGCCAATCCTTTAAATGTACCTTTAAAGTCTTGATGAAAGATTTGATCAACGAGCAAACATCGAGACAATTCAATTCGGGAGGAATGATCTCACGGCCAGAGTAGATTGCCTGAAATGATGATAAAGATTAGGAACAGATTACGAAGTAAATTGTGACATTTTTCAATGTCCTTTAGCATTGAATTGCATTAAATAGGCTTCTTTCTCTTCCCCCTTTCTTCCCTGCCAAAAAGATACCGGATAGCTCAGTGGATCGAGCATCTGTCCAGGGTTTGATCCCCTGTCTCGAAGCTCGAGAGTTCATTTCAACTTTTTTTACCCAAATTCTCACCGTGAGCTTTCTGCTGAACGAGTTGATTCGAGCGCTGTTTCCACCTTTCCGAAACAATCCCTCTTTATCGATATTCGATCGAATAATATTGAAAGCATCGACAAGAAACTTGGGCACTTCTCGAAGTGTGAGTGTTGTCATTCCTTTCGTGTGCTTATCAATTTTCTCCACCTCGACTTGGATGTTGATGTTGTAGCTGAAATTTGAGATTTTTCAGAAGTTGAGCAAGCAATGACATGGAATTTGTCAGTAGCCAAAGAAAATGAATGCTTTTTTTGTAGCTATCCAGTTTTAAACCACAGTCTACACACTGATTTAACCATTTAATCAAGTCTCATTTGTCTATCGAAAACTTTCAGCTAAAAAATACAAAAACCAACCATCTCAAAGATCCAAGCTGAATTGAGTCGGATTTCTGTTGACTGCACGAGGCCTCAATGTATTCCTCTGTATACGGAATCTCGGAGACGATCATCATTTTTCTTTTGGCTAAGCTTTGAGAAACATTCAGCAAATGGATGTGTGAGAACTGAAATTGAGATTGAGATTGATAATCAAAATAAGAAAATACAAACAAAGAACAAAATACCTAAGTACATCTACAAAATATTCAAACTGGCAGCGACTTTCAAACGAAACTTTTCATCAAGTAATCAAGCAAGTAATCAAGCAAGTAATCAAGCAAGTAATCAAGCAAGTAATCGAGCAAGTAATCGAGCAAGTAATCAAGCAAGTAATTGAGCAAGTAATCAAGCAAGTAATCAAGCAAGTAATCAAGCAAGTAATCAAGCAAGTAATCAAGCAAGTAATCAAGCAAGTAATCAAGCAAGTAATCAAGCAAGTAATCAAGCAAGTAATCAAGCAAGTAATTGAGCAAGTAATCAAGCAAGTAATCAAGCAAGTAATCGAGCAAGTAATCAAGCAAGTAATCAAGCAAGTAATCAAGCAAGTAATTGAGCAAGTAATCAAGCAAGTAATCGAGCAAGTAATCAAATAAGTAAGTAATCCATCAAGTAACTCTAGAAAGTATTACAAAAAAATCGTAAGCTCTATCGAAAAATTTGAGTTGTTTGATTGAAATAAATTTGAATCCTGTCCAGGGTGGGGATGAGCTTTGTACAATGGTGCGATGCGTACGGGTTTTTTGAGAAAATCGCCTTGAAAATTAGGCACCACAAAAGTCTTTTCGTAGTTTTAGAGACAAAGAGATAAGAATGCAAATTTAGAAATTTTAAGAAAAAATAAATAAATACTACGGTTGGAAAGGGCTATTTTTTCTTCAAATTATTTTTCTAATGTAGTTTTCTTTTTCTTTTGCAATTGCTACTGTAGTTTTCCATGCTGAATCCCAATTTCAACTTCTCAAGCCTGGAAAATTAGTGATACTACAAAAATTGTCACTACTTTTTTGAAAATTGTGCATTTTAAAGGGTTTTTGTTCACTTTAAATGCAAGTTTAAATGCAACTTTAAACTTTAACTTTAACAACTTTAAATACCCTTTCTCATGGTCATTTTTGGGGGTGGAACAAATGAGACCTTTTTTTGCGCACCTGGACATTTGCGCACCTTTTTTTTTGCTGGAAAAGGCCTTAGAAAAGGTCGTAGAGCTTCAAAAATGTTTTCATAGAAGGGAATCGTATGCGTAGACTCAGAATTTTGACAAATCAGACCTCGCTGACACGTCAAATTTGGGCTAAAAGGCAAAAACTGCGGAAAAGCGTTAGGTTGCGTAGTTTTTGCCTTTTAGCCCAAATTTGACGTGTCAGCGAGGTCTGATTTGTCGAAATTCGGAATCTACGCATACGATTCCCCTATATGGAAATATTTTTGAAGCTCTACGGCCTTGCCTAAGACCTTTTCCAGCAAAAAAAAGGTGCGCAAATGTCCAGGTGCGCAAAAAAAAGGTCGCATTTGTCCCACCCCCTCATTTTTGGCTTTGGTTTTTGTGACTTTTAGTTCAAAAAAACGTTGAAACGCTAAAAATGCAAAGTTACGTACGTTATGCAGTTATGCATGCAGTTATGCAGTACGTTATGCAAAGTGGCAGAAAACGGAGTCACCAGTATCTTTTTCAACTCTCTAAACATTTTCAATTGTTATTTTCACTGTTTAGAACTTTATTAGCTAGTTCTTTTTTAACACATTCGCGACGAGGCGTTTTTTTTTGCGTTACTGCCCCAGAGGGGTGTCTTGCAAAGCTATTAGCCCCGAAATACACCTCCTATAAAATTTCATGTTGAATCCGAATCTCTAATCAGATTTTGAAAATATTGCTGGCTCAAAAAGATATCGGCTCTTTTTGGCTCATGAGACAAAACGCCGAATTTCTCTTTCTTCAATGGTCCGTTTTCCATGATTTTTGTTTTATTGGATGGAGCTCAGCTAGATGAACATTGAACATCAACATCATTTTTTTGATAAGACTTTATCCCTAAAAGGTCGTTTTACTGGGATACGCGCAATAGAGGTCTTCTGTAGAGCCGCAGTCGGTAGAGCGTCTGTCTCTGGGACGGGAGGGGTTTCGTCCGGTGGACCACAATTTCGTCCACCGGTGGACCGAACCGTCCCAGGGGCCAGACGGCCTTCGTCCACCGGTGGACCGAGTCGTCCCAGGGGCCAGACGGCCTTCGTCCACCGGTGGACCGAACCGTCCCGAACGTCTTAAGATTTTAAAGAAAACTGATGCAAATTAAAAGTATATCTATTCTAAAAATTAAAACTAATTTAAAAATGAATTAAATCTAAAAAAAATTAAATGCAAACTAAATCACTTGAAATTTTACACAACTTACCTAGCTGCTTTTCTAGTTATTAAGAAAACTGATAGAAGTTTAAAAATCAAAATTAAAGATCTAGAACGATTCAATGAACATATTCTCTTGCAGATTTTGAAAAGAGAAAAGAAAAGAAAAAAAAGAAAAACGAGTTGCTTCTTTCTTTTTTACTTTTGGTCGATAACTCACATGATATTGCTATTTGTGGTTGATTCGAAAAGTCAACACACAAGTGAAAAACACACAAAACACACAAAAGAAAGAAGAATGATTGATGTGATGAAAGTAAAGGGCTAATTTAAGGTCAATGAGGGGAAAAAAAAAGGAGAAAACAGATAAAGCAAATGGAGGAAAAATATTTATCCTTCTTTGAGATACCCTCAAAAAAAAACGGCTCTCTTTTTGAAATTGAAACTAAAAATAAACAGAGAAAAGTTTTTGTTCTGATCTTCAATTAGAATCAATTTTTATGTAGATTCGTGCAAATTTTGGCTTTCGCGTTATTTTGAATGAATAATGCTTAATGGCTAATCGACGACGACGGTATTTTGTCGCGTACAGTCGCGTAGTCGTTACCGTTTTACTGATACAGTCTCAATAAATGGAAGAGACGAAAAAATTTTTCCATTATATAGAGTACCGTTATATATAGCTTAGCATCGGTCAAGACCAAAATTCCATTCTTTTATATGTCGTAGCTGATTATGAATGAAATTTTTTGGCAAATCTTTCTAGTAGAGCAACCCTTTAATGTATGAGGACAATATTATATCATCTTGTTATCATTAGAGCATTATCATTAGATATCATTAGATCATACTTGATAATAGAAAAAGAAAACTTTAGTGGGAGTTGTGTTCAAAAAGTTTTTACCAAGATCCGGTTATAAAGAAGAGACTACTAGAGTTGAGTCAACCACTTTAAAGAGATTACTAGAGTTGATTCAACTTCTAAATAAACAAACGAACAATGATAATTCACTTAGAAACAATGAAGCAATGAAACAATGAAATTAGCACTTTAATCTATCTAAATGGACTGACTTGGACTGCAAATGGACTTCGAATTCGAAGTTTCCGGGTTCTTTTGGGCTAATTTTTCAAAATAGGCAACCAGCCGGATCGTTTTTCATGTTTTTAGATCATACTTGATAATAGAAAAAGAAAACTTTAGTGGGAGTTGTGTTAAAAAAGTTTTTACCAAGATCCGGCCATAAAGAAGACACTACTAGAGTTGAATCAACCCCTTTAAAGAGACTACTAGAGTTGAATCAACTTCTAAATAAACAAAAGAACAATGATAATTCACTTAGAAACAATGAAACAATGAAAAAATGAAGCAATGAAACAATGAAATGAAGCATTCAGAAAAATCAATGAAATTTATCTTATAGTTCCCTTGTGCCGAGAACATCTGGTCAATATGGCACAAAAAGATTCACAAAGAGAAAAGCTCAAGAAAAATGCAAAAAAAAGTCAATAAATATGATCCACATTTCGAGAAAAGACACAGAAGAGACATTTTTTTACAAAAGAAAATAAAAAAGAGCTCCTGGATTTTTACTTTGCAACCGCATCCCTATTTTTAGAGAAAAAGAAGAATTTTTTTTTTGAAAAACTCTCACAAGGGACATGTGTCTCCAATGAAGACATGCATTGTACGAAAATACTCACCCTCACTGGCTTCACCTTTCTTTTTTTTTTGTTTTCTCTTTTCTGAAATCTCAATGGCCGGCAAACAGCCTCGGCTTTGAGAAAAGAGAAAAATGGCCAACGGGCAAAAAGGAAAGATATAGAGATGATGAGTGAAATTTGAGAGATCTCACACAAAACATTGAGAGAGAAAGAATTACGGCCACTCCTTTATGTAGCCGCTTGGTGCCTGTGTGTTTTTTTTGTGTGTGCGGTTTTTCTTGGGGAAATATTTTCCTCTAGCTTTCTTTGAGCTATAGCTAGCACTAGGACTAGGATTTAAGAGTTTTTTTTTGGGTGCTTTCAGTTTATCACTTGTAATTAGAGTTGGCTTTTGGTTTTGTTTATTGGAGCTTATTAGTTGGAGCTATCTTGAAATCATATAATCAAATAGAAATAATAAGCGTAAACCCAATCGAATCCTGAAAATCGGGTACAAATTTAGAGGTGAATCTCTGCGATCTACAAAATAAAAAGAGAAATCACTATGTAAATGACTGGCGAGATGTTCTTTGTGCTCAAAATCGCTCTGCCTATTTTATGTCTTTTCAAACATCCGTCAAATTTTGTTTTAAAGTTGATATCAAGGTTTAAAGTTGATGGAAGGCCATGAGTTAAAGTACCGTAAATACTGTAATAGTACCCACCCCCCTCGTACAGTCGGGTAGTCGCAAAAGTTTTTTTTAGTATTTCATTTTTTTCAAAGCGCCCGTACTTTCAAAAAATGCGTCTTTGGTATCAAAAAAATAGCTGAAATTCAGGGCTATTTTTTGATACCTAAGCGCGCATTGTAGCATAAACCAGTGTCGAGAAAAACTCGTTCAAAGCTCGACTACGCAACACTCCGCACCGTCATTATGGGGGTGGGGTACTATTACAGTATTTACGGTAGGTATTGTGACGGCTGCAACGGATCCACCAACAACTGCCCCAGCGCCGTATATGCTTTTCTGTCTTGTGCAAGATGTAATCTTAAATTATAATTCAATTGTATTCAATTAAATTGTAATTCATTCACTTTGCTGTATCAATTTTGTTATTTTGTTTTTTATTAATTAAAAGATCATAATACTTGTAAAGTTTAGAGAATTCGATTGGTTAAATATCAAAATAAAATGAAAACAAACCGAAGAGATCGAACTGAAGGCGAGAATTGAGGGCTCGCTTTGGAAACAAGACCCTTATCCACTACACGACAAGTTCACATTTCGAGATGGTGAAAGAAGGCTTATGAAAAGAAGGGACTGGACTTTCAGGAACTTTTCAAAGCGTGCTTTAAAAAATGTCCCGAATACCGTAATTCTTAAGTTGACGTTCGTGATTATTTTGAATATTCTAATTCTGGAAAGTGATGCTTTTCTTTGAATTAAAACGTACTGTACATCCGATTACAGCTCTTGAAATAGATACTACAGAATAAGCTGAAGCCAAAGAAAACAGCTACAAAGTAAGTTAAAAGTTACAAGACTTTTAAAGCTTCTACATCCCTGATAACAGCTAAAGTCTCCTGAAAATCAGTGAAATAAACTTAGCAATAGGTTTAGCATTAATTTACCATTATTGAAAGGAAACACATGCAAAGTTCATTCAAAAATTAGCACCCTAAATCGTAAATCGATCTTTCCCAAGCCAGTTCACCCAAATTTTCTTTTTAGACTCTACCAGGTGAAGCTGGTGAGCTTTAATGATTACTTTCAGATCTGATGACTTCTAGTACATCAAATCTGGAAGCACATTGTTCAAAGTTTATCGAAAATCAGTAAAAATCATAATACTTAATGTTAGAATTTAAATGAAATGATCATTTTTCGCCTTTAATTTGTTTGAATTCATCTACGAATTTTGTAAACTGAAAAAGAATTCTGAAAAAACATTAAAAAGCAAAAAAAAAAGCTGAAAAATAATGCACAATAATGACAAACTATTTTTAGAAGAAAATTCTGTTTCCCTTTCAAGAAAAGAAAAAGAACTTCAATCAAAGTTGTCAATATTTTCTTTCTGTTATTTTTTCTTTTCCGCATTTCATCAAAGTCGCCTCTTTTTTTCGATTATCTTCGCTTAAAGGTTGCCAAAATGCAAAAAAAAATTCGCTTATTACCAAAAGGATCAAGAGGACTTCTATTTTGATTTCTAATTTGATTTCTATTTTGATTTCTATTTTGATTTCTATTTTGAAAAAGTCTTGAAAGTCTCTATAAACTCTGGCCTTACAAAAAAATGATTGACTATTAAAAATTCCATTTAAAAACTCCATTTAAAAAAATTTTTCAAGTAAAACCGTTTTAAATGGTTTAAAGTTTGAAAAAGCCATCAAATCTTTGTTTTTTTTTGTCTCATTCCCCAGCCGAAATTCAACAAATGATCCCCCAGGCGGTAATTTGTTCTCCTCCACTCTTTCCAAAAAAACAAAGCAGCTTAAAGGTCATGAAAGATTATCGTTATTCAAAAAAAAGACAGTTAGACGAATTTGTTTGAGAACAGCTCTATTTTTTTCGTTTCTCTTTTCATTTATCTGATTTAGATTTGTTTTAGATTTCTGACTGTGGAAAAACAAAAGAGAATGAATGAAGGAATTGATGGATTTTCAGCAGAAATCTTGAAAAATTGAAAGCTGTTTAAAAAGAAAATTGAATACATTGACAGTCAAAGTTGATTTTTTCTGAATTCTGAATATTGAACGCAAAGATGGTAAACTATGGTAGTATATCTAACGTAGATCAAATGATCCAAATCAAACGATCCAAATCAAACGATCCACATTAAATGATCCAAATCAAATGATCCAAATCAAATGATCCAAATCAAATGATCCAAATCAAATGATCCAAATCAAATGATCCAAATCAAACGATCCAAATCAAACGATCCAAATCAAACGATCCAAATTAAATGATCCAAATCAAATGATCCAAATCAAAAGATCCAAATTAAATGATCCAAATCAAATGATCCAAATCAAATGATCCAAATCAAATGACCCAAATCAAATGATCCAAATCAAACGATCCAAATCAAATGATCCAAATCAAATGATCCAAATCTAATGATCCAAATCAAATGATCCATAGATCAAATGTTTACTGATGAAATGTACTTTTGAAAGGATTTTAAAGTTAAAACTAGAAACTAGAACTAGAAGAAAAACCAGTTCATCTAAAGATTTGAGCACCGAGAGTGAGTGGTTGAAAATTGAAAAATCGGTCAGTATTTTGAACGGTCGAGAATCGTGAAGTGAAAATTTTCTCTAGAGGAATCAACACAGGAATTGAATAGGGAAATCGGGAAAGAGAAAAAGAGGTCGATGTGAGGAAATGGGAAAGAAAAGAAGGAAAAGAATGGAGAGGATGCAAGGGAATGGTGTGAATATGGTGTTCACTCTGGAAGAGAATGAGGTGACTTTTGACTGAATGTTTCCTCGAGTCTCTTTTCTTTTCGCTCTTTTCTCTCTTTTCTCCCTTTTCCAAATTTCCATGATCTTTTTTGGCTCTCTTATTCATCTCTGACATCTAAACTGCTCCGCAAAATTATATGAACCTTACTTTTTTACCAATTTTATGCTCTTAAGAAGATAGGGAAACGATAGTGAAAAAAATTTGTTTTATCGTATTTTCCTTATTAGATTTGTCATTGAAACAAGTTAGATATACTACCATATTTTGAAATATGAATGTTTAAAAATCGAATCTTGTAAAAAAGATTAGCTTTTCGCGAAGAAACTTCAAAGGAGGTTATGTATGGGCAGCAATTGCTTCATCTGGCCGAGTAAAACTGGCATTTGTCCCAAAGCGTATGAATTCAGCTCAATATCAATTTATCTTGCGGCGAACACTTCTTCCGTTTTGACGTCGGAATCAAGGCCAAAATCACATCTTCGTCCAGGACAATGCTCCAATACATGCAAGTCAAAGCACTAAAGGAATGAAGCAAGTTCGACTCCTCGACTGTCCTGTCAATTCTCCTGACTTCAATGTGCAAGAAAATGAATTCATGGGAAAATGAATTCATGGAGATCCATGGTACGTCACATTTACGCTGGAAACAAGACTTATAAAGACGTGCTTTCTCTGAAATCTGCCATAATTGATGCCTGAAGAAAAGTAGACCAAAATCTGATCGATAAACTTGTGGCCAGGATGGATAATCGAATTTTTTGAATTGATTCGAAACAATAACTATTGATTATTAAATGTTATTATTCTTTTTTTAAATCATTTTTTTGCTAAATAAAAAATTTTATGTATTGTCCATTATGTGGAAAGTGGCAAAGGTCATTTTTTACAAAATTCGACTTTTAAATATTCATATTCGAAACTATAGTAGTCTATGGTATCTAACTATGGTATCTAACGTGTTTCAATGACAAATCTAATAAGGAAAATACGATAAAACAACTTTTTTTCACTATCATTTCTTAAGAGCATAAAATTGGTAAAAAAAAGTAAGTGTCCATATAATTTTGTGAAGCAGTGCTTCGTGTGAATTTTCTTCTCACAATAAAATCGCCTTTCTTCAGCACTCGACGGACTGTTTCGCTTGACACTTTGAGCGTGAGATTCACCTTGATATCCGAGCAGGAAAGCGTAGAGTTGGATGCTTCTCCGCAAATGTGTCTCTTATCTCGCTCAGAAGACAAAGGTTTTCGATCAGTCGACTTTCTTGTTCAGTATTGTAGAGGATCAGACAGATAGGATCCGATTAAATTTGGTGTTCGGTTCAGAAATCGTCCCATTGCTCGATTTGAGTGTCCTTCGCGATTCATTGCCTCTATGATTCCAGTTTCCTTTTCCGACAGCGGCGGTCCCCTTGGCATTTTTTAGAGTACCTTAAAGAAATAATTTTTGAGCAAAAAGAGCAAAATTATCTGAAAAAGAGAGAAAAAGGACGTAAAACAAAAAACAAAGTGTCCATGTGGAAAGTGCTTCGGCATTTTTTTTACAAAATTCGATTTTTAAATATTCATATTTCAAACTATGGTTGTATATCTAACGTGTTTCAATGACAAATCTAATAAGGAAAATACGATAAAACAACTTTTTTTCACTTTCGTTTCTTAAGAGCATAAAATTGGTATAATAGCATAAAAAAAGTAAGTGCCCATATAATTTTGTGAAGCAGTGCTTCGTGTGAATGAAAAGTGAATGAAATTCATTCACTTTTACTGTTTATCACATAGAAAGCTTTTTTTTTTATGCTAAAAGCTTACACAAGTGGTGCTAATACGAGGCCAGAAAATGTTTGAATCGATGATAAAGCTTACGAGGAAATCTCTTAAGCCTACTCTCGAGTCCGAGAATGATTTAGGTACCAGTCGATTGGAAAAGCCTATAGACAAAGCCTATTGGGACGCTTGTTTTTCAATTTTGGCAATTCTTGGTCAACTTTGGCAATTCTTGGTCAACTTTGGCAATTCTTGGTCAACTTTGGCAATTCTTGGTCAACTTTGGCAATTCTTGGTCAACTTTGGCAAGAGCTAGAGCAAGACTATGCTTGGTTAAGCTGTCTTTTTGAGTTAAATGGAATAGCCTTGTGTTCTTAACTTATAGTGATCCCGTTTCTTGTTGGCAAAGTTCTAATAGTTCATTTAAATAATCAAAAGTTGATCCTAGATTTTGATTTCGTGATTTAAGCTCTATTTTAGCATAATCTTTTTTAGATTTTGTAAAATAAACATTGAAAAAATACTATCAAATTAAATAGCTTTCATAAGAAAATATTAAGAAATATTAAGAAATATCAAAAGATTTATCTAAAAGTCTTTAAACAATTGTCCAATCGAGGCTGAATCCTTTAAAGTTGATGAGCGAATTCGTGAAAAAGTAGAGTGTCATTGCGTTTCCGCTCGTTTTCACCGAATCAGGCACACCGGCGAGTAGCCCGGAGAAGCTAAAATAGTGTTTATTTCAAGATTTCTTCAGCAAATTTTTGAGATATGAAGTTTGTATTCAAATTAGAATTGAACTAATGACTAATATCGAAGTGATAGTTGGCGAGATGAACACTCTTCACTCTTCACTCTCCTATCAACAGATCCCACTATCTTAGCCGCTCTTATCCAGTTGACCCAATTTCCCACCCAATTTCCATAAATGATCTCCTGACAATGGGAACAAATAGATATGCTCAAGGGGATGCAAATGGATCAAAGAAGGAAAAAGATAAAAGATCGTTGCCGTTTCTTTGAGAAGGGAAAATGATGGATCTTTCTCGAATTCAAGAATCAATCCCCCGTTTCCATTTATCAGATCTGACCTGTTTTCGTCTCTGATTATGAGTGCTCGTCTGGTCAATCATCCTGTCAAATCAGACCCCAATTTCATGAAAACGCACTCAAGCTATTGGATTTTCATTTCAAATACTATACAGGGTATCCGAAGAAAAAAAGTGGTCATCGGTTTGAGTCTGGAAAAATTTTCTCGTTGATTTTTCAAGGCTCATCTTGGTGTTAGAGGCTCAGCTTTGCTTTTTCAGCTTTGTCAGCTTTGCCTCAGGCGTCATACAACAAGATTAAGTTGATTTTTTTGATGATTTAGTGAATAGGTTTTTGATGATATCGGCTGGAAAGCTCAAAATTCACGTATGTGTTCAAAATCGCGCAAAAACAAATCTCAAATCGCTCAAAAACACTAGCATGTGTTCCTCTCGAGTAAGTAATTACTCGAGTCAAATTTGCATGAGTCATTTTTTACTTGATTAATTGACGTTTTTAGCCGAGTAACTACGAGGAATCCTCTTTACACGTCGAGTAAATTGAATATCTTTACATGTGAAGGGAATTTGCCACCAAATCACTTAAACGACTGAATATCTTTAAAAAGAGTCGTATATAAGTCGTCGCTTGTGATTTTTTTGCCCCATTTTTTGACAATAATTATAGGCAAAAACTTTCACCAATGCACTCACTTTCCAATCACCGGCGATTTCTGATCGGGTCCATCAAAAATCAACAAATAGTCATTATAAAGGCCTTCAACCGCAAATGAGCTAAAGGTGGCTTGGATCTAAAAGTTGACCTTTAATTTGTCTATGAATCTGTCTATTAATCTGTCTATTAATCTGTCTATTAATTTGTCTATTAATCTGTCTATTAATCTGTCTATTAATCTGTCTATTAATCTGTCTATTAATCTGTCTATTAATCTGTCTATTAATCTGTCTATTAATCTGTCTATTAATCTGTCTATTAATCTGTCTATTAATCTGTCTATTAATCTGTCTATTAATCTGTCTATTAATCTGTCTATTAATCTGTCTATTAATCTGTCTATTAATCTGTCTATTGATCTGTCTATTAATCTCTATTAATCTGTCTATTAATCTATAGTCTTTAACACATTCGCGACAAAATCATTTTTCATTTAGCTGTTCTTTTCGACAAGAAACTTCAAATCTGTATCCAAGTTTTTAAGGGTGCTGATTTAAGAGTTTACAATAGCTTTTCATGTTTGAAAAGCTGAAAATTGCTTGCTTTAGTGTCAAACAAGGCACTTATTTTCTAGAACTTCTAGAATTTTCTAGAAAAAGTCTAAAAGAGCAGAATGATTAAATGTTCTTATTTCTAGGGTTATTTGATGCCATAATCATTATTCGATCAAGAAAAACTATGAATTTTTTTTGAAAAATCGATTTCTGGCTCGGTTTAATTCCCGCACATTTCAGGCCAGTGCCAGGTGCGGTTTTTCCTTGTTTGTATCAGTTATATTCGGTAAAGCGAATGATTAGAGGAATTGGGGGCGAAATGCCCTCAACCTATTCTCAAACTTTCAATGGGTATGATGTTGCAGTTTCTTCAGTGAACTGTGACCCTGAATGAGAGCTCCTAGTGGGCCATTTTTGATAAGCAGAACTAGCGCTGTGGGATGAACCAAACGTCGGGTTAAAGTGCCTAAGTGTCCACTCATGAGACCCCATGATAGGCGTTAGTTGATATAGACAGTTCCCAAAGAGCCGTCGTTACAACAGTTTTTCAAGGAAACGCTCATTTCGTTTCGTAAAATTTAAGATGAATTCGAAAAAGGATTAAAAACTGTATACCTCAGTGAATCTTTAGATTTTCTTTGGCCTAGACAGCAACGAGAAACGGCTATAGTACACCGGTGTACTAGGCATGCGGGAAATCCCAATCCGAACCTCCATCACTTTCGTTTCACCTTCGTTTTCTCAGCCATCTCTTCGCCAATTGCTCTGAAATTTTGTCTACAGATAGAAATCGACATTTTCAGCTTGTAGACAAAATTTCAGAGCAATCTGCCAAGAGACGGCTGAGAAAACGAAGGTGGAACTAGGTTCGGATTCGAATTTTCCCATGTCTATCGTGTACAATGTTGTCGCGAATGTTGTTGTTGTTGTGTTGCTTTGTTTTCTTCATTACTTGTGTTCCATTCGCCGTTGTGACATATTGATATTGTTCGACATCATTCGGGTAATTGTTCGGATAATTTGGACTTGTCAACGTGCCAGATGTCCCATTTTGATAACCCGGATCGGTTGGAGTGCTAAATTTTTCTTTTCTTCTCAAAGCTGACAGGAGACTGACAATGATTGGTAATTCGCGTGCCATCCCTTGTAGTTGATGAGAGAATCTGACTTGAAGATCACTGACATCACATTGCTCTTTGTCTAAATCGATTTTTAAACTGTTAATGGCTATGTATTAAGATTATTTTAATATATTTTGCTATATATTGGGTTGGTGAATTGAAAACTTTTATTTATTGCTTTTTATTGGTCCTTTTCGTGTTATGTATTCATGAATTCATGTGTATTAATCTTTAAATCTAGTGCACTTTATTTCAGGTCCTGAATAAAGTGATCTATTGGGGTTGGTGAATTGAAAACTGCGGGACTTTGAACTAAAATTTATTGAACATAAAGCCATAAATTGATTCGAAATAATTTCTATTATTATTGACGACTTCTGCCCATTTTACAGGCAATTTGCGGATTTGTGGATTCCTCTTTCGTAGTGGGATTTTGGTGTGAGACAAATGTGAGACTCAAAAATGGAGGACTGGGGCTGTCCCAGTGTCCCAGTTTGAGCACTTTCTTCAAAAGAAACCCATTTTGGTGTCAATAGAAAGGTTGTAGAGAATCAAAAATTAGGCTTATAGCCAAATTTCCAAAAAGATACACTTAGTAGTTTCGCTTAAAATGCAAGTTTTGTGAAAATTCGTAAATTTGGCATTTCTTGAAAACGAGTTTTTGAATCGTTCTGAAAATTTGGATATAAGCTTGATTTTTGATTCTCTACAACTTTTCCATTGACACCAAAATGGGTTTCTTTTGAAGAAAGTGCTCAAACTGTCACATATGACAATAGCCGGTAGTTTTCAGTTTTCAATTCACCAATAGATTGAGATTAGCCTTGTTTTGCGGAGAAGTCAATGTCGAATTTGAGGACTCAGAAAGGGCCAGAATCGATTGCAGAGTAGAGGGGGAAGGGGGTTATGTAAAAGCCCTGCGTCAGATGACGAGCGATTACGCGGCCGCACAAAGAATACACAGAATACACAAATTGTAAGCGGAACTACTGAGTGTATCTTTTTGGAAATTTGGATATAAGCTTGATTTTTGATTCTCTACAACTTTTCCATTGACACCAAAATGGGTTTCTTTTGAAGAAAGTGCTCAAACTCTGACATATGACAATAGCCCGCAGTTTTCAATTCACCAACCCAATAAAATCCTGCTTAAATTTGTTTAGAAAGAAAGTTTGAGGCATCAAATCAGCTGTTTTCTGTATTTTTTACGACTAATGAAGTAATTCTATTGGTTCTAGGTGTAAAAATCAGCTCTACTAATATATTGTAAGCTTATTGTAAGCTGCTAAGCGCGCTGTAAGCTGCTAAGCGCGCTGTTCTTTCAAAATTCGTTACTTGAAACGAGTTTGGATATGGAGAAAGGGTGCTGTTCGTCGGATCAACGGTTATCCTGAAATGATAAACATTTTCCTATCAAAAATCGATTCATAGTCGAAACTTTTGCTTACGTAGCCATCAAGTTTGCAGCAGCACTTGGATAATAACCGTCATAAATCAAAACGGCGTCTTTGTCTCTATAAAATTTGAAATCAATGAAATCAATGAAATCAATGAAATCAATGAAATCATCAAATCCCACTTTTGCACAATCCATGCATCAAAAGTGAGCGCAATGAAATATCCGCTTGGAGCAATGATTCTCTGAATGCAATACTCATTGTTCGCGTAGTTATCCGGGTAATTTGGTGAGGTGAGTGATCCTTTGATTGACGTGAAATTTGTATCCGGACATCTGACAAAAAAAAAGTCTTGTCCCTGAATTTCATTTTATAAACAAACGAGGCGAATTTCTGTGAGCAGAGAAATGGTTGAGAGTATTGACAGCCAAGAGCGATGTATCCATTATTGTCGGGGACGGGCGATGAACGAATCGCTCCACAATTCCCCCGTCCATCACCGGGTTCACCTAGGGAAACAAAAAAAACATTAAATGAACCAACTGTCGTTGACGGTCGCTAACCAGAGAACCCTCTGAAGTTACATTTCAGCAAGCTAGCCTACTTAAAGCTTTGGCACCAATCCATCAGTAGCCAACATAAGCCTTGCTAACATAAGCCTTGCCAACATAAGCCTTGCTAACATAAGCCTTGCCAACATAAGCCTTGCCAACATAAGCCTAAGCCTAAGCCTAAACCTAAGCCTTGCCAACATAAGCCTTGCCTCTTACTTACAAGGGAACCTTCCGAAAGTTACCCGTTACAGTTACAATATGAGGTAGGTGCAATATTCTGAACGTACATTTTCAGGCTTTTCTTTTTGCACCTACCTCATATTGTAACTGTAACGAGTAACTTGGGAAGGTTCCCTTGTAAGAGGCAAGGCTTATGTTGGCTACCGAAGCACACTGATGGATTGGTGCCAAAGCTTTAAGTAGGCTAGCTTGCTGAAATGTAACTTCAAAGGGTTCGCTGGTTAGCGACCGTCAACGACAGCTTTGGGAAGGTTCCCTGGTTAGTTTTCATGAAGCCAAAGCTCTATTTTGTATCATTCTATAAATTTCCTTGAAAACCTTTGCTCCATTGAGATGCCAAGAAAAGAGTTCCATCCACAAATTGCCAATTAGTTGCGTTGATTTTGTTTAATCCGGTCCATGTCGTGTACAATGTTGAGCTGATCAATTCTAAAGTTTAGAGTTAATTGCTTACTAGGGAACGATCAGATTTCTCCAGTTTTGTTCAGTTCAGAATCTAAACCAAAGCTATCTGACTCACGCAAATTGACCAGAACAATTGGCCAATTTGCGGCCAAAGTTGGCCAAATCTAGAGCATTTAGGCAAAAGAAAAAACGAAAAACACCATCGTGTTGTCCGTGTCCGATTTACGTGAGTCATATAGCTTTGGTTCGCGCTTGGGAAATCTGATTAGTTAGTTTCTTCGTTAGATCTATCGTAGCTTTATAAGTCACAAACTTTCCACATCGGCAAGCGTTTTATCAGTTGTTCCCGCAAGATTCCCACCAATGTCATTGCAAAACGATTGAGCGCCAGACCATGGCTGAAATGAATTTCAAATGAATTTTACAAGTTAGCAGAAAAGTTTCAAAAAAGCTTACCCGAAAAACATTATCAGAATACCAATAACACATCGATCCAATCTCTTTCCATTTCTCTGGGCAAGGCGGTGCTGGGGCAGTTGTTGGTGGATCCGTTGCAGCCGTCACAATACCTACCGTAAATACTTTAATAGTACTCCACCCCCATAATGACGGTGTGGAGTGTTGCGTAGTCTAGCTTTGAACTAGTTTTTCTCGACACTGGTTTATGCTACAATGCGCGCTTAGGTATCAAAAAATAGCCCTGAATTTCAGCTATTTTTTGATACCAAAGACGCATTTTTTGAAAGTACGGGCGCTTTGAAAAAAATGAAATACTAAAAAATTTTTGTGACTACGCGACTGTACGAGGGGGGTGGGGTACTATTACAGTATTTACGGTAGATGTTTGTTTACCCAACAACGTAAGCTTTAGTTTAACAACTAATGACTAATGACAATGACTCAACAACTCTCAATACGTATTTATTCCAAGAGAAGAGTCTTTAGAGAAAAATTCTCATTTTTCACTCGGATTACTATTTTTCAACTCTCAGATAATATTATTACGTCGCACAACCGACCCTGCAAAAGCTGAACGAACTGAGCTACGAAATTTTGCCTCACCCGCCATATTCGCCTACCGACTACCACTTTTTCAAGCACCTCGACAACTTTCTCCGGGAGAAATGCTTCAAAACTCAAGACGATGCCAAAAAACGCCTTCGCCGACTTTATCGCCTCCAGAAGCCCGGACTTCTATGCTATCGGCATAAATAAACTTGTTTCTCGTTGGCAAAAATGTGTTAGTTGTAATGGTTCTTATTACGATTATTAAGGCTTGTTTGGAACAAGTTATGGGATTTTAAATATTCGAGTTGAAAACGCTCATTTATTTCCGGACAACCTAATAAAATCCTTAAATTTTCAACTTTTTAAAGACTTCTAAAGGCTTTAAGAAATAGTTATAAATTTTGGAAAACCCTGCTGACGTCAAAAGTCGGTGAAAAACGAACAAAAACATCTATTTTTGAGCACTTGAAAATATTGGTAACTAGGGCACGAAAATTTTTAGAGAGACATTGAAGAAGTCGACTTCTAATAGATATTCTATAAGAATAGAAATGTCGACTTTTCTATTAGAATCTTTCTAACAGTTAGAACTAAATCCATTTATCTTTAGAAGAATACACTTCACAAAAACATTTGTACAAAGTCAATAAAAAATTGTCAACAGATTCTGTGAAATCAAAGGATTTTCCACTAATTCTACCATTTTTTTGCCTATTTTTTTCTGAGATTGGCTTTATTTGCTAAGAGTTGGCTTAAATATCCACTATATATAAAGCAGAAGAGGCGTCTGTCTGTCTGTCTGTCTGTCTGTCTGTCTGTCTGCCTGTCTGTCTGTCTGTCTGTCTGTCTATCTGTCTGCCTGTCCGTCCGTCCGTCCGTCTGTCTGTCTGTCTGTCCGTCCGTCTCTCTGTCTGGCTGTCCGTTTGTCTGCCTGCCTGTCCGTCCGTTCGTCTATCTGTCTGTCACAGGCACTTTTCTCGACGCCCAGATCGAGCCTTGAGATGCAATTTTTTTCGTTCGATAGGAAATTTTATGCTGAATCCGCCCCCAAAAAAATCAAGAAAATCCATCGAAATAATTTTTTTTAATAAAAAGCCAAAAAACCGCAAAACTAGACGCGCCCAACGTTGCCTAACTTCCCCTCCGCACGCAGATGGCCGAGTGGTTAGAGCGCGCGTCTCTCAAACGAGAGTGAGAAAGAGGGATCGTGGGTTCGGTCCCCTCCGAGAAAATTAGTTTTGTTTTTTTTTCAAAATGGATTCATAACTGTTGGAAAGTCAATTTTGATAGTTTTCTACTATAAAAAGAAAGAGACGTCCGTCTGTCCAAATAACATTATGCGCAACATTGTCTACAATGAAGTTTTCAAATAAACTATGAAAAAATTAGCTCAATAACGTTTTTAGGGCTCTATGGCCGTCAGCCACAGATCTTTGATCTGGATCATTGTCATTGGGGGGATATCATTGTTTCTAGACCTCCGCGCGGTTCTCCCTGGAGATTCCCATATTTGCGATGAGCTAACTATAGGAAATGGGTTTAAAAACAACTTGGATAGATAAAATAAATGTAAAACTACGTCCAGCCCCAACTATTCAGCAAGAAAAGCGGCGTTAGCCGAAAATTCTACTTACGAAGACAATGATTTCTGCTTACGAAGACAATGTGCTTATCGATTGGCACATCAATAAGGATTATAAATTCACGTGAGACCACAACCGGCAGCCGTTTTCAGCTTCTTTAGTAGCTGAAAAGCGCTGGTAAATGATATAAATAGCTAAGCTAATTGTTTAAAATCTCTGCACAAAATTATGGGCCTTTAAACCGTAGCTACTCATTTAAAATCCACCAATTTCCAGTCAAATTTTGTCATTTTGTCCTTTTGCATTAGATTTTAAATAAGAAAGGAAAAAGAAAGAAAGAAAGAAGAAGAAGAGAAAGAAGAAGAAGAGGAAGAAGAGGAAGAAGAAGAAGAGGAAAAAGAAGAGGAAGAAGAAGAGGAAGAAGAAGAAGAGGAGAAAGAAGAAGAGAGAGAAAGAAGAAGAAGAAGAAGAGGAAGAAGAAGAAGAGGAAGAGAAGGAGAAGGAAGGGAAAGTGTTTTTTGAAGGAAACATTGAAACCTTTAATGACTTTGACTCATTTACAACCACTGAAAGAAAGCTCAAGAAAAAAAAATGGTCAAGAAGAGAAATCGTATCAAGAGAAAACGTATTTTGATCTAGATTTTACTCATCTTGAAACCCACCAACAAAGCTTAAAACTAGCAGCAGAATGAGTAGCATTTTGTTGGCCATAAAGCTTTTGACAGCACTCTTTTGCATTTCCTTTATTTTATTCACTTTATCACTTTCAAGTTCTGAGGAAAAGAAAAAAAATGACAATTTTCCCACGCCACCGCCCATTTCCCCCTTTTTTTTGTATTATCAATTTTTGGTAAAGAATTCTCGGCAGGGATTATTCTCGTATCTTAGTGAATTTTTGTCTGAGAAATTTCTTATAGAATTCTCAAAATTTGCTGTAAATTTTAGGAATTCAACCTTTGCAAAAACAAACAACGGAATGTAAAATGAATGATTGTGTATGGTAAAAGTCAAAATTTACAACCACTCAACCACAAAAGATAAGAGAAAATTGAGCTTTAAAGCCGGAAGTTTGGAAAAAAATTTTGGATTTACGTAGTCATTTGCTATCCATTGCTATCCATTGACATTCTTTATATTTTCTATATGAATTTACGATCAAACTTCAGCTTTTTCTTCCTCTTTTTAGGTAAACTCTAACATATTGTCCAATAAAAAATGGTTTGAAACCGGAATTCCTTAAAATTTCCAGTGGTTGGGGGCTGGTCGCTGTGGTCGCTGCTTGAAAGCGGAATTCCTCAGAATTTCTAGTGGTTTAGGATGGTCGCTGTGGTGTCATAGTGAATCATTTGTGCTTTAAAATTAATTTTTCATATTTTCTCATAAAATCACCATCACTCGATAGGAAGTATCATGAGGTTTATGGGTGCCACCATAGTCGCCACCATGATACCATCAACAGAGCAAAATTTTTACCATAGAGTGAAGACTTTCTTACTAGCATCGTGGTGACATATTAGAGCTAACATATAAACTAAGATTTCTAACCAAATACTTTTTTTTGGTTATGGACATGGACATGGTGGTGATCATGGTGATCACTACGGGCACGTTCCTAAGTAAAAATGCGATAACGACAGATCAAAAATCTGAATCCTGTGAAATGTTGTGTGCATTCCAGCTAAGAAATTCGCGAAAAATGAAAAAGTTCTTAGCGCTCACAAAAGAGGAATGAGCGTCCGAAGATTTGAGGGTCTGCGCGCTAATATGCGGGCAAATTATCATAACCCAAAGAATCAAATCGCTGCGAAATCGCTAGACTTTTCTCGTTTTTCACCACGATGCTAGTAAGAAAGTCTTCACTCTGTTGCCGTTGATGGTCTCATGTTAAGCCCTGTTGATGGTATCATGGTGGTGATCATGGTTGCACCCATAAACCTCATGATACTCTCTATCGAGTGATGGTGATTTTATGAGAAAATATGAAGCACAAATGATTCACTATGACACCACAGCGACCACCTCTAGCCACTAGAAATTCTAAGGAATTCCAGTATCAAACCATTTTTTTTATTGGATATTCTGTAGGTTGGTAAATGATAGTTTTGAGAAAGCTTTTTGTCTTTTTGACCCTTCAATCACTCAAGCAAGCTTGCCTTCAAGCTTATCTTTTCCATTACATAAAAAATGACGAAAAAAACTTACCAAATCTACAGTTTTCCCGTAGCATTTCACTTGACTTGACCCGCTCCAGTTTAAATTCGTTTTTAACTTACAAGAGAAAGTCATTGGCTTCGTCGATCATCTGGATCGACGAAACCTATCCCATTCGATCGATTAAACGATTAATCTCATTTTGATCCAAGTATCAACGAACAATCCTTCAGCTTCTACAAGCAATGCTCAATCGCCGTGCAGTTGTAACACATCGACTCTTTGGCTTGATGTTTATATTCTTTTCGATGGCTCAACAGCGCTAAGCGAACAGAAATTTCAATGGGTTTTAGGAGAAAAAAAAGTCTCATAAGGTAATCTATTAAATTCAGATGGTTCCCCAGGTTAAATATGCGTTTAAAGCGATGACACTGGGACAGGCAGAGAAGTGAGTTGGTTATAGAGTTCTCGTCTTTTCGTTGAAATCGTCTTTTCAAAAAACATTCTACAAAATCTCAGATATCAAACTCGAGTCGGCGTCATTTCTTATGGAAATAATATCACAGAATTCGCTCGATTGACCACTTTTTCATCTTTTGATCAATTCTATCAACAAAACGTTCCATGGAGTGGAGCTGAGTGTTCCGATCTAAAAGGGTTAGCAATAAGAAAGGCTAGCCGGTCATCAATCCAAATTTCAGAGCCATCGACCTAGCGAGAGACGGCTTTGAGCGTGATCACAAGGTTAACCGCAAGAAGTTGTTGATCATTGCATCGGGAGGTTATAGGTGAGCTTTTGGCTTGGAAATATAACACTTGCACTGATCAAAAAGTTCTATAATTGAACACTTTAGACAAGGCTCTTATGAAAATCCGAAATCCTCAGCCGATACGTTCAAAACGAATCAGGGAACGATCATGGTTTTGAGTGAGTGCTTTAGACTCAAAAATATTCGATATAGAACACTTGCAAGGGATGGTTAACTGGATAGACTGGCCAAATGACATTTAAAGGGGTAAAGATACAGATTCAAGCCAATGAAACATAAAAAAGCAAAAAAAAAGCCAGCTGACAGTTTTGAACCCGGGAGGTCTCGCTTTGTATTCTAATCTACTACCAGTCGGCCACCGTGAACCCGTTTCCTCCATGAAAAGGCCGGTATTTAAGGTCTATGTTTAATTTTTGAAACTTCTTACAAAACGCCTTTGATAGACGAATATAGACCATAAATATCGCGCTGGATAATTGCAGGGGTGGCGGAGTGGTAGTAGGTTAGAATACGAGGCAAGACCTCCTAGGTTCGAATTCGTGCACCTTCGGATTTCGGAATCTTTGTCTTCCTTTTTCAGGTTTAAATGACTTGTATATGAAAAGTTCGGTGTTTAAGGTCTGTGTTTACTTTTTGAAACTCCTTTCAGAACTTTTAACTTATAACTTTTGACAGAGTGCCGTTTAGCAAAAACGGAAAGCAGATTCGGAATCAGTGTAAAATTCTGCGTCGAATGGTCTATGGCTCATGTTATGGCCAGCCTATCTAGTTGGCCTTCACTTGTTAACCCGAGTTGATAAAAGGCAAAAAGACAAAGCTAACAAAGAAGAAATAGCTTTCAATTGGCCTTCGGCTTTCAATAGCTTTCAATGGGCATTAGTTGACTGTGAAATTAAAATACTTGTCTTTAATTCGATGTAAAGTCTACGACGATGGCTAATATCGTTTTCTTTTAGCCTTTGAGGCTGGAGTGGCCTCGAATGATCTCCGACAATTGGCCTCTCCGAGCTATTTCCTCGATGCGTCGAACGGGATTCAACCCGATAAAATCTACAATATGTTTTGTCAAGGTTTCCATCAAAATATTTAAAAGTTTATAATCAAAGGATAATTGCTCAGCTAATTGTTTTTGTCCTTGCATTTCAAATTGTTCATCGGAGGCCGATCGATGGATTGCGTCGGGCGGAGATCCGAATAATGGATGTTATTTGGTGGGGCACTTGTCTGTAAAATGAATTCAACAAATTTGTATAGCATTTTATTGGCTACATTATTTTATTGGCTACATTATGAGAAAAATTCAGTACCCAACGACGGGCGGGATTCAATACCTCGCCGAGGTGATGTGCTCTAAGAATAGCGGCACTCTCGCTATGCCCAAAAACTCTGGAGATTGCCTTTCTGTGTTGAATGGTTTGTGGGCAAAGGGAATTCTATTTCAATTCTTTTCGGTTTCAAAACGCCAGCTGATAAGACAAATGGAATTTGGATCGGATTGCAGAATAAGGGAAATGTACTACAACCCGATTGGAGATGGCTTGACGGAACGGCGGCGGTGAGTTAACTAGATCCAGGATTGGTAGAAGAGACAAATCTTGGCTTGACTTGGCCAAATCGATTACTTCTGCTCAATTTTCTCTAGAAAAACCAATTCAAAGGCAAGATTTTAAGCCAAATCCGACGGCAGGGTTGTAATTCGAGGTCAAGGTCAATTGAAACCCATTGATTTTGGCTTGTCTAGCTTTGGCTTTTGGTACTAAAATGATTCTCAATAAAAATTGCTAAAATTTGAGCAAATCTAGTACCGTATTCTCTCTAATAGTAGTGTACCCCGCTAAGCCGAGTTGATGACTATTTTACGGCTTCGAAGTTTTCGCAGAAGCTTTCGCACTCTAATCCTCCACAAGATCTCATCGTCAGCTACATTTTCCGACCCCACATCGATAGGTTCTGATAAGCGATTTTGGAGATTTCGAGTAATTTAGACGACGATCAGTGTGCACTACTATTAGAGAGAATATGGTATATACAAGTAACCAAATCTGTAGAGGAACCAAATCTGTAGAGAAAAGGAATCAAATCTGTAGAGAAAAGGAATCAAATCTGTAGAGAAATGAGAAAGAGAAAAAAACGAAATTCATCCGTCTGCCACGTGAAATGTAACTATATTTAATGCTGAGTTCAGAGCTGAATCTTCGAGGATTAGCTGTTTAGTCTATGCGCAACAATTAGCTGTATAGAAAAATTGCTTTTGAAAAGATAAAATATAAATAATCAGTTCATCTGATAAGGGCATCTACAGGGTGGCTAATAAGTAATGTCGCATGCTTGAACGCGTGTTACTTCTCGAGGTTACTTCCAAATCTCATGAGTAACCTGCTAAAATGTTGAATAAACACGCCTAAATGACAATACAAATTACGCTAACGTAAAATCACAACCAAGTGAGCTAGAAAGCTGAAAATTTGTACTCGGGGGTTTTCGGGGGCGAGGAATCCGAATCTGCAATCAGATTTGTGCTGCGTGCCCTCAGTACAGAATATCCGTGTGACTGGTTTATCGTTAAATTTCAGCTGCAAGCACTTTCAATAGACAACTGAGTTTTTAATTCTAATAAAGTTCACATCAACATTACGAAAAGCTTAACCCAACCAGTCCTGACTTTTTATTGAAAGTCATTGAAAATCTCCCGCTAAGCTCTAGTTGAATCTCTTTTAATTTTATGAGAAAATTCAAAGAAATGAAGCAGCTACGAAAGCGTTTTCTATCGGATTTTTCTGGCAGTACCTTTTTTAGATGCGGAAAATTGTGCTGATTCCGAATCTGAAGGAATTTTTCAAATCCCTCTGACAGAAACTTTTTAAATTGAGTTTTAGCAGTTTTTGGTCATTTTGTAAGGGAAATTTTGTGGTACCCTGCAGTTTGGAGCTCGTAACTCGACAACGAGGGTCTAGAACCAAAAGCGAAGGGATAATTTTTATTCTAAAGGCTCTTACGAACATTTTGATGCAAAAATCATCAAATTTGCTCAACTCCACAAAAAGTTATAACATCTTTAAAGAAATATTGCAAAATACACTAAAAACATAAGGGGAAAGTGGTCTAAGGCGCCGAGTGGTCTAAGGCGCGCGACATGAATCCCGCGCAAAAGTATGGCGTTGTTGGTTCGGCTCTCCCGCGCACTTGAGCTATTATCTTGCATATTCCTTCATTGTTTTGAGTGAATAGTGAATATACATAGCTACATTGTTCTTTGGAACAAAACAATTGTGCAATCGAGAATTTTTAAAATTTTCTCATTTCTTTTGTTAAAAAATGTTATAACTTTTTGTAGAGTTGAGCAAATTTTATGATTTTTGCATCAAAATGTTCGTAAGAGCCTTTAGAATAAAAATTATCCCTTCGTTTTTGGTTCTAGACCCTCGTTGTCGAGTTACGAGCTCCAAACTGCAGGGTACCACAAAATTTCCCTTAAAAAATGATCAAAAAACTGCTAAAACTCAATTTAAAAAGTTTCTGTCAGAGGGATTTGAAAAATTCCTTCAGATTCGGAATCAGCACAATTTTCCGCATCTAAAAAAGGTACTGCCAGAAAAATCCGATAGAAAACGCATTTTCGCGCCGATGTGCGCCCCCTTTTCTGCGTAGATTTTTGCGTAACTGCCCTTTTTTTGTAATTTCCCATCAAACTAGAAGATATTCAGCTGAGTGGGGACACTTTCAATGCATACTTTTCACCTCAAATCTCACTCTAGACTCCCGACATCACATCACAATTAAACGCCGCAAATGGGAATTGCACCGTTTTGGCGAGTACAAATGGCTTCGCCTACGCCTACAGTGCCACCGATTGCAACAATTACAAGTGTTGGTCTTGCTACATTGCGCCCTGTTCGTCGACTAATTATTGTGGATGATTTCTTTTCGATTTCTTTATCGGTGAAAAAAAAAGTTTACGGGTAATAAAAATTCAGATTTTGTGCATTGGTCAAAAAAAAAAGTGCAATTGGAAAATGAGCATTTCTTCACGAGGACACGAGATATGTAAACGGGTAAAATGTGGCTAAGAAAGCGCGTTTCAAAATAAAGGTCAAATAAACTGCAAAAAATTTTTTAGTGTTTATTTAGCATTGAAGGAAATTCTCCGATTGAAATACCCGTTAAAAGTGTGGGATTGATCACAAATTTCTACAGCGAACTCGTGAAAGTAGTCAATTACTAACAAGGGGAGGTCAACTGGCTGAGCCAGCCAAATGCTATGCGACCTATTCCATTTGACACAAGAATTTTATGCTGCATTCGAATCTTTTGAATATATATTCGATTTTTGCTAAATGACAATTTGCCAGGAGTTATAAACACCTAAAGTTTTGTTAGGACTCTAGAAATATGGTCATTTGGGTCTTAGGTTGGCCTCCTTGCGGACCTAAGTCGGTGTAGCCGTGGCCGAGTGGTAAAGGATTCGTTTCCACCTCCACTGTGGATTTTTCTTTTGCTTTGTTTCAAGAAGTGCTAGCTAGTGTTCATTTTGCTGTAGTTGTGAAATATGTTGTGCGTGCACAAAGAACACTAGTCAGCACTTCTTGAAAAAAAAAGCAAAAGAAAAATCCTAAGTAAGGATCGAACTTCTGATGTCTCGCTATGGAAACGAACGCTGTACCATTCGGCCACGGCCGCCCCAAACCGGTTTCGCAAGGAGGCCGTTAAGACCCAAATGACAACATTTTTAGGCAAAACCTTTAGACGCTTATAACTCCTGGCAGATTGTCATTTAACAAAACCGAGAAATATATTCGGAATAAGCATAAAATTCTTGCGTCAAATGGAATAGCATTTGGCCGGCTCGACCTGTAACAAAATGTTCGCAAAATACAAAGACTTTTTTTTTACATCTGTACACAAGTTCAAGCGATCGCTTCAGCCGCCATTTCTTCCCTTGCCGGTTGCACGTTTTGACTCGGATTTGAAATAAAAGTCGGCACTTTTTTCATCTCCCATCCCTTCACAAAGTAGAGAATTGCCGTCAAAATTATTATGATACCTAAAAGTTTTTGTGACTTTTGCAAATCAAAATTTTTACATGCATCGCTATTTTAAAATATTTAATTTAACATATTGTCAAATTGTCAAGTCATAACAAATTTAACCTATAAAATTTAACATAAGTTTAACATAAATTTAACATATTTAAACATATCTAATTTAAGATTTAATAAATTTAACATTTTAACCTGCTGCAATCGAGTAGTTGTTGCTCCAAAAGGTCAAAAATAGAGGAATAGCTATCAGAAAGTATAAGATCGCTCGTTTCTTCTTATCGAATCCGAGAATGAAGCCGAAAGTTCGGCAACAGAAACCATCAGTGCTAAGAAATCATTATTGCCAATGAAATTTTAGTGTTGAACACAATATTTTACATCATTGCCCTTACCAAGGATATTCTTATCATGTAAACACTAATTTATGTAACTTTATGTAGTTTAAGTTTGAAAAATTTTATCTTCATGATCTTCTGTGATGGTTTAAACGCGATTTATTTCAAGAAATAAACACTGAGTAAATTTATAAAAAACAGAAAGCAAAAGTTTTACCGTAGTCCGGGTTCAAAATAGAGCCAAAAAGCCTAGCGACTAGTTCGAGAGCCTTGGAACAAAAAGCAAAGTTTTACCGAAGCTCGGGTTCGAAAAAAGTTGGCAGTTGAAAACCTAGCGCACTAACCACTTGGGCACAATGAAACGACTTCGAGGGCCGCAAGATCGCTTGATAATCACGCGGTCAGATAAATAGCGCAACACGCAAAAGCTGCTTTTTTTTCACCCAAACTTCAAACGAATTTAAATCGAAAATTTGAATCCATTACACATAAACATAAACAACCTAGATATTCGGAAGCAGTGAAGGATTTGCTACAAAATAGGCTAGATCCCATTTCGAAACTCGATGCTAAATAAACAACGATCCCTCAAACAATCAACGATTCAATCCCCTCTCCAGAAAGTCCACTTTTCTTGTCAATTTCTAAAAACTCACCCACAAAGTGAGCGAATCACTTTTCCGAATTCGAGCAGAAATATCGGTGTCCCGATGACGATCAAGTAGATTCCGACTGGGATCGCACTCACCGAAATGATGCTATTCACAGCACAAAGAAAAATCTAATATTACTTTTTGATTGACAGTTAAATTTGAAAAGCTTTCTACCATGATTACAGCAAATAATCCGACAGCTGTACGAACGTATTTCACATAGCGGAGATTGGGATGTCGAAGGACTAAATTATCGGCTTTGTTTTTTGCTTGACATCAAAACTTCTACGAGACTTCATAAGACACTAAAATTCTATGTGATTCTAGAATTTCTATTTATTATACATGTTACAATTTCTCGAGGTATTCCAAAATTTCTCCAAACCTAGCGCATCACCACTTTGTACCAAATCTTGTTGACTGATTGATCTCGAGCTTGCTGAGCCCATTGTTATCTATAATTTCTAAAAATTCTTCATCAAATCACACTTTTCACTCAATTTCTAAAAGATTTCAGCTTTATAAAGCATGTGCAAACATATAAATTATCATTTTTTTATATTTATTTTGAGTATGACTGGTTTCCTTAAGTCAATGGGTATCACAGTTCAACAACAACAACAAAAGCAACAGAAACAAAAACAATATTTAACAAATCCTAACATTTCTCTGCACCCAATGTCTTTAGGTTATTCGAGATTGTTTCAATTCCATGACCGTAGACGATGACTCGATAACTGAAAATATTTATTTTTAGATCCGATTCGGTTTTTTTCTTTAGTTAAAACTTTTCCACCTTTCCATAGTGCTAGAGTAGTTCAAGGAGGGGGGAGGGGAAGTTTGTAAACACTGTTTTTTTTTATTTTTCAAACCCTTCACTAGTTTTGAAAACTTTTTCTGGAGTAATCAATTAAGCTAAAGCCATTGAAAGCATTTTTAAACAATTCTGAACAACTTTTTGCCAGTTTGAGCAACATTTCCGAGCCTTCAAGCGATGCTCTATTTTCATTGGATTCAAAAGTGCGCGAGTGAATTAAGCGGCTTAAACCCTCAGAAACTGCCTGAAATAGCCAGAAAACCGTTACTCAAGATACCAAATTAAGACGCTACGGCCTTAAAAAACCCTAGGAGCAAAAATTAGTGTGCCTTGGGTTAATAGAGATGAATGCACACTGCCCTCCTCCTCCAACTACTACAGGGCGTTCAATAATTACCCGGCTTTTGTTTTTGCAATACGTTTTAAACATTATCAAACGAATCAGAAGGTAACGTGCCACTTAATTAAACAAAATTTTGCTATTTTGGGAATCTTATTTTCACATGGGTCTAAGCCCTGGCTGGTCAAAAGATGGCCCTGTAAACCGAAATTTTTCATTTTTCAATTTCTTTTAAATGTGAATCCTTAAACTTCAGATAAATGTAATCTAGTAAAACTAATTTTAGCGCTGAAACTTTCATGACCACTAAAATTTTCGTTAAATCCTCCAAAAACAAGCAACTCCTGACTGCCAACTTTGAGGTTCTATAAAAAAAACGCAGAAAAAAAGTTTTTTCGTCAAACCCAAGAAACCACCGTAAAAAAATATTTAAATTTTCAATGAAAACAAAGCGTGAGATGATTGCACATCTGAGTGCTGAGTTACACTTAAAATACCGAGTCCGGGTATTTATTGAACACCCTGTATAGCACCATTTTCAATACCTTTTCTTTGTTGCCTCGATCATCGCTATCCCGCATGGATCCTGGACTCTCGTTTCGACACAATCGATTTCAATCAGCTAAAATATCGGTGAGATGTTTCACTTGTGAAGCAGAGTGCTTAATTCAAAGCTGGTATGCCTATTGAACTCTAATAAGTGCTATAACCTCACCGAACACAGCTCATCTTCAACCATCATTGCCTGACAAGGTTGCTTATGTGCTTTGCGTTTGTTAGAGCACAAAGTACGGCTAATTCTTATTGGCAAAGTACCTTATCATTTTGAAGTTCTGCAACAACCAAACGACAATCGAGCGAGACACTCATCATTCGAATCGGATCGATCGAGTAAAGAAGCACGTCTGAAAAAGTGACTTGACTTTTTTTTTCCACTAAACTTGCATATAATTTCAGTTTTTCTGTTAATTATACCTGTAACAGTGCTTGCGTGTATCGCTGCTAGTGTGTTAACGTGTTCGATTTGTAGCCCCTCCTTTGCATCACAAAACAATGTGACGAGATGAACGCTGCCTGAATTTCACATTATAATGAGTTTTTTGTTTTAAGATTGATTCAAATGTTTTTTTTTAATTAACAGAAAGCTACCAAGTAAGACTTAAAATGGTTTACAAATGTTTTTAAGTGAAAAAACAACAAAAACTTACCTGCTTCATCGCCAAGTGCTGCGTAAACAAATCGCGCCTTTTCCGGATGACTCGCTGAAAAAATCGACAACGCAGAGATCCCACAATGGCACAGCTGGAAAAACAACGATGATCGATATCGCCCAATTGAAAAGTTTACTCGTGCATAGCTCAAGCCCAAGTTAACTGTTGTTCAGAAATCTTTCGTAGAACTAAGTATGTAAAAACTAACATTTAGTTCCTTCATTTCTCCAGTTTTCATCGAGGCATAGAGGGTTCCATTGGTTGAAGCGCCGATCAAAATCCCATTTGACAATCCAATCTAAAGCATACCTAATAAAATTTCATTACTTATTTTACTACTCAAGACTTTTCGAAAGTCTTTTCATTAGTTATAGTCTCATTATCAGTCTAAAACACACCTTCGAAAATCCAGCTCGATCTTGTGATGCTATTTTCAGAGTCATTTCTTCGACATCAACGCTCGTGCAACTAAAGTTTGGTACTGTTCAATAGCGATGAAGCGTTGTTTTACAATGTGATTGAAGTATTAAAGGAGGGGTCCGAATTGGAACCGATTCTCACTAAAAGTTTCGATTTTGACTTTGAGCTAGCTTTGGTTTGGCAGGGTATCGGATTTGTCGCAAAAATACAGCCAAAATTGATTCCAAAATTTGGGCATAGTGACGCTCACAAAACAGAAAAGTCCAGTTGCTCACCGCTCCTTCCCTTTTACAAATCCCAAAAGGGAGGCACCCTATACCGGGGTGGTTTGCCAGATGAAGAGCAATTACGCGGCCGCACAAAGAACACCTCGCTAGTCATTTCGCTAGTCATTAGGGATTCTTCTTTTGTATTGTAGATGGTACAAGGTAAGGTATTCAGCTATAAATTTGTACCGGGGGTTTTCGAAAACGCATAATCGATGGGAGCTATTCATTTTATTGGGTTAATGAGAATCAGTCGTCTTATAAGACCCATCCTTTAAAGTATCTTTTTCGAAAAAACTTACATTGCTTGATCCGAACAATCATCGCCTACAGCAAATTTTAGACGATCCCCGGATAGATACATTAATTCTGCAGCTACCTGAATAATTGATTTTTCAAACGTAGATAAGTTTTCAACGCACTTGAAGTCGCCCAGAAACGCCAAGTTTTTCCGAATCTAACGTATGTCGTGGTGCTAATGAACTGGGAAGAATATCTAGGTTACCAGTTTTCTATTATAACTTGACCTTCTCACTCACTTCCATTCACTTTTTTAATCAGATTCACGTCGAAAATCACCAATTTTCCTTTTGACAATCCGGCAAACAGATGGAAAAGATTCGGTGATGACGTTCTGTAAAAGGAAATTTTGTAGAAGTTTTTTTTCAAACTAACCTCGACAATGATAGTGAGACAAATCCGTCAGCTTCAAACCGTTCATGGAAGGCAATGAGTTGATCTGAAAAAAGTCGAAATGGTTGACAGTTTGAACCAAGAATGTATAGAAAAATTACTTATTCCATCTTCGCATCAAATTCAAAAATTACTTACTCTCCGATGAGTAGCTTGAAATCACCAAACGATTGTCAGCACCAGCGGAAATTAAATGAAAACCATTCTCGGATGGAATCACTTCACAAAATAGAACCTAATATAACGAAATTAGAGCCCTTACTCCATTTTTTCAACAAACCTTTCCAATATGCAATGTTCGATCGAGTAGCTGAGGATGGTGGATCTTCGACTCGGTGACAAATCGTATCTATTAGGTTGAGTACTAAGCCTTGCACCCTTCATTTCATTATCTAAATGAACGAGTCTCAAACTACCAAATACCAAACGTTTTCTTTCACTATAAATGCTTATTTTTGACATTTAAAAAAAGATAATTTAGAATAATCTGCGAGAACGAAAACTGGAATTTGTATTAAAAAAATGAAAAATGAGCACATAAAGAAAACCGCTAAACGGATTATTCTGAAATTTTGGTTGTAGACCTAACTTTTTGTGCGCTATCTTTTTTATTTTGTCATCAAAAAAGGTTTCATTGAAAGAAACGGTCCAAATAGCATCAATCGGACCATATCTTTTTTGAAAACTCGACTTCTTGCCTTCAAAACAACGCTTTTCAAAAACTTTCAAAAGCCATTTGCAAGAAAGATGATTGGGTTATCTAATGAAAAAAAAACCGTATTTCATTTGGTAGTTTGAGACTTATTCAATTAGAAAATGATTTTGGATGAAAGACTTAGTACTCAACCTAATAAAAGCGCAAAGTATACTGAAAGTGATAAGATTTAAAGCCTCGAGAAAGCTTACCTGATTTCGAATATGCTCAAATTGAATGGAATCCCCTTGCACATTGGCATTCCATTGTCGATTTCCACCACCACAATCACTGTGCCAGACACACATTTGAGTTGAGAGATCGTAGAGAATTGCGACTTTCTGAAAGTTTGCTCGTTTGTAGCTGAAAATCGTTCTTCACAATATCTATTCAAAGGTTTAACACATTTAACAAATAGTATAAGAAGTTGTGCTCAAAACCGGCAAGTACATCCTTTCAGCTATGCGCAATTCAAATCGAAAAACTCACAGCTTTGAACCCAAAAATGAGTCGTTTCAGCTCTCCTTGGTGATTTGTCTGCAAGAAGCGGCACGGCCAATCAATTCCAACGTAGACTCGTTGTAGAAAATGAAACTCTGCCATGTCTAAATTTTCATTTTTCGAGTAAATTCTTTGGTTCTTGTAAAATTTACGAGATTTTTGAGGTCTTTCTTGTTATTTCCTTGAGTTTTACTTTATTTTTATATGCAAGTTGATATTTTTAAAATAATAATTATGATCAATAGAAAACGGAACAGATCCTGCATCCACAAAAAGATTAGGATGTATGAATTTGACTTCAAAACCACCCTTTTGACGAGCCGCCCTTTTAACGTGGATTGGTTTCAGGAAATTCGAAGAACTTTTGTGAATACAGTATCTGTTCCTTTTTCGATTTATCATATCATTTATTCATTTTTTTTAAAAAATATCAACTTGCATATAAAAATAAAGTAAAACTCAAGGAAATAACAAGAAAAACCTTAAAAACGTCGTAAACTTTAGAAGAACCAACTCTTTTCAATTACCCGAATCCACATCGAAACTCCAGATAAACATGTATCCGCATTTTCCCAAGGCATACAAATGTCCGTCTTCTACCCACAGGTCTTGCACAGCATCACCGTTGAAGAGTTTTGTTGCCTAGAAATATTCATAATGAATTAGCTGTTGCCGACATATCTGAAGTAAACATTTTGATATCCGAGAACTTAAGAGTCGATATTCTTCACCTCAAAATCACAAGCGAACCTACCTCCAAAATCTTGATCTTCTCGCTTTGTGCAAAGTTCTCATCAAACGACACCAACATTAGTTGACTACTGGCACATCCTGAATTGAAATGATGAATGTGTTGCTTGAGAGTGAATTGAACGATTGCTATTCAATGCTTACTTTGGCCGTTCACTTCTTAAACCAACCAAATAAACAATGATTCATCGATCCACTTTTGAAAACGGCCGCACAATTGATGATGAACGGATTCTTTTTCGAGATACCGCCACGAAGCACACGAAGATCGATGAAATTTGGAGATGGTGAGGGAATATGCGCGTCCACCGGGATCCATAGCTGAAAACTGTTTCATAAGTTGCATGAAAAGGTAATAAACTGTATCTTGTTAGACAAATTTGTTGTTCCTTCAACTCACAATTTTGTCATCGCTTGTTGCCGCGAAAAGGAGGCGATCCCATCGAATAACGGAAATCAAACGAGACGAAGGATCGGTTGATTTATAGAGAACAGTTGAAGTGGCTAAATTTTGTCTTGGAAATCTTGGAAGTTAGATAGACTAAAGCTTAATAAATTTAAAGCTATGATTCTTGTTCCGATTCACATTTCTTTTTTTCTAACCTCTAGATATTTATTCTAAACCTGCTTCCACGATTCCCTTTTCTCCCCACGCGATCACCATTTTGTCCGCTTGTGATTCGAAACCGCTTGACGAGGCAAAGTATCGAATTTTGAATGCCGGATCGGAAAATGAAATATCCAGCGCGTCTTCTTTGGTCAGTTTGAGAAGTTGGCTAAATATTTTTTCCCGTAAATTTAATAAGAGTTTTTGCACTCTTTATAAAAATAAAGTTCACTAGCCACTTTTATACAAAGTAATCTTTTCTGACCCTTTTTCATCGATTAAGAATGAGACATTTCCAAGTGAACAAGCGGCGCGGATTGAAGTGATCTAAAAACATGTATTGCCAAATTATACTGATTGAAGTTTAAATACGTTTAGAATGCGTACCACTTACCGTTTTAGAGATTTTTCCTGCCGTGATTGGGAAATCGAAAGCTTCTTGATCGAGTGACAACAAGAACCCAGCATCGGAAGCGATTATCTAAAAGAAGTCAGTAAATAACCTGCTCTAAAGAAAGGAATTCATTAAACCGCAAACAAAATGGCTTCTTTTATATTCTACCAACCAGTTTTCGTTTCCATAAAACCATTTTCCTAATCGATCCGATGCTCATCGTGCGTTCACCCGTCGCAATTAGTTTTTGCGTTCTTGGATCCCAGTTCCAACGAAGAATTTTCTAAAGAGTGAGTTGAGGTTTTCAATTTGCTCAATTCATCAATTAACTTTTTGTATTCCATATAAAATTTATGTATCTCCGAGAAAAATATCATTGAACAAGTCACTAAAATTTCTAACTAAAGTCAGATAAATCTTCTCGAACCTCATCATTCCCTGCTGTGTAAATCGTCATTGTCCTCTCATTGATGCAAAGCGAAAATGGTCTAGAACAGTTTTTTCAAAAATTCAGGAAAAAGCTAGATAACCTTGCCATATGCCCAAACTCGTGAGCTATCGATGTGTTCAACTTCTGATTCTACAAAAAAGATATTAAGCATGAAACAGCCAAATGATTTTACGTCTAGATCCCAAACTCGAAGCGAACGATCGTCGTGAATCGAGAAGCAGAGATGTCCCGCAATCAGTGCATCGAAAGTCATCCCCTGAATAAAGTTAGTTCATGATTGAACTAATCATAAGTCCGTTAAATGTAAAATGCTTATAAAATAATCTAAAAAGTTTGCCCCACCGGTGATCCATCATAAGTGATCGAGGGAAAATCCTCTCTTCCAGGCATCAACAGCATCATCGAGCCAAGATATGTGTGCAGAAGGACTCGACACTTCTCAAAGTTTTCTCCATCCGATGTGGCACCCATTCTGCAACACAAGTTTAGCTTGCTTTATAAAGTTTAGTTCATCTTGCAATATTTAGGCAAAAGTGTATATGGGGTGCGTGAAAAGTTCTGTCCCCTCCTAAAAGACCACTTTTACGATGTTTTATGAAGTTTCCAAGACTCAAAACCTACAAAATTAGATTTTTCAAGTATTTTTACGCTAGTAAATAGTTTCATATCTTCTATTTTACTCATATAGAAAATTTTAGAACTTTTTATGACAACATTTGAGGTACCCTCTGGTCGCAGGTACATAGCTTTCTTAAACACTTTTTTAAATGACCATTTAGCTACTAAAACATGGTCCTGAGGACTTTCTAGCATTATTCACATCAGGCTAGCCATAGTTCCGTATGAAATTTGGCTTCTACAATCAGGGTTTTTTTGAAAAGAGGTGACCAAAACTACGTCAGACCTCAAAACTGCACAACAATATTTCAATCTGAAGAGGGACCTTAAATGGGGACGAGTACAACCGCAAATTCAAAACCGGGAATAAATTCTAACAAACTGTTTTTATAGCTAAATAGTTTCTAAAACTTTTGAAAATACCAAATTCTAAATTGCTACGAAGCTAGGAAACTATTTAGGTCTGCGATTAGAGGGTACCTCAAATGTTATCATAAAAATATCTATAAAATTTTCTATATGAGTAAAATAGAAAATATGAAACAATTTTCTAGCGTAAAAATACTGGAAAATTCTAATTTTGTAGGTTTTGAGTCTTGAAAACTTTATAAAACATCGTAAAAGTGGTCTTTCAGGAGGGGACAAAACTTTTCACGCACCCTGCATTGAGACTCACATTTGAACGGATTTTTGTGGTGGGATGGCTTTGAGGGTTCCCTCTGGATCTTGAGCTGAACAAAGGTCGATCGCTGAATTAGAGTAGATCAGCATCACAGTCTAAAACTCAAAAGGTCAAAAAATCCTGAACAAAAGTCATTTGCTAATTGTGAGTTCTACGTTTTGTGGGCAAATGCTCTTTTCGATATGTTTAGAAGGTTGCTACGTTGTTGCAAACAATCAACTAAAATCAATCAAAAGTTCAAAGAATACCTGATTGTCAAATGGTCGAATATGCGCGATACGACACTGTTTATGAGCTCTTTTTGGTATAACATTGGTGTCGTTTGAGGAGGTCAACAGCTCCAACGTTGAAAGCCAATATAGCGAGTGTCCACAGGTGAAAAACACGTTCACTAAAATTCAAAAATGAGATTTTATCCTTCTACTGCTTGTGGAATAGATATCCATTTTATCCTTCTACTGCTTGAATATCGTGATCTTGAATAGATTTTTTCTCCAAAACTCACCCGACGTGGACGATCCAGCGATTTGTCCAATTTCACAGCCTTTCTCCTCGATCGGACCAAATTTTCTTCCGATACGAACTTCCCCATTTTCCACTTCATATCTTTCAATATACGAACCTTTTGCTAAAAATTGATTTCCCTCAAAAAATGGTAAATGAAACTCACCACAGAATAGATAATCCTTGAATGAGAAAGCGGCTAATCGAGGTAAATTCTCGATTCGAAACTCCATATAAACAGTGGAAATTGTGGATAATGGGTGAGTAAGGAGAATGATAGGAAAAACGAAAGAAAACTATCGACATATGGGGAAAAGAACTGGTGAGAAGGGTTTGAATTATGAAGAACCCCAGGGATTCTTCGTAAAATTAGTTGACAGAAAACGTGCATGGGAAAATAGTTAGTAAATAATTCCCTTACCCAACACCTTTAAACTTACCAACCCTTTTCTACAGTGTGATCAAAAAGTTCCCGTACACTTGTAAATGATTCATTTTCTTAATGAAAGCTAAAACAAAATTTCTCTTGTTTTATAGTATTTTGAAGCTGAAATTCTGATGAACATTTCTATAAGTAAATCACTCGGCTCAAAACTTTTCAGCCTTTTCAAGAAGCCTTGCACTGCGTTCGAGGCAAACTGCTCGCAAACAGTTTCGCATTTTTTCGAATAACAAGTTTTTCAAGACCATTTTATGTTTTTACTTTGACGAGAGATTTTATTCTTTTAAAATAACAATTGAAATGCCACTTAAAACCAAATTGTAAATTTAAAAAGGATTATTCAATTGAAAACAGGTTTAACTAGGTGAGCGCTAGGTGAGTTTCCCTCCAGCACACTACAGTGCTTCTTTGGAGAGCTGAGTGGCTCTGATCAGGATGGTTTAGGTGTAGAAATGCTCCCCAGAATTTCAGCTTCAAAATACTTTATAGTAGGTCCAATTTCTATATGGGTTTTAGCTGAAAATGGAGCTTCTTTTTTAGTGTGCGGGAACTTTTTGATCACCCTGTAAAATGATTTGACACGAAACCCAAAACGAAGTAACAAGAAGATTATTTAGATTTGCTTTTTCGTTAAAAGGAATTAGTTAAGTTGAGTTTATACGGCATTGTGAACGGATTCAAAACAATGGAGTGGAAGGAGCCGAAAAGAAAACGAAATAAAACTGTATTAGAATTTTAAACAACAAACTATGGGCAAACAATATAAAAAGGTGGGAACGAACAAGGGGAGAGATTACCTTATAAACGCGCAAAACATGAAAATTTTACGAACGCGGAAGAAAACAGCGGGACTCAGCATAAAAGTGGAACAAAATTCCCGATTCCATCACGGAATAAAGGAAAATGAGGGAGCTGATCCAAACAGCGCCGTGTACAAACACAGCAAAAATAGCTCCTCTGTGGCTAAGTTTCTATATTAAGGTTAAGCTTTCTTATTCTTATTGGATGCAGAATAAAATTATCAACATTTTGCATACTTTGGGATTACTTAAAACAGAATTGGTGCCCAGAAAAGCTCAGTTAACCTCTTTTTGAGCCCTTTTTTTTGGATTTTCTCATCCCAGATTCGTTCTAAACTGCTCCAAAAAATTCAGCAGATAGCTAATTTTTTTTCTACATCCAATTTTCTACATCACTGGGTTCAGGTGAGAAATAAACACAAATAAATTTAACCGCAAACGCATCATTTTGGCCAGCGCTGTTAGTACACGGCGCTGTTTTGACCAGCTCCCGAAAATGAAAAAAATGGCAAAAGGGGGGGGGCGGTGGGACAAATGCGACCTTTTTTGCGCACCTGGACATTTGCGCACCTTTTTTTTGCTGGAAAAGGCCTTAGGAAAGGACGTAGAGCTTCGAAAATGTTTCCATACTAGCGAATCCTATGCGTAGATTCCGAATTTCGACAAATCAGACCTCGCTGACACGTCAAATTTGGGCTAAAAGGCAAAAACTGCGGAAAAGCGTTAAGTTGCGTAGTTTTTGCCTTTTAGCCCAAATTTGACGTGTCAGCGAGGTCTGATTTGTCGAAATTCGGAATCTACGCATACGATACCCTTCTGTCAAAAACATTTTCGAAGCTCTACGACCTTTCCTAAGGCCTTTTCCAGCAAAAAAAGGTCGCATTTGTTCCACCCCCAAAAAATGGCAAAAGGGGAATTTTTGTGCGGGGTACGGTAGCACATCCATGCTTTAGAAAGCACGCCGTGCCGCTTTAATGATAACCGACTTGATTCAATGGAGATTTAATCGACTTATACCAATAATTGCATTTGCCTTATTACTTCTTTAAACTTTGAACACTTTATTCCTGTGTAACCGAAAAAAAATCTCTTTTCTGCAAATTCGTAATCAAATCAAAATAAATAAAGCAAAAAGAAACAAAGAAAAAACCCCTAGTATCTAAATATCAGAAGAGCAAAAAAAGAAAATATTGTGAATATTTACACTTTTAAAAACGACTTCTATTGGGTAGTTTCTTGTTTATTTTCTTTTACAAATCTTACCTGTACATGGCAATCACTGAAGGGAAGAAAAAGTGGGTTTTTGTTTTTTTTTTGGATGAAAAGCAAGAAAAACGCATTGCAAGTGTCTAGGAATCACATTGTCATGACTATTTTTAAAGTTTTAAATTTTTTATATAGAAAAAATGAATCTGAAATTAAATGAAGAAATTTCGGTACTTTTCCAATATCGGGGGAGCGGTCCGATTATCGGGGGAGCAAATTTTGCCCCCTCGAAAAATGCATTTCCGGGACTGTAACGTTGCAACGTTTTTTTTCAAACTTTAACGACGATGCGCCTTCTCCGATATTTGTGCATTCAAGGAGTCGACGGCAATCGATTATTTCGTCACCAAAGGAGTCATCCAGTTGTGGATTTGCAATTGTGGCGAATCGATGAAAGTCCGCTCAAAGGGAAATGATCTATTTCGCTAATATAAATCTAATCTAAAGGTTGTGAGAATAACGGGTAATTCGCGGATTTTATGGCAGTAGTTTGTATAATATAGGACATATGTAGCGCTGCCAAAATTTGCTCCCCCGATTTTCCTTTCGCTCCCCCGATAATCCTTCCGCTCCCCCGATATTGGAAAAGAACCGAAATTTCGATTGGAATGCATTGAAAAGGAAAGGGAATTTGAAAATGTGGCCATTTCAAAAACGACAAAACGCACAGACACAAAAAGAAAACGCAATTAGATTGATTCGTGAGTAGTGATTATGGGGAATCGAAAAGGTAGGTTTTGGATTGAATTAAAGAAAAAAAAAATGATTTGATTTGTTTATGAAGAGAATTCACATTCGAAAACCGAACGCCTCACAGAATTGAATGATAAAGTCTTCTTTGTCGCCGGCCAACGGCTCATTGTCGAATGTCACGCATTTCTGTGATCGACCGTGGTTCAAATCGGCATCCAGCCACAATCTGAAAATGTTATTTGGGTTTTTTTGGACCTTAAAATCTTATTTCCTTTAATCACTTTAACAATTCAAAAGGTTAAGTGGCTAGCGAGTTTGTTAAGTGGCTAGCGAGTTTTGTTTTTTGTTTAAGGGTATCGGGTTGCCTTTCGGGTTTTTTTTGGGTTTACTTTTAGGTTAATCCTCCGATATAATTTCCAGGTTTAACTATCGAGTTAGCTATCGAGTTAACTATCGAGTTAGCTATCGAGTTAGCTATCGAGTTAACTATCGAGTTAACTATCGAGTTAACTATCGAGTTAACTCAACACATAACTGGACAAGGATTCGAGTTATGTGGTTGAATTCAAATGAATTCCTCTACCTTCTTGGTTCTTTCCTATTGTATTAGACATTATAAATCTGTTTATAAATAAAAAGTTCACCGTTTTACCTACAGTTTACTTCAAATAGAAGATTATTGTAAATTTTTCTCTTTTTAGGGGCCAGTTTCCAAGAAACCGATTCGATGTTTATGCAAGATCAAAAGAACTTTTTTTTGCATTTACAACAGATTCAGCTTTTGATTAGCAAAATTCTAGCAAAATTCTAGCAAAATTCGATAAAAATCTCTACAAAGAACAGATTATCCTGAAAATTTGACTATAAACCTAACTTTTTGCGCTCTTTCTTTTTTCTATTTACATAAAAATCGGTTTCTTTGGATCAAAGTGTCTAAATCGCGTAATCGAGTCGTTTCTCTTTTTGACTACCGTTCAAACAAAAGTCCAGAAATTTTCTTAAAATTATCTTCTTATTTCTCAAGATTTCAATGATATTTTATAGAAAAATATCAGGGTTTTCTAATGGTGAAAACTGTAAATTAATAGGTGAATTCATTACTTCTAAATAGCTTTTTAAATGAAGTGTCTATCGGCCAACCCAATAATTTTTCTTTGGCGCAACTTTTAGTCAGTCGGAATTAACTCTAACCTCGCAACAGTCAGTATTAACTCTAGAACTTTCAATATTCTAACAAATTTTGATAACACTTCGATTAGGATAAGAAATTACGATAAAAATTAATAAAAATTACCCCTGATGTCCACCACCGGCTCCAATCGAGAGACTCTCTTTGGCGGCGTTGACGAAGAATTGATTGTCGCCGGTCCATGTGAAATGCCGAAGTTCTCTATAAAGTTCAACTTGTTGATGATTTGATGATGATTTGATGATTTGTTCTTGATGATTTGTTCTTGATGAACCCTTCTCAGACTCATCTTCCTCTTAATCGACTCTCTGTTCTCGGAAAAGAGCTTTCGTGTGGGCGTCGATGAATTTTCTTTTTAGGGTGCCCCAAAAATTGGGGATTGGGGAATTGGCCTCACTAGTATTTGTGTGTCACTCATCCTCACTCTTTTCCAATCTCCCAACTTTTTTCCCTTTACTCTTTTCTTTTTTCGTCAATCCGTTCCCGGGAGTGCTCTCAAATTGCCCAATCAGAAGGCATCAAATCCAAGCTTTTTTTTTTCTTTGACAAAATTTCAGCCTCTCACCCTTTACCCAAATTTGTGCTCTCAAAAATCTCACAGAGCTCAATCTCTTGATGGCTCCAGAAATATGATAATTGGGAAAATGTTTTTTGAGCACCAAAGTATATCCAAAATGAAAATGTGTCCAAGCTTTGCTTCAAGTTCTTTGCACAAAAAACTTTCGAACTAACTACCTAGTTACCTAGTTAAACTAGCTTAAACCTAGCTTAAAACTAAGCTTAAACCTAGCTTAAACCTAGCTGAAACCTAGCTTAAACCTAGCTTAAAATAAGCTTAAACCTAGCTTAAACCTAGCTTAAACCTAGCTTAAACTTAGCTTAAACCTAGGTTAAACCTAGCTTAAACCTAGCTTAAACCTAGCTTAAAATAAGCTTAAACCTAGCTGAAAATAAGCTTAGAACCTAGGTCGAAATAACTTTAGCTAAAAGGCGTCATAACTGTAATTCTACTAGCTTATAACTGTAGTTCATTTATGTACCAACAAACCTTGTATGTGGGACTTCACCGGTGAATTTCCATAAAAGGCACGAGTCACCCGTGCCCCAATAGCCCTCATGTGGTCGGATTGCTGAAAATTTTTAAATGAATGCTTGAGTTTGATTAGTTTGAAAAAAATAGCATTATTATTTTGATTTCTCTCACACTTACCTGAAGAAACGATCGCTCCAAAAACATGATCGTTTGTGTCTCGAATGATGAGAAGAACCGGCGACATATCCTCGTCAAATTCAACCATTTTTCTGAAAACATAATTTTTAGTAAAGATTTGATGGCATTTGATGATGGCATTTGATAGATTTGATGGCCCTTTTTTAACCGCCACTTTTTGGGGTGCAAGCTATGTTTGCGTCAAATTTGTCTTAAATTTATTTTACAAATAAACTTTGCAGCTAATGCATCTTGATTCATATTTAAAAACAAAAATAGCCGCCAAAAAAGATTGTCGGGCATTTGATCTGCGCGAATTTATTGTCTCTTTAGCAAGTTATATACATTTAGAACTTGACCACCTATTCAAAAGGATTGTGGGACCTTTTATACGTGCCCCGCCCCTTTGCCATTGGCAATCTAACTTTAAGCTAAAATTTCTTGGCGTAGAATTGTTCTGTTTAAATAGTTTTTATACCAGTCGATAGAGAAAGACTTGGCGAGTCTAACGGTACCAAAAATCTTTAGATTGGACAACCAGACACCAAGATATTTGAGCTCAAAGTTAGATTGCCAATTGGAAAAGGGTCGCGTATCAAATGTCCGATAGCCAAAGTCACAAGTGTTGGTTTTATCTTTGTTATTCTTTGTGCTAAACATTGTCCAAAGTAGTATTAATCTTTTTAGACTAGGGCTTCTCAAAGGAAGAAATAACAGGAAAAAGGAAAAAAAGGAAAGACGGAAGTAGGCCCGTGTGAATTCGATTCGATGTTTATGCAAGATGAAAAGAACTTTTTTTGCATTTGCAACAGATTCACCCTTTGATTAATATATTAAAAAAGTAACATTTTAATTCAATGAAACATTTAATTCAATGAAACGTCTACAAAGTGGTTTCCGGTGTATTCCCAAAAGTTTCTCACATTCTCACATTCCTTAAGCTCTCACGTATCTCTTTTCAACGCTCAAATTTCCCATTAAATAGCACGTGCGAAGCTCTTGAGAGAATCTACGCAAATTTCTTTGAGAAAAGCACTCTTTCTTCTGCTTCTTAGACAAATGAGAAGAGAAAAGTATAGTGTGGGAGAAGATAATTGTGTTCCGAGTGAGCTATGTCTTCGCTCGATGAGAAACACAAAGCTCAGCCTTATCATTTGCCCAAAAAATCTAATCAAAAGCCAACGTCAGAGGAAGGGAAAGGAATTGCATTATCGAAAGTTACCTATACAAGGTTGCGAGACTGAAGCCGTGCTTCTCGGAGTTGTAGATTTGGACCCACGGGTAACCCTCGGCACGAGCTGGCAGGATTTCCATCACCTAGAATTTGCTGATTTCTTTCTGATTTCTTTTTCTGATTTGTTTAAAGATATTTAGATAACGAAGCAAAGAGCTCTTGAATAGCTGAATAGCTGACTAGCTAGATAGCTGAATAGCTAAATAGCTAAATAGCTAAATAGCTAGATAGCTGAATAGCTAAATAGCTAAATAGCTAGATAGCTAGATAGCTAGATAGCTAAATAGCTATTCAGTTAGAAGTTATTTTAATTCTGCTCATTACTCAAGATTCTCATTCTCATTTTTCTCTTAATAACGAGTGGGAAAGCCGGGTTTGTGGACAGCAGAAGTCCGGCGCAAAGTCCGCGTCCGTTTTGCTTAAAAAAGTTATTTCTATTATATTTGAGCTTTTGGTAAAAAGAGAAAAGATTTGTCCGGGGGCGGAATCGAACCGTTCACCTATTTCACTCGGCGCGAGCACGCTCACCACTCGATTGTTGTACGCCGCGTGCGGTTGCGTATTTTAGGGGTACCTGTTTCGGCCGTTTCCCGAAAAACTCACTCCTGCGCTCGACGGACAGACTGACATTTGACATCTACTATATATAAAGAGACTAAGACGTCTGTCTGTCTGTCCATCTGTCTGTCAGTCCATCTGTTTGTCCATCTGTCCGTCTGTGCGCGCTATTCCTCAGCCCCCAGAGGACCTTTTGCAACAATTTTTGCGCCGTTGAATAGGAAATTACATGTAGTTGTGCAACGTGCTTTTGATTTTTGAAGAAGCACAATTTGAGTCGCACGGGCTGGTCGAACCCGGATCGTATGGGCGATAGACCGGCGCGTTATCCACTGCTCCACGGCGACAAAGCCGCTCAGCCCCAAAACATCCAGAAAAACTCGCTGTTAGGCGGTTTATATATAGGTTTGATTTGAGATAAGCCAATAAGCCTACGAGCTTTCGAGTTTGGCAGCTAAAGCAAAAGATACCAAGTCTCAAAGACTTCAACTCTACCGTACTTTAAGTGAGTACAGCGTGCGTGTATCACAGCTCATTTCCTGAACCGTGCGATCTCTGTGATCGTTCCTTTTTTTTGACTCAAGTGTCTAAGTATAACCACACGCGACACCCGAATCGTTTATTTATAGTCGGCGGCCGATTTCTGATGGCCAGTCGACGAGAAAGGAAAAGTTTTCTGTGTTCTCACTTGACTCAGAAAAAAAGAAAGAAAAAGATCTCATCAAAATTCGTTGTTTACGACCCGCGTCCCCCCAAAGAAAAACCTCTAACACATTATCGTTAATGAGAAACTGAAAAAGGGGAAATTGTTTTGGATTGAATGGCCGCTGATCGATGGACTCTAATTGGCGGTGCAAGAGTTGAGAAGCTTTTGAATAATTTGGCATCAGATATTTTTACGGATTTCTTTTCACAAGCAAAAACTTAGCCTCAAAAATATAAAGATTACAATAACTTAAAATAGATTAAAAGATTAAAGAGCCGATTGAAATAGAAATCAGTTAGGTAATGACTTAGGTAACGAGAAAAGGTCCGTGGAAACTGCTGGTTGTGGCCGACCGGTTAGGAGTCTAGTCTCTTAGTCGAAAGGTCAAGGGTTCGATCCTGCAGGATCGTTTTTTTTTTCGATTTTTTAGGTTTTTCCTTTACTAAAAGCTTAGGCTCAAAAATCCCGCGATGGCGAACAATTATGCATGTATTTGTGTACTGAATACATGTATGGCAAACAAATGCATGTATTTGTGTACTCGATAAGGGTATTTTGAAAAAAAAAACCTGTCGAATCATGAGCTCATCGAGCACTTGGGAAGTCTCGGCTCCTTCTGGGATCGGCATCTCAATGTGATCAATCTCATCCAGCGACAATCGTCTAAAAAGGAAATTTCTGAGATTGTTTTGAGATTGAAAAGATGAATGTGAGCTTAGAAAAGCACTTTTAAAGTCTAGAAAAGAGTGATACCTGCACATTTCTTTCACAGTGACAATCTCCCATTCTCGGTTTAAATACGACGTGCCAAAGAGGGGAGCCTGGGGTTTTTCGCCTAAAATTAAAGTTATTTTATTTTATTTTAATCAAACAGACTAATTTCTCTCTTTTCTATTCGTTTTTTTTGAAATTTTAACTCAAAATTCAATTTTCGATCAGTTTTCAGCCAGAGTCAACCATTTAAACAAACAGACAACAAACAGAAATTCTTTAAAGCTTTTAAAGAATTGTTTAAAGCTTTTAAAGAACTCTTTAAAGCCAAACACAACCAAGACTTAAGACTTGAACTTCTTTTTGTTCTTTAAAGGACTTCTTTAAAGCACTTCTTTAAAGCTTTTCTTATCAAGCAGCTCTTCAAACGAACCAATGATCTCTTGCTCTATCGTTTCACCCATTTTCGAGATCATATGTGAGAGTCGGCGTCCGCTTTCTCGCGAGATCTTTCGCGTACTCAATGAAAGCCGCCGAAATTTGTCCTCAAACGGACACAATTCTTCGCTCATTTGCGATGCGAGCGATGAAGTGATCGACGAGGTCGATTCATGCACTTTATGCATTTTCTCCATCAACGAGCTGCTCATCGAGGAGAGCATTTTTAAGCACAGAAATTACAAAAGTTTAGACGAATAGTGGCTGTCAAAAGTGGCTGTCAAAAGTGTGGCTGTCAGATGCTCTAAATTAGGCAATGGTGAAAGGATTTGAGAAAATAAAGAGGAATTTACAGTGGGAAGAGTTTCCGAGCTGCTCATCCGAGCTAGAAACAATTAAACAAAAGCTATGGGAATTGAGTTGTATGGATCAACGAAACCTCAATGAAACAAAGATATGAAAAAATAAAAGATTTCCATATGAAGAAAGTTTTGTGGGTGAGAAGGGAAAAGATTCTGAACTTTACATAGGAAAAGCTTTAGTTTGAGAGAAGCGTAAAAAGGGCAAAGCCACGCCCACTCCTCTTTCTCTATGTTTTACTCGTTAAAAAAAACTTTAAGCTGCTAAAATCGAAAAACTAAAGAATAAGCTCTATGAAATAAACTCTATTTTGTTCTAGCTAAAGTTTGAGCTTAGTTTGCATAGAAAAATTCACTTCCATAAGTTGAAAACGGAATTTTCAGCGAGATTCAATTACTTGATTAAAGCTTTTTTTAAAGATAAATCGCAAAAATGCGGATTTGCAATGTTCGTCTTTAAAGGATTTACAAAAAAATGTTTTTAAGTAGGAGATGTTCGATTCAATAGTTTCTATTTGGAGAAAAGTTTAAGAAGGATTCTGGAGATTGGAAACATCAGCTCTAACCCTCAGCTAGCTTAGAGAAATTCATTTTGAAAACTGAACAAATATTTGAAATCAAATCATAAGCAATTAAAAGCTATTCAGCTAGTCAGCTATTCAGCTATTCAGCTATCTAGCTAGTCAGCTATCTAGCTATTCAGCTATCTAGCTATTCAGCTATCTAGCTATTCAGCTATCTAGCTATTCAGCTATCTAGCTATTCAGCCATCTAGCTATTCAGCTAGTCAGCTATTCAGATATTCAGCTATTTAGTTATTCAATCAATTTTTGTATTGCTTAGGGTTTAAAAAACCAAAAAAACCAATTTTTAGGGTTTAAAATTTGGTTTTTCTTTTGATTCTTCGAAAAATCTCTTACTCGAATAGTAAAGTCGTGTGGAAAAGTCTGGGAAAAAGACAACAAAAGGCATCTACAAATCCCAAGAGGGAAATCTCAGCTCGAGAATCTGGAGAGAAAGGAGAGGAAAAAACCCCATCCAACTCTCGACCAAATGTGACCAAATCCCCAAACAGTGTCACATTTCTGATTGACAAACGTTTGAGAAGAAAATTGAAAAAGATCAAAACTAGAGTTTCGACGCAAAAGAAAAGACTATAAAAATTGAATGAAAACTTTGAAAAGGCGAGGAATTTAGCAGCAAAGAGGAATGGAGGAAGCTCATGGATAAATGGTCTCCATTTGGGAAGGGGGAAGGGGAACGGATGGGTCTGGCCAAGGGCAAAGGGCTCACTCTCTTCCAGAATACTGAATGCACTCTACTCTTCCTTCTTCATAAAGTGAGTCCTTTTTTTGTCGTGGATAAGAGAGTGGACTTCCTTAGTTCGTTCATGGAATAAATCTCCGGCACACTTGACTTGTTAAGAAGAATTCTTTACTTCATAAGAATGGATAAGAATGGACTTCCTTAGTTCGTTTATGGAATAATTCTTTACTTTATAAGAATGGATAAGAGTCGACTTCCTTAGTCCACTCTTATCCATTCTTTGGAATAATTCTTTACTTCAGAAGAATTCGACCATTCTACTTCATAAGAAATGAGTGGAAAAAGCTGTTTATGCTGAAAAAAGATAAAAATTAGCTTAAAATTCGTAGAGAATAGTGTACCAGTGTTAAAAAGGCAAAAATCGTCGTACTAATGACGATTATTTTGGTGTCAACTAGACTTATAACGAAAAAATCTGTCTTTCCGTTGACAATTTAAGATTTCTCGTCTTTCTCTCAACACTAACCCTTCGATTTTGACTATGTTGACCATCATTCGATGCAGAATAAAATTGCTCATCAAATGATACCAAAATTAACTCAAAATATAATATCTACGCAAAGTTATGGGGCAAAAACCTAAGCCTAAGCTACCCTAAGCCCCGCCCACCTTAAGCCCCGCTCATAATGGGCGTGGTTTAGGTTTTTGTCCTATAACTTTGCGTAGATATTATATTTTGAGTTAATTTTGGTATCATTTGATACGCAATTTGATTCTGCATCAAACAATAGTCAAAATAGTCATAATCGAAGGGTTGGTGTTGAGAGAAAGACGAGAAACTGACTGATGTTTTCGTGATAAGTCTAGTATCAACTCAAGTTTTCAAGGACTTTTGTTATTCATTTTGCAGAAAGTTCTCGGTAACTTTGTACTAGTTTTTAAGAGGAGATTCAGGGCTATCGAATGACGATAATATTAAGTAGGCTAGCTTGCTGAAATGTATTGGGTTGGTGAATTGAAAACTGCGGGACTTTGAACTAAAATTTATTGAAAATAAAACCATGAATTCATTCCAAATAATTTCCAATATTATTGACGACTTCTGCCCATTTTACAGGCAATTTGCGGATTCCTCTTTCGTAGTAGGATTTTGGTTTGTGTGTGAGACAAGTGTGAGACTCAAAAATGGAGGACTGGAGATGTCCCAGTGTCCCAGTTTGAGCACTTTCTTCAAAAGAAACCCACTTTGGTGTCAATAGAAAAGTTGTAGAGAATCGAAAAGTAGGCTTATAGCCAAATTTCCAAAAAGATACACTTAGTAGTTTCGCTTAAAATGCAAGTTTTGTGAAAATTCGTAAATTTCGTATTTCTTGAAAACCAGCTTTTGAATCGTTCTAAAAATTTGGATATAAGCTTGATTTTTGATTCTCTACAACTTTTCCATTGACACCAAAATGGGTTTCTTTTGAAGAAAGTGCTCAAACTGTCACATATGACAATAGCCCGCAGTTTTCCATTCACCAACCCAATAGTTAAGTTTATTACTTGAATTTAGATTTAAATATTTCTAAATTTGGTCCACAAGTCAAAGCCATCGATATTGTAATGAAAATTTCATTTCCTTTTCGTTTTATACGATTCAAACAGCGTTTTTTTTTGTTTTTACTTGAGCGATTTTAGTCTTTCAGAGCTGGGGGATATTGTGGATTGAGTTTCACAAAAAGTCTCACGCTCAAAAGTTTTCCACACCAAACAAAAACTTTACAATCAACCAAAAATCATCGGAGAACGGGCAGAGGAAAGCAATAGCAAAAGCACAGCAATTTTTAACGTTTCCTCGGGAATTTTTCAATGTTCTCAACGGCAAAAGATTTTGATGCTATTTAAAAGCTTTTAAAGCTTTTGCTAAAGCTTTTAAAGTATTCATTTGGATAAAACAATGAGACAACAATGATATTCTTATTCTTTTTTGTTTCACAAAGCTTTGCTTTTATGAAATCGAATGTTTACTTGAGTTTATTGACCCTTTATCCTTTCTCAAGGACAAAATAATTCTCGGTGGATAAGCACCGCTTTCTTTCAACAAAAAATTGTCAATAGACCTCGATCAGAGGCCAGTCCAGATAAACAAAAACCGCAAATTGCAAAATGAAGACGATTTCAAGATTTTCGGAAACTAGAAATTTTGAAATCTTTTTTCTACAAACCTAATTGCTATTTAACGAGAGTTTTTGAAATTTCTTGAATCGAAATGGCAATTAGAATTGGGCGGGTGGGAAATTGATAGGTTCAAATTGTTTTTTTCTAAAAAATTTGACTTTTCCAAGAAGTTTTCTTGATACAGAAATTCTCATTCTTTGCAAAACATTTACACAAAATCACGACTTTTTGGGGGAAAAAGCTAGAATTTTAGGAGAAATTTGTAGAATCGGAAAGCTTCGAGAAAAGTGGCAGGAAGTGGGGTCAGTCAGAAAGGAAATGAATTCAAAGAAATCACGCGAATCTCGCATCATCATCAAGAAATGCAAAAGGATGAACCAATCAGTGAGAAGTTTTCGGAAGTTTAGTGGACTTTGGTTAGACTTTGAAACTCTTAAAGATTATGTAATGGTCAGTTGAAGAGATTTAGAGGAAGCTAATTAGAGGAAGCTAAAGCTTTAAGTTACAGCTTAAGCTAAGGCTTTAAGTTACAGCTTAAGCTAAGGCTTGAAGCTAAAGTTTTAAGCTGTAACTTAAAGCTTTAGCTTAAGCTTTAGCTGTAACTTAAAGCTTTAGTTTAAAGCTTTGACTTAAAGCTTGAGCTTAAGCTTTAGCTTCAAGCCTTAGCTTAAGCTTTAGCTGTAACTTAAAGCTTTAGCTTAAAGCTTTGGCTTAAAGCCTTAGCTTAAGCTTTAGCTTCAAGCCTTAGCTTAAGCTGTAACTTAAAGCGTTATCAAATTAGAGGAAGCTAAAGCTTTAAGTCACAGCTAAAGCTTTAAGTTACAGCTAAAGCTTAAAGCTTAAAGCTACAGCTTTAAAGTCGTGAAATGCTCACGAGATTTTCGAGTAAACAAAAATCTTTGAAAGCTTTTCAATGTAAAAATCTATTTAAAGCTTGTCACTTTAAACACATTTAAACATTTTTGGAAACATATTTCAGAAAAAAAAAACGCAAGCAAAACCCGTTAAATCATGCAATTCTCCGAGAAAAATCAAATCAAACGAAAGAGTTTTGCGAACAGAGAAAAAGAGACCAGAAAAAACCCAAAAATTACCCAATTTACCCAATAGCTTATTACTTATTAATCCAGCTGGTCGGCTTGATAAGTGCATTTTTCGTAGAAGAAAATGTAGTGACCAAAGTTCTCAATGTTTCAAGAATTGCCCAGAATTTGACAGCCAGAAATTTGTAACCATTGAAATTTCCCCATCAGCACGCAATACTAATGAATTTTTGATAGAAAACTCAAACTAGAAGTCATTTGAAATGAAAAATTTTCTCTAAAAGCGATCAGATGGTGTTTTTTGCTCTTTCGTGAAATCCCTAAAAGAAATCCCAAAAGAGATTTCACCTCAAAGATTAGAATCTCTCACTTTTTTTTTGGCAAAAATCGAGCTTGAAAGTTTTCTAGAGAGCGAAAGGCGATTTGGGGTCGTTTTCAAGCAAAAGCAAAAAAGCAAAAAGTTGCTTGAAAGCATTCTAATTTTGATTTTTAATCGAAAAATTTCTGCATCTTTACAAGATTTTTCTTTTAACGGTTCAGATTTTGTTTTTTTTAATTCTACTTCAACAGATTTGACAATAGATTTCTTTTTTAAAAAGTTATCGTATTCGTTTTGAAAAGCCAGCTACTGATCAAGTTTTAATCCCGAATAGTTACCGTAATCAAGTTACTGGGCAAGTCTTTTTGACATGCCCAGCTTTACAGATGACTAAAATAAAGCTAACAAGGGAAGATCAACTGGTTCAGCCGCTATGCTATGTGACCGACCATTCGACGCAAAACTATGTTTTCTTTTTGGCTTTATTTGAGAATTATTGTTGTAAGAGTGTAAAAGAAGTTTATAAAAGAAGTAAGAAATATTTCTTATTTCTGCATATTTCTTATGTTCTTCTAGCTAGCACTTCTTGAAAAAACAGAAGAAAGACCCGAAGTCGGGACCGAAATTGCGAGGTCTCGCTCTGGAAACGAACGCTGTCACGTCTGCACGTCTACCACTCGGTCACGTCTGCAAATCGAGTCCGCAAGGAGGCCGTTGAGACCCAAAGATCACAGACCAGATTTTCATAGTGCTAATAAAACTTTAGACGCTTATAACTCCTAGCAAATTGTCATTTAGCAAAAACTGAATAAATATTAGGAATCAGCATAAAATTCTGCGTCAAATGGTATGGCATAGCATTTAGCCGGCTCAGCCAGTTGTTATTAATTCAATTCTTTCACCAAAAACTGGATTACGATAACCTTTCTTTAAAACGCATTTTTAGAAAACGATTACTGAAAAAGTAAAAGTGAAAGGTTGATTGGTTGAACTGAAAAGTGCATCTTAACCCTAGTATTTTTTTGCTCTTTAGATCGCTTATATGCTACAGCTCTAAGAACTCACCAAAGAGAAATCCGAGTGATCGACTGCGAGCTCTTGTCGTGAACTTTTTCACAAGTGACTTCGTTTTTTCCTTCTTTTTCTTTTGCTTTTCCCCATTCCCTTGTTCTCCATCGTTTTCTCCATCCAAACTCAATCTTCGACCGATTCCCGAATCTTCAGAACTCGAGCTCAACTGTGCTGTCAATGCTCGTTTCCTTTCCAAATTCTTTTTCACCTCCGATTCAAGAGTCGTTTGTGAATTCGACAAATTCTCAGCCTTTTTCCGGAAAAATTTCGCTCTAGATTTGGGACTTGTTTCTTGACTAGAATTTGAGTTTTCAGTCAATGTCGAGCTTCGTTTCTTGTAGTGAATTTGAGCTTGTTTAGTGAATGGGATTGTCAATTGAGGATTGAATAAAAGTCGGCGTTCAACTTGATGAATCGATTCCTCGATATCGTTCAATTTCGTCTGCAATTTGTCCGTTTCTTCTTCAGTTTCCGATGAAATTTCCCTCGAAAAATCTTCATTCTCAAAGCGTTTCTCCATCATTTGTCGAATTTCATACGGAGTTGGAACATCCGAATTGACATTTCTCTGTACTTTAGCTAATTGAACAGGTGGCGGCATTGAGCCAGTTCGATTCTTTCTCATCATTTTCTTTTCTTTTGTCACCATTTCTTTGTTTTTTATCATATACGGCGATCCATCAGTTGTCATTCTTCTTTGCGGATAACTTTGAATAAAGCCATCTCTACTCGATGCAGCGCCCATCTCATCAACGTCTTCGTAGAAATGAGAAAAATCACTGGCTGGTCGGCTGAAATGGTTTGGTTCTTTTTTGACATGAAAAGTTGAGAAAAATTAAATCAAATCAGAAATTCTTTGCGGTTGGAAAAAAAAAAAAGGATTCTTGAATACTATTATTAAAAAACAATTGGGAAGTTAAAATCATTAATTTCAAATATTCAGAAACGTTTTTATATCAAAATCCGGGTTATCAGGAGCCGTTTCTGAGAGCTTTTTTTGAGTGGAAAATAATCCTATTTTGATGCAAAGGGCAAAAGAAAGCTAATCCGGGGAAAGATTTCCGTTTAAGAAGGTCACAGTGTCAGACTCGGTAATGGGAAACTTTTTTGGGCGAAAGAATATCAACTGTATTCATTTTGAAAGAAAATTATTTAAAACAAGCTAGTTTTGTTTCTCTTTAAATTTACATCAAATTATTAGCAAAAAAAAGTTAACGACTACGCGACTGAACGCCCAAAATACCATTGTCGCGAATGGTAAAGACACTTTTTTTTGAATCTATTTAATGAAAAGAAATGAGCAAACTGAACAGTTTGTTTAGGCTTTTGTGTTTTGAACCCAAACAAAGTCTGATGAATTTCCTGGTGAATAAATGCCAAAAAAGGAAAACAACTTTTCTCTTCAATTTCAATGGAACAATATCAAAGAAAAATTTGCTCAAAAATAAGCTCAGAACCTATAGCCAAGCTTTAAAATCGGAGTTAGGCCGTATTAACTTAGCGCTTAGTTCAAGCAAAGTCATTCCTTGTAACATATTCAGATTTACATCCATGTTTCCTTTTTAAATCGATAAACAGTGAAAATTCTTGGGGAATTTCATTAAGCCTATATAGCTTTTGAGGTGAGGGGGCGTGGCTTGGCATCCTGGCGGGGCTCTGCTTTTAGATTTGTATTTAAAACTCGACGAAAACACCTTATTCTTAGAAAATACCGTTGTCGCGAATGGTAAAGACACTTTTTTTTGAATCTATTTAATGAAAAGAAATGAGCAAACTGAACAGTTTGTTTAGGCTTTTGTGTTTTGAACCCAAACAAAGTCTGATGAATTTCCTGGTGAATAAATGCCAAGAAAGGAAAACAACCTTTCTTTCCAATTTCAATGGAACAATATCAAGGAAAAATTTCAAAAATTTTGATGCTGTGGTGATGGAAAAGAAAATTTCTCCTCCACATTTCTCTCTCACAAAAGATTTCGACAAAATTACCCCCAAAGGCAAAAACGATGTCTCTTTGGAAAAGCCCACAAAGAGTGAATTTTCTCTCGTTCTGCAAGCTGTTTCGGTGAATGTTTCTCTCGTAAATTTCCCCTCATTGTCTTAATTTATCAACGATGTGCTTATAAGAGGTTCTTGAATTATTAAAAATATTGATTATTTTAAAGATTTTTGGATGTTTTAAAACTTAGGTTTGTAAAAACAAGTACAGCAAGCAAGGAATGACTTTGCTTGAACTAAGCGCTAAGTTGATTTTCACAAGGAGCAAGTTACTAGAAGTTAGGACAGGAGGCTTTTTCGTGTAAGAACCCATAGCCAAGCTTTAAAATCGGAGTTAGGTAGTATCAACTTAGCGCTTAGCTCAAACAAAGACACTCCTTGTAACCTATTCAGATTCAGATCCATGTTTCCTTTTTAAATCGATAAACAGAGTGAAGATGCTTGGGGAATTTCATTAGCCTATATAGCTTTTGAGGTGAAGGGGCGTGGCTTCGCATCCTGGCGGGGCTCTGCTTTTAGATTTGTATTTAAAACTCGACGAAAACACCTTATTCTTAGACATTTTTCAAAAATCGAAAACAAAATATGGCTTAAATGACTTAAATAACATAAATATGGCTTGATATTCGTGATCAGCGTCGTCGATTACCCTAAGAAAAAGGAAAAAATGAAAAAAAAAGTGCCTGCTCTAACTTTATAAGTTTCTTTTTAGTTATTTATTTCTTTATTAGTTATTCGCTTTTCTTTATTAGCTTTCTTTATTATTAGTTTTTACTTTGTTTAGAGTTACGAAAAGTTCTCAAATCGTGATGAAGACTAGCTTTGCTCGGCGTCCGCTACGTGGCCACACGGATATCCTATTTGGAGTTACTAAGGGCACGTAGCATAAATCTGATTGAGGATTCGGATTCATTGCCCCCGAAAAGCCCAAGTACAAATTTTCAGCTTTCTAGTTCACTTCGTAGTCATTTTAGGTTAACGTATTGTCGCGTAGGCGTGACAAACGGACGGACGTTTTATTTTTTTGTATATAGTAGATGCAAAGTTTGAAAAAATAAGAATGGGACAGTGTTTTGCTTACAAAACATCGGTTAGCTTGCCCGATTCCCTGGAGAAGTCGAATACAGTAAACGTTTAGGGGTTTCATTGGGCTATTTGATAAAGAATACAATCTGAACCTTCGAGTGATCATCAAACGTTGACGAGGCCGCCACTTGGCTTACAAAGCTGACCAGTCGACGATTCCCCGTCCACCCCCAACGATCCCATTCCACTCATCACTTCCCCATTCATTTCTTAATCCAATCCAATTCCATTCTCTCAATAGAGTGCCCAAGTGCTTGCTTATCGTTACGTTTTGCCGAGAAAAATGAACAAATAGAAGTGATGACCGGTCTTTCGAAAAGAAAGCCACTCTTTTAGGAACAGAAGAGCAATAAAGGCAATAAATGAAGAGAGATTGACCAATTGAGCACTTGAAACAAAAAAGCAATTTCGTACTAATAACTGAAAAAAGTGGGTGCTTGTTTAAAGATTTAAGATTTAAAAATCGAGTTGTTAATCGAGTTTTCTCAAGCTTTTAAGATATTCATAATGATCATTTGATCATAGCTTACTAATCATTTCAATTTCTACTTTTGAAGCTCAAATTTCTACTTTTGAAGCTAGCTTTATCTACCAAATCCTCTTTTATCAATTTCGAAAGTCTTAATGGCTTTAGCTTTCTTCCATTTTTCATCACATCCCCACAATTCTTTCAAAATAGAAATATTTTTGAGTCTTTCAAACAAATTTTACGACCATATTTTGCTGCTTTTCTTTTGAAATATCTAATCAAACAAAGAGAGATCTGGAAGAAATTTTACAAGACGTTTTCAAGCAAAGTTATCAACAAGCTATTGCAAAAGTTTAGATTTAGATTTCCACGTTTTGGAAAGCAAATTGAAAGAAAATTTTGGTTTAAAATTGAGCATGAAACTCAGAAATGAGGTAAAGGCCCGGAAATTCTGCTTTTACTAGGGAACTGCTCTAACTTAGCATCGATTTGGGATATGGAACCTAGCGCAGAAACACCACCTGGAAAATAAACTGTATTCATCTGATAAGCTGATATCCTTTGTGCTCACTGAAAGTTCTTTTCAGCCATTTTCAGTAGCTCTATTTAACTTCTTACTGTTTATAAATCACCTAAAAATTGGTTGTAGTGCTTTAACAAAGAAGCAAAAAATTCCTGACAGTCAGGGGATTCGAACCAGGTAACCAGAGGCAAAGCGCGAGCAGAAAAAAAGCAGAAACTTAACAAAAAGCAGAAAAAAAATTGACAATGGCAGGAATCGAACCAGGATCAAGGGTCTCGAGGCGCGAGCATACTATCCGCTACACCATCCGGTCACTGCTCAGGGGAAGGGAATTCGGCCCTATACCGTGGCGGCGCCGTTTTTCCAAAAAGTGTCCAAACTTTTAAAGCTTTTTTCTCGAAAACTGGATGTTATGGAGTAAAACTGAAAAACACGTATCCCTTAGAATTTCTTTTACGCTGGTTCCCAAATCCCAAATCGAATTCAATCGAATAGAAAATCCTAAATTGGAACAGTCAGAGAGAAATCGCAAGCTTTTCAAGTAAATCAATGCTTTGCGAGCAATTTTTTCGATAATCTCACTCATTGTAAGTTCAAGTGTCTTTTTAAAACTAGTTCAAATTTGGTGGGTAATTGAACTAGTACTGGAAACAAGTTAGAAGTTAAAATGAACGAGTCAAAAGTTGGGAAAGAAGGTCGAAAGTCGAACGGAAAAGAAAGCACACATTTCAGCTTTACCCCAAGCAAATAATTACTTTAATACTGGCTTTTGACACGAAGAAAGTTGCGAAGATTTGGATAAATGAGAATTTTTTTCAATAAATTGAATAATGCAAAGAATTTCTGATATTGAAAAGGTTAAAGTTTTATTTTGCTTTGCTCTAGATTTATTTTCTAACTAGGGAAAGGGACCAGGTGGCTTTTTTGATGCTGATAGAGCTTTGAATGAGGATTCCGAATTCGCTTTTAGTTTTTCTAATGGAGCTTTGTATCGCAAGATATTTGGCATCAAAGTTTTCCAGTGTTTAATTTTAAGTTTTCCAGTTCGGTAAGATCAAAATGTGCAGCGGTTCATTGCAAAAAAGGTCGAGGAGAATCGAACTTGGTGAGTGAGCGAGTACTCAGACTTGTAAGCGAGCGAGTACTCAGACTTGTAAGCGAGCGAGTACTCAGACTTGTAAGCGAGCGAGTACTCAGACTTGTAAGCAAGCGAGTACTCAGACTTGTAAGCGAGCGAGTACTCAGACTTGTAAGCGAGCGAGTACTCAGGCTTGTAAGCAAGCGAGTACTCAGACTTGTAAGCGATCGCACTATCCACTGCGCCACTACTGACGAGTAAAATAAGACCTAGACCAACTCCGACAACTCCGAAAACCGACTTAAACTTTGATGCCAGATATCTTGCGATACAGAGCTCCATTGAAAAAACTAAAAACAGATTCGGAATCCCCATTCAAAGCTCTATCAAATACAAGGCTTAATTATTAAATTGATGAGATACAAATCCACTAGATTCACATCAAAAAGGCCATCTTGTCTTTCCCGAATAATTACTTTACCTTGTTTTATTGACCTCATTGTGGGATCTTCGGAATAACGAAAGCATTCTCAATTTCTT